CTCTTTCCTTGCGTTACTTGGAATCTTTTTCATGAATTCATTTATTCAAAAGATATCAAGCCGTTAAATGCACAACACAAACATCTCCACATCTCCACAAACATGGCAGACTCCGCATCTTCACCTCAGAAATCATCCAATCACCAGATGCTCCATAGAGATAAGTGCACGTTTTGTGAAATGCCCCTTTTCGAAAAACAGTCACAATGTCGATACGTCCTTCCCATTTATCACCATAAGTCGCTGCATGCTCTGCTAGCCATTGGATCTTGTCGTCTCGTTGTATCGAATTTATCTCTTGAAAGTAACGTCTAAAATAAAGTATTATCTCAATTCTGACTCTGACTAGTGATTGACAGCTCAAGTTTTCAGGGCAAAGAAATTTAAAGAAGTTTGGTACTTTGATGGTTGCGGGCCCACCTATATTTTTGATTTTCCAATTTTCTAGAGGTAATCGAGGGCGCTGGGGACGCTGGGAACGAATTTGACGTTTTTAGCATAAGATAATAAACTAATAAACGGAAATTTTTAGCATTTCAACTGAAAAACCAACATTTCCACACGTTGAAAATGACGCTTCTAGGCGCTATTCAGGTTGGGAAGGAGGCCACTTTCTTGTTTTCAAAATCACTTTATCTCGGGTAACTTTATGCGTAGATTCCGAAAAACACAAGGAGAGCTTGGGGAAATGAGTTATTACGTTTCTGCTGAAATGGAAGCGAAACAAAAAATTTTTTTCGATTTTCGACCATTTGGTCCGTCACATGAGTGTTTTGCCTCTCTGCCAGTCAATTTAAGTTAGAAAATCAATATTTAGTGGCTACAAATGATTTTGGGTCTAGTTTTGACCTTGAAGTGCCCCAATAGTCCATGGTTTGGGTACACGAATTTTAAGTTGCATTTAAAGCGCAAGAAAAGTGTAGATTTCAACGGGTCAAAATGTCGGCTTTTCGATTGAGAACCTATTCTAAAACTGTCAAATTCGTGCTCAGCGCCCTCAATTACCCCAAGAAAAGTGAAAAAATCAAAAATATAGGTGGGCCCGCAACCACCAAAACACCAGAAGTTTCTTAAACCATTCTAAACAGGGTTGTAAAAGGCCAGGCGCGATCCCGGCCTGATCCTAACGTGCTTTTGATTTTATTTCAGTCAAAATTAGATTTTCTATTGATAAGTATTCATAACCGTTTACTAGGAGCTGTTCAAGAACACCTATCATTTAATTTCCAAGAGTCTATTTAGGTCTGCGGCCCGACCTTGATTATAAGAAGCTAGTCCATAATATTCGGCTGGCGAACGATTAATCACGGATTTGCAGATGGTCTCAAACTTAACGAATCTTAACGCGTTTCGACTTATTCGCTGTATTCAATAGGAAATAGGAACACAGCTGCAAAAACCATTTTTTGGTTGGTTCGGTTTTCAAATTTTTATAAGCATTGAAGTGAGCTCGGTCAGACCAAAAAAATGCCAAAATCACATTTCGTCAATTTCTCGGTTAAAAACCTAGGCTTAAAATATGTTTTTTCCCGCGACACGATTTCCCCCGAGTAGACAACCAAACTTTGGATGCCTTTTTCTTGTTATTCTGCCTTTCTAGTTTGAGGCCAGCTACCAGCAAATCCACGATTACTTATTAGCCAGCCTAATAAATACTCGTCTGACCTGATTACTTCTTTTGCATCAGGCTTTGATCTGTTCGGAAAGCCACCACGAAATACAAATACCACATAGTTCGCAAATTCCAGCACAGAGTTATCGTCTGCAAAGTCAACGAAACCCGTTCTCATGTAGTAGTTGTTCCATGCGTAGGGCATTGATTCCGCTTCAGTATTCACATAGTCTGCAGGAAGAACAGCGACTTGTTTCCTAATTCTGAAAATTACCGAAAACATGGCAAGTCAAAGTTTTATTCAGAAATTTTTCGCGGTTCCTTTCGGTTATACATCCACAAAAATAACCCCTGATCATCAATCAATGAGGAATCCATGCCGTAGCAATTTGTTGCAACACCCATTCGTAGAAATCGTCCTTTCCCACTTCTCGTCGAACCATCAATTTAACGAGGTAGTTCGGTAGGAAATGACGTGCGGCGATGCTTCTTGTTTCTCCATTTTCCCCCTAGACGCTAGACCGTCTGCGTGTGAATGGCAGGGTCATCCGGATTCAGAAAGTTGTACTTGTTGACCTGAGCCTGGGAAAAGCCGACTCCTCCATCTGTTCAGTATTGCATCCTCGCCAACAATCGGAGTCAGTTTAGGTTCCCGGCTCGATGTGTTCAATCATCGTTTCCAATAGGGTCGATCAGCTCGACCAGAAAACATTCCTTGGTTTCCCGGCAAACTACTCTAAATATCCACACTTGCGGCAAGATTCGGTCCACATTCGCCTTTAGCTTCGTGAAGAGCCTCGTCCACTTCGACGATTCTATTGGTTTCTCCAATCTTTTCGCTCAGCTTATTCACCAGATATTCCACGCAAGGAATTCTAGTTGTTGAAGTCGACCGGTTCTGTGATTCATCTCCAATTCTTTCGCACAATAGTTGATCGAGGTTCACTGTTGAGTTCATCCATAATGGTAGGGTTGTGAGAAACTTTAACAGAGAGCCAACACGCAGGTCGATCGCTGTCCAGCACGACGTTTTGTCACATCCGCATTGGGGATTCTGATTGAGCAATAGTTTCATCACGTGATTGTTGGCGCATGCGGCGTTGTTGAAAGAAGGAGATTGCATCAGCTTTCGTAGTCGGTAAGCGAAACATGATTCCATCGCGCCCTTAGAAAACAGAGAAAAAATTATTTTCTGTGGTTTTCCTTGTTCATTTTGATGGAAGGATTCAAATTTTGCGGATGTATAACGGAAAAAAACCATTTTCGCCTTGATAGTGAGCTAAAACTTACATATTATCGGTGTTAACTAAAAGTTTATAGATTTCCGAAGCCATTCGCTGCATTTTCTTTTGTTGTTCATACTGGGTGCTGCTCCATGTCCAATCCTTTTGATCCTCTTGAACTCCGTGATGCTCGCCCATCCAATTTCGAATTCTTTCCTCTTCTTCGGACTTTTGGATCCAATCTGCCTAAAAGCTTCTTGTCCCTGCTGCCTCCCGTGGATTTACTAATAATTTTTTTTCGCAATACCTTTAACTATACGTAAAAAACTCACCCGTGCGCCTGTGTAGCATCCAACATTGAAAACGACTTCACCTTTGTACATCCATTGACGCCGCGGTCCACAAGTGATAGTTTTTGTGTCTGACGGAAAATCCATCTTTTGGTTGATCTGAAACACATTTTTGAGGATAAACTGAAAAAGAAACCCCCACTTGAACATGCGCGAAATGGTCTAGATCAGCAGTGCACGTGAACGTTCGTTGGATCCAAAAATATTTACTGTAATTGAGTGATGAAGATAAAATGAGAAGGGTTGTCTCTAGCGACCAAAAAGCCTTGAGCCAAGGGCCGGACCATGGCTGCGGGCAAGCCTTGATCGAGTCCGAGCTCATTAAGGCTTTCACCGGGCCGAGCCCGGGAAAGTTTTCATAATACACGCTTACTTAGACGTCTCATCGCTCGTAAGGTTTCTCCAGTTGCCACCAGCCGAATGAATTTGAATGTTTTCACTCTGGTTCTTGCACTCTTCCATCCATTCTAAAAACAGCCAGTAGACGAGTTGCATAACAAAAAAGAACAAAGTAATCGATCGAAACAAACTGGCCATCATTTGCTGTCACAATTTGTGCCAGTGAAGCCACAAGCAAGAAAACGAATTCTATCTTCATTTACAACTAAAAAGCAAATTTTATGAAATGTGAATTGTAAAAGGAGAAAGTTTAGTATAAAAACGAAAAGTTGTTGACTTGATTTTCTCATCAAATTTCTATTTTCTGATTTAAAGGTCTATGTTGTGACAATGATTCGATTGAAAAAGCATTTTTTTGATAGAATCATACATTTTTTTCCTTTTTTTCCTGATAATATTTGGCTCAAAATAATTTAATGGGAAAATGAGAAGAATTCATTCTTCATTTACAGCCAACTGAAACGCAAATTTTATAAAATGTGAATTATAAAAAGAAAAAGTTTAGTATAAAAACGAGAAGTTGTTCAAATAAATACTAAAGAATTTGATGAAGTCGTCAAATGAAATTTCAAAGTCTATGTTGTGAGAATGATTCGATTCAAAAAGAATTTTTTTGATAGAATCATACATTTTTTTTCCTTTTTTTCCTGATAATATTTAGCTGATAAAGATCCATTCCGAATTATTAGGTTGGAAAGAAAGTTCTCGGAAAAAGTTTGCACGGTGATTTCTCAAAAACCAAGCCATTAATTCTTCGTAGATTTTTTGATAAACTTGTCTATATTTCAAGAAGTTTTTGACTAAGAAAACCCGAGTTGGCTTCAGGTAAATAATAAGAGATTTCTTCAGCTGAAGTGACTTGGTCACTTTTTGAGTGGCCAGCCTTTAGACAAATTTTTTACAGTACGCTTTTTAACGATACGACTCTAGACACCGTACTAATGGCGATACGAAGATACGATGTCGTACTAAGGACGATACGACTCTAACACCGTATTAATGACGATACGAAGATACGACGCCGTACTAAGGACGATACGACTCTAACACCGTACTAATGACGATACGATGATACGACGCTGTACTAATGACGATACAACTCTAGACACCGTACTTGAAACGATACGACGATCCGACGCCGTACTAATGACGATCATTTTTGGTCTCAAATCGTCTGTAAGGATTTTTTAATTTGTTTCGCAATTCTCGATAACTTTATGCTAGTTTTCAAGCGGAGATTCAATGCTATCAAATCACTACAAAGTCTACATCATGCACTTTTATAAGCCTTTCACTTGTGAAATACCCTAAATCTCTCGATTTTTATTTTTGCAAAATCTTCAACAACAAAACATAACAAACTCAACAAAAATAACAAAATATACAATCTCACTTCATAAAATCCCTTTTTGGTCAAATTTCAGTGCTCGTTTGTAGGATGGAGATCGTGGCGAGACGGTAGAATTTCGATGACGTGTTCCGCACCAAAACCACTCGTTTATTCTTCTGAAAGTACACAGTTTACAAAGTACTGGTAGTTTAGTTAAAGTTCTGAAGTGGTTAATTTAAAAGCATACGTATTTGGGTATCACTGCAAGAGAACCAATCGGGAGAAAGCCAATTCCGACACCCCTCGATTCGGTAAAGGTGAAATCACCACGAACGACTCGGCCGCAAATTTCCCTGAAAAATAAAGCCATAGTTTGTTGTAAACAAAATTTATCGACTTTGTATTTAGCAGACCAGATTATGAAGTAAGTGCTCATTAACTATTTTGTTGGATTGACTCTACTCTCCAGAATCCAATGTTTCAACAAATTTCCCAACCTGTTCGCACTCGTTCGATATCCGGCTTTCACCTTTTCTTCGTCTTCTTTTTGTGCCCTTGCCGCCCTCAATCCGGCCTCCGTCTTTCGTCGCTTTGCTGCCGCTTTCTTTTTCGCGTTTAACAACTTTCGTTTCATCGATCTAAACATAAATCTCATTTTCTAACTGAATAATGAGTCCAACTTTTCCACAATTTGACACTTCGGAAACATTGCAGCAATGGAAATCTTCACTGATGGGCCTACTGGGTCGAGACTGATCACATCGGCAAATGAGTCGAAACCGATCAACTAAATGATTTGATAAACGATTTTTTTTTAAAATGCCACGCAGTTTTAGTCAAACTTAATCATAATTCTTACCCGTTCTTCCGAATCCTCAACTTTCTCGTCAGCCACATCCATTTTCTCATCTACTTCCATCTGTCCAGAGCGTGGCTGTTCAATTTTCGTTCGTGGATTCTTCCCGAAACTCTTCAAGTCATCCTCATTTGGTATACAAAGAATGGAAAATCTAAACCAAATCCTAAATATTTTCAAGGAATTTCGTTCAAACCTCTTTGGAACACCTCCCGCCAACATTCTGATCTTTACTGGAACCAGCGTAGAAGTATCCTTCAGATCGATGGGAAATTGTGCAACCCGTCCAACAAACCAATTTTCGAGAGCGACCAATGACGAACGATCACGAAGAACGTACGAATCTAAATTTACTTATAAATATACATTGAAGCCGATTTCCATTGGAAATGACAAAAACCCCACCTTCTTGCGCACCCCATTCCTGGGCTAAAAGATTCCACTCGAAAGTGAATGGAAACCGAATGGAGAACCTCGACCAATAAGGAATTCGTTTGTTGAATGGTCTCGCCAATTCACGTTCCTGAAATCACCAAATGGAGAGTCGAATTCGAATCTTTCAAACCTCCAATTCATCCGCAATTCGTTTAAACTCTTGATCACCGGCTCGACAATCGGGAACATCTGTGGGGAAAAGGAAAGATGAAGACTCTAAATGGGCTGCTTCGTGATCGTGAAGAGATGAGGCTGCACAAGCATGATATTGAAAGGCCATCCAGATGTCCATAGCTAAATAAATACCATTCCTCTTAAGTGCAAACTTTTAAAACACAGTAGAAAAATGGGTAGCGCGTGCAAAATTCTAAATCCTCACCAAATTCACTCGGAGCTACAACTTCCGCACCATCCAACGACTGAAAACAACCAGTGCCCTTGCTTCGCGTAATGACTTGAATAGGAATCTAGGGGAAAAAATGTGTAAACAAAGCAAAAAAAAAACATTCGGATCTTTCCCTTTATCAGGGGGTGAAAAATTTTATCAAAGGGGGGGATTTTTTCCGTGAATCTTTTGATGTGGACTATATTCAAAAAACTGACTTATCTACTCGATCTCCAGACGCCCAAAACCACGAGAAAAAAGCTTCCCTATAAATACTTGGGGAAAATCATCGAAAATTACCCATCATCAACAAGTAAGCCGATCTCGTTAGCTGAGACGAGGAAGGCGCTATTTTATCTCTTGTCGATCATAGAATCCTCCAAAAACCGAACTGTGGCAATGGTCATTCAATGAAACTGTCTTCGAAGGGCGGCGGTAACTTCAGATGGGAGTGCAACCAGTGCCTTGCTCCAGTTGCTCAGTCCGATCTGATAACTGGCTCGAAAACACCAAGCTCAGCTTCCCTGTGGCGCCCCTTCAAAGATGCAAATCGTCGTCGTAATGGTACGCACGCACCATGATCGACTCCTACATCGCGGAGAGTTTCTGGCGGCTCAATCTGAGCAGCAAGGATGATCCCTACGCTGCAATCCTTAACGACATCAGGGAATTCTGGCCATGTGGAAGCTCAATTGACTCGTTGCCTTTTTACCAATGATTTTACCAAGAATAAACAAATTTGTTGACATCAAGTAAAATATACCATATTCTCCACACAAACCCCCCTGATAAAGCGAAAGATCCAAACATTCCAACCTGATTATCGACTTTTGCTGCCACATTATTGAAGATAAAATTTTTCCGCTCACTATCAAAACTCGCTGTTGTCACTCGTTTCTTTATGGCGGCAATTCGATCGACGTTGTTGAATAATGAAGGAATCTGCAAAAGAAAAAGCTTATTCTTGTCACAAGTACACAGAATTCAAGCAAGCAGCTTACCACTTTCGTTTTCCCGACAAAATCTTTTTCCTCCAAATCACTATTTGGTGATGAGTGCGTCTTTTTCGAATACATATTCAGCCGTACATCCTAAAATGTTTCATTTTAGGTGCACCATAGAACTTTTACATTATAAACCCAAACTTACTTGAACGGGAAACGAGAAAAATGATCCATCTATAAGTGGCTCCTTTCGTGAGATTTTCTCCCAGTTTTCTTTTATGAGCCTAAAATTTACTGACTTGTTCAGAAACTTCGAACCCTACTTTGAGGAAGAATCTTGTGGGTCCAAATCGACGAGTTTAAACACTTTTTGAATCGTTTCAAGCGACCGGGGTCCAAAAAGACGAAAACGGGATAATTGATTGCGCAAATCTTCAACCTAGAGACAAACTTTCTGAATCTTTTTACGAAAAACCCACCTCGACGCCATCACTTCCTGTGTATTTCACTGTAGATTGTTTTTGAATGCCGATTTTCTTGGAATCCGTTTGTTTTGTTTCCTGAAACAACGATATCTTGGCTAAAAGAGTGATCTACCTCATCTTGTTGATTCTCTGGCTTTAACTCAAAAATTGCAATCAAATGTTTTAGTATTTCTTTGTGTGTTGCTGGATGTATCCATAGAATCAAACAATGTTGCGATCTGAAAGAACACCAGCTTAATGTTATAATCATAAAAATAACCCCAAACGAATCCAGCTGAATCGAGCCGGCCCAATAAAGCCTTGTGGTTTCAATTCGGGATCGTAAAGTAGAATACTAAGCTCATGCAAACCTAAAAATCTCAAATAGAAGATAAATAGATTAAAAACGAACCGGCTTTATTATGCGAAAACTTTAGTCCTGAATTTGATAGACTCAATGCATTAATCTTTTTCAAGATCGTTTCTTGCGAAGAGCACCTGATCTAAATAATTAGCAATACGTTTCAAGTATAACAGACTAACCGCAAATACGCTTAAGTAGCTCATATCCCGTATACAACAAGACCGCAGGGAGGCCCGGTGGATTGGACGAAAGGCGTGCTAGACTTTATGATGAATTGAATGATTGAATTGAAAGTGAAACTTAATTTGAAAAGTTGATTTTTTTTACCTGAAAACTCTTTAGTGGCAACTTGTAGCCCCATCTCTCAGTCATTCTGAAGCGTTTCGCATGCCAAACGTGTGTTTCTAGCCAGTGACTGCACTTCCGACGGCGAAAATAGGCCTAAAGTGTCTTTATTAGCGTTCAGTTCGTTAATTCGCTTCATTAAAAATTCATTCATGTAACGTTTATAATCAAATCAATTAGTTCACATCAAAAAACCAACCATCAAACGACACCTTGTTCGTCGACGAGCAAAACGACTAGGTGGCTTCTTTTTGTACGGTGTCGTAATGAAGGATTTGGCCGTTGTGTGTAATCTAAAAAGAATATTTTGTCTGCTTCGATTAAGAAAACAAGCCTTCGTGGAAAGCGCTTAAAATTCTTGTTCATCGCCCTGCGTCGCATATGTCTTGGGAGACGTTGTAGAAGAGTTCGCGGATTGTGGGTGACTTCTCCTGGCACGAGTTTTTCATTGTCTACCAACTAAAGGAAATGTTAACATTCATTGTAGCAAACGTAGATCTATAGACCAACCTGTAACAACTGAGAAATTTGTGTGACTCGTTCTCGAACAAACGCATCCGAGCCAGCATACGCCTCTCGGGCATTTGTTTGAGACATTTTCGCATATCACGAAAATGAACAGTCCTGAAATTAAAAAAAAAGGTCAAAGTATGCGAAAATCAATGAATATATTTCAAAATCCGTTATGTTTTAGTGTACACTAAAACGAGTTTTATTTTAAAGTACACAATAACAATAATCTGCCTTTGAGTATGCAACACTTTAGCCAGACTTCCTTTATCGAAAAAGTTTATTTCATTAGAAATAAAATGACAAAAATTAAAGACACAACAATAACAAATCATAAGAAATGCAAAGTTTAATCAATGCAAAAATCTCACTAACACTACGGTACTAATTTTAGCAAAGGAAAAGAAGAGCCTAATCAAAAACTGTACAAAACGCTCATAAGGTCTTATTTTCTATAGCTTTAGCGGCTTCCCTGAAATCGTCATCCTTTTGTGCATTTTCCAATAGCTGTCGTTGAAGTGCACGTCGTTCGGCAAAAAGCAATGACTCCTAGAAAGTTCTTGGTGTGTCGATGTTAAATCCATGGAAATAGCGAAAATAGTTTTTACAGAGTCTAAATTCACCTGTTCTGCTGGTGTCTCCAATACATCATGCACGAGTTTTTTCTTCAACTCGATATCATCCATAAAATCGTCGTTGATTACCCTTTTCCCGGTCACTGGATCAATCACATTACCTAAAATTTCGGACTAAATTAAATACAGAGTTCGTCCAAACCGTATTGAAACACAACTCGATCAATTTTGTGAGTGACAGCAGCGGTAGGTCTTTGCGATAAATCATCAATGTTTCGAATCATCACCTTTAGAAAAGTTCATTAGCATTACGAACACAACACTTACCGTATCTCCGAGGTTTCCCAATTGTCCTCGATCTATCGCCCAGTAATCGAAGGAACGAGAAAAGTACATCTTCAAGTAGGTGTTGAACTCGTTTCGCTGACATCGGACCTAAAAGTGTAAATGCTGATACAGTCTTGTAAAAGCTTGCAACCATAAAAGGGGTTCTGAGCGCAATTACCCAATTTTCATTAAAATTAAGCCTTCACCTGAGCACAAGGTATCCGATCGATTCCAATTTGACTCATCTTCACTACTCTTCCTAGCAGAACGTCCGTCTTCACAGCTGATTCTTGTATGGCGCGTCTCATAACTTTCACCTATCAATAGCATTTCATAAAACATCATTTTCGATAACAATAAATATTCCAAAGAATTAGAACTTTGTCAAAAGAATTTAGCCAAGAATCTAAAATTTATTATCCAAAATAAAAAAATCACAAGCAACAGATATAACAAAGGCTATAAAACACATAAAATCTACCAAAATCCTGGTTTCTTTCCGTTCACTTTCTTGATAGATGCCTTTGGTAGCTTATCAAAGATTAAGAATCCAGCCCTGAAATCTTTAGCATAATGGAAAACTGTTAACAAGCAGACCCCCGTTCGATCATCTCAAGCGGCACGAAGAATGAAGCCAGCGGAACGGTGTTGGGGATCGGCTCGTTCGGTAAAATGTAGGCCTCAAGCTCAAAAACACCCGGAGAGCTTTCAACAAGCGCCACCTAAAACTCAATGTTAAGACAGACGGATCTCCGCATTGGTTTCTAGTGAGCACAAACCTTGAAGAAATGCGTTGGCACTGCCACGTGATTATTTCCGATTACTTTGTATTTTACATACAGATTCCCATCTGTTTCTTTTCGTGGCAAATACAAAGGCCCTAAATTCTTAGATAAAATAACGATGCTTTTAAAATGGTTGCCTGTCATCACATAAACGTTTGTCGCTTTCTTCGCAAGATGTCGAACGTGTTTCTCCAAGTCGTTCCATTTGTCCCTGTTGAACCCTCGACCAACCTGAAACTTAAAAATATACATTACCTGCTGAAAACACAACCTGCGGACTCATGTTTGATAATAAAAACGTTTGATCGACACTATTCTGCGTTCTTCGATGATTTCCAGCAGCAGCGAGATGTCCACGATCATATCCGCTACCCTAAAGAGTCATTTCAGAAAACTATTAGATTTTTATGCTATTTTTGCAAAAGAACAACAAAAAGCGTACCTTGTAATCTTCATTTTTCGATCTAAAGTAGTCGTGAACCGAAGTGTCAGGCCGAAAATCGCATTTCGATCGATCCACTGATGGATCATAGACCATTCTATCTGGTGAAAGGTGCTCACAGACCTAAAAATAGTAGTTTTTTGGTTTTTTTCAAAAAACACTCACCCAATGCGCCGTACGAGTTTTTCGGTCATACGAAAGAACAAAGTCTTCGAATGTTCTAACATTGTCGAAACCGGGATATCCATATTGCATAATTTGTGATGCCCTCGATGGAGCGATTGAAGAACCTATTTTATCACTACTAAGGACTTAAATTCCAAATACAAAATAAAATTTACAACCTACCCAGACCCAATCGGCACGTCGAGATTCACGGGCATCGGCTGAAGAGCTGTGGCGGCAATACCCGTGCGAAATATCCTCTAAAGTCAAAAATGAGAAGTGAGCCAGATTGCCTTAGTTTTTATAAGGTAAGTTGTGTAAAAATTACCAGCGTATTCTCGTTTCCAAGTTGAGTGCCAACGAGAAACGACCCGACGGCGATCGTTGACACCCCACTTATCCGCCTCCACATCTAAAAATTGACTTTTAAAAAAGCAAATAAAAATAAAATTGTCAAATAAAAACCAACATTCAAAAGGCAAAAAAACCTGTTCACAGTCAACACAAACTTTTGGAATGATGACAGTTTTATTTCAGAAAATTTCAAAACACTCAATTACTCGTACAAATTTATGAGCTTAATATTCAACCGGAAATTACAAAATGAGATCAAAATAAACAGCTAACAAAATCGATCAATCAATTAGAAGTCGGGATACGTCATCCTTTTGCTCGTCGGCGTGCAAACCGATTAGATGTCTTGCCTAAAGTTCTATTTTATACTTTTTCACAAAAAAACTCACCTGAACAAAAGCAGCACAAAGACCCGATAGTTGTACTTTATCTGAGCCACCCTCTGAAAGGCGTCGTTCCGTGTCCGCCAACGCTGTTAGCAGTAAACAGTGAACCTGGAAAAACATTTAAAGATGGCCAACTATTAAAAAAATGAACTGACAGTAAGTTTCTTTCAATGAATTCACAAACCTGCGATGGGACGTCGAGCTTAAAAACTAGATCATGCAAACGGGTGACGATATCGGATAGAGCAAAGCCGAGCTCAACGCATTCTTGTTGCAACTCTATATTTGATAAGTCGAAGTGCAATTTATAAAACCAACTTTTATAGGCGTTTTGCATAGTGTCGTTGAGAAGCACTCGGAGAATTCCTTCAATGTGAGCGGGTGTCGGTTGGCCAACGCATCGATACACCGTGTCCTCGTTCACCTCTTGAAAAGCCATAGTAGTACTCTGAAAGCTCAACAAAATTATATAAATAAACTGAACCACTTCAAAAATCCACCTGTAGAACATTCAATACACGACGCATATCTCCCTCACAGAGCATCAATAAAGCCTCGCGTCCGGGATCCGTTATATTGATGTGCTCAGATTGAATCACATGCTCGAGACGTGGCTTAATTTGCTCCTAAATACATAGCGTTTGCTTTAAACTTTTGAAAACTTACAGTTGACAAAGGAGCAAAACGAAATCGTGTACACCGTGATTGAATAGCCGGAATGATCGACGAAAGATAGTTACAGATGATGCAAAAGCGCACGTTCTTCGTGTATTTCTCAATCACCCTAAAAATTGTTAGAACTCTAATGGTGAAAATTGCTGTACCTTTTCAGAGCATTTTGTGCGTCTTTCGTCATTGCGTCGGCTTCGTCAAGAATTACCAGCTTAAATAATCAGCTTAACCGCAAATTAAACAAAGCAAACCTTAAAACGCGAGGAATCACTTGGAGCGTGAAGGCCACGGGCTTGAGCAAACATGATAATATCGTCACGGACCTGCATTAAAATACAATACTAAACATTTGAAAGTGTCTGAAAAATTGGTTTACTATCGAACAACTTTATCACTTACCACATCAATTCCTCGATCATCAGATGCGTTGAGCTCGAGAATCATCGAGCGAATCTCCTTTTCCGAGTAGATCGTTCGAGCAATCGCATGAATCGTAGAAGTTTTACCTAAACACTTCACAATAAAGTCGGTTTTCTTATATTGTTACCTGTCCCAGGTGGGCCGTAGAAAAGCATATGCGGGATTCGATTGCTCGCAATAAAGTTGTTCACTAAAGATCACATTAATTGAATTGTGGTAAATTTTTGATACAATCAAATAAACCAATTCAAAACCTTACCTTACCTGTTTTTATAATTTCTTCGTGCGAAACGACCTCATCGAGTTTGCTAGGGCGATATTTCTCTACCCACGGCATGTTCTTTCGTACGAGCTCTCCCTCCATCTTGGAAATCGGGTCTAAACACATGAGTAGCTATATAAAGATTCGATTCATAACATACATAAACATTGAATTTAAACTACCTATTTAAATTTCACTACAAAGTTAACTTAAACATCTCTTTTCACCGCCCGACTACAAAACCATCCAAAAGACTCCTATTTTCACCGGCAATCAGGAGGTTTATAATACGTTCAACAGCATAAATTGGGGGGTGGGACAAATGCGACCTTTTTTTTTGCGCACCTGGACATTTGCGCACCTTTTTTTTGCTGGAAAAGGCCTTAGGCAAGGCCGTAGAGCTTCGAGAATATTTCGAAAATATTTCCATATAAGGGAATCGTATGCGTAGATTCCGAATTTCGACAAATCGGACCTCGCTGACACGTCAACTTTGGGCTAAAAGGCAAAAACTGCGGAAAAGCGTTAAGTTGCGTAGTTTTTGCCTTTTAGCCCAAATTTGACGTGTCAGCGAGGTCCGATTTGTCGAAATTCGGAATCTACGCATACGATTCCCTTATATGGAAATATTTTCGAAATATTCTCGAAGCTCTACGGCCTTGCCTAAGGCCTTTTCCAGCAAAAAAAAAAAGGTGCGCAAATGTCCGGGTGCGCAAAAAAAAGGTCGCATTTGTCCCACCCCCATAAATTGTTAAATTTTCCCATCAAAAGTAATGAACTTGTGATACAAAATTTTTGTGTAAAACTACATAAATTCTATAAGGATTCTTTAGAACTCTTTATTGCCGCAGAAAATCAAATCACAAGGCTACCAAATAAAAATTAAACTCAAATTTTTAAATGTAAAAGATCAAAAAAGAAAGAAAATTGATTCGGTTCGTGATTCACTTTTCCGTTTCTCGACCATTGTTTCTGTTATGTGCTTCGACGAGATTCGGCGATGGAGAGATAGTATTTTAAGGGGTGACGAATTCAATCTAAAATGGAAAACGTGAATTTGTCTCACAAATACCTTTAATAATATCACCTTACCTCGCCTGTCGCCTTTTCATTCTTTTGAGGTGTAGAAGGAGTCTCTGTCATCGCTGTCTGTGGTTGCATTTCTCGTACTTCCCGCTCGAGTTGGCTAATCTGCTCCTTTTTCTTCTGTGGGTCATGCGAAAGTAGAAGTTTCTTTCGGGCGTAGTATTTATCCTAAACCTTCCATTCAAAATTACCCAATTAACCACCACAAACCTTGGCCATTCGATCAGCAATTGTTTGTGGTACATCGGGGAGTAGTTTACAAATCAACGCTCGTATCGTGTTGAGCATAAACTAAAATACAGCACGTAGGATGGTAATCGCTAAACTCACGACAAAAGCAATCGCAAAGCAGAGTCGCAAAGAGAAGTTGTAATACCTAAAAACACGATTTGTAAAATTGCAACATTAGTAAGCTTTTTACCATTCATCCGAGAATTCAATTCCTTCTTTCACACATTTTTCTGGCTGATTTAACCAATCAAATTTCACGAGTGTAGATTCATTATTGATACATTGTGGCGTGTAGAAACCATAATAACTGGGACAAATCAGATGTTCACAAAAACATATTGGAAACTCACCGACAGGACTGTGGAATCATCTTATGTGTTTTGCGATCAAAGAAGTCCGACTTTGTAATGACATAAGAAGAGATGTTGAGATATTTCGTGTTGTAAACCGAGTGCGAATGATTTGAATATCTAAAACAGCTAAATATTGTTTACAAGTCAAATTACTTCAAGTTTACCCATGAAGAGACCCATTTCTGAAACGCCATTTCATTGCAGGGACAAACTCTGAAGTGAAAGCAATGAGTAGTGCCTAAATGCCCCTTTTAAAATATATGCAACTTAAATTTCCAACTTACATTAACGTAAACGGATAATTTCACTATTCCGGCAATGATTGGAGTCCAAATGCCAATTGAATCCACTTCATCTGGTACAGGTCTTTGCTTTAGTCGCAGAAACTAAAAATTTTCAGGATCACAAACACGGAAAAACTTACTTTGAAAGCATCAGCTCGAATCTCGATCAAATTGTTCATCAACGCAAACAAAGCGGCTAATGGAAAAGCTGGAGCAAAGAGCACCAAAACCGAGAATTGCATTACTGTAAAAAAGATCTTGTTAGACAGTAAAAACATTTCAAAAACACCAACCAAGCTCTGCATACTCGTAGCACAGAAAATGAGGCTCGTTTTTCAGCAGGTAAAAGTCACTCTCCCATTGGGGTTGCTAAATAAAGAAAGCTTCCAGTTTCCAAAAAACATAATTTGTCAAACGTAATACCGGGATTGATTCTGGCAATTCCGCATATCCGTCTCTCTTCCGAGCTTTCCGTTTATTCACCCATTTACCGATCCTCGAGAGACAAATTTTCCCTCGTTTAATCAAAATACTAAATTGATCCAAGTTTAATGTCTAAATTCTAAAGCACAAACGGAATGATCGACCCGAAAACGGCTTTCACCAATTGGATTCCGACGAAGATGATGGCCATCTGAAAACTGAAATATTCTCAAGGAAACCGAGAAACTTTAATTCAACCTGAATTGATAACTCCACAAAGCAATTCGAAAAACACGCGCGTATCCCAAGCCCGCGAGACGATGAAGAGAAAAATGCCGAATGTTTTGCGAACCTAAAAACAATAACAAAATTTGAGTGTAGACGAGCGCACTTACAATGGTTGAATGAAAGCGACAAAGAAAAGCGAGCTGTTCGTGTTGAAAAATTCGGCCACAAAGATCTTGATGATGAAGGCATTATCGAAGTCACCCTAAATAGCTTGAATTCCTTATGTCTTATAAACAAAACCTGCGTTCTAGGACATTCCCACTCCACTAACCGATAAATCAGCAAATGATAAATCTAAAAATGCTATTTAAAGCAGTTTCTAGTTAACACTCACCAAATTGAACACCAAAATGATCACCAGATGAAATGTGGCAACAATCGCCGAAGAGAACAACGTGTTAAATGTATCCGAGGCCTTATTTTTCGTAACTTTGATAATCAACTCCTAAAATATGATGCCATCATAGAGAGAATCTCAATCTTACATCAATATGGCGTCGGAGGAAAAATGTAAGAAACGAGGCACCAATAATAAATCCAGCCTAAAAAATTAATGCAACAACTACAACAAAACAAAAATGACCAACCACAACGATCATCACAACAATGTTAACAACGAGATTGAGTGCTTTCTTTTTCTTTGTTAGATAAGGCTCCTTAATATCGGTGACAGGATCTCGACGAGTCGTTTTTACATGAAGTTTGAAATCGAGACGAATCGTGTGCTAAATCATGATGGATTTACTATAAGAACAAGATCTCTGACCTCTTGATAAAAAGAATCGGTTAGGCCCCAGCGATAAGCTAGCATTGTTTGAGCTCGCTTCCAGATTTGAAGGAATAACTAGAGGATAAGATTTGGGTATAATTTATCTTATTTTACCTGTGCCCAAATAGTGATTCCAATTCCAACGATGAGAACACCCCATTGATCGAACAGAAATGAAAACTAAAAAATGATTGTCACAAAAAACATTGAAAAGCAATCAACCTGGGCCATCGTACAGCCCGCGCTCATTTTACGGAAATCGCAGAAGCTATCGCAAATTGGACAAAGAATGGTGGTATTATCCTTGCACACATCATTACTAAAAATATGCAAAAGGAGATACAAAAATCCAACTTACACCATCGACTGATCGTTAACAAACATTATGGCAACGGCAAAGAACCAAACAATTCCGAGCAGGCTTGCGAGAGTGAGCAAACGAGTATACACGCCAAGGAAAGCAAAGTAAAGGCCCGTCTTTGCGCCAAAGTAGTCTCTAAAACCAACCTTGTTTCCAAAAAGGTTAGCTAAACTTCAATACCGAATGAGATCCAAAGGTTGTCGCATTCGTAATGATCGAATCGAGGCCCAGTGACGAGCAAGCAGCTCTCGTTGATTCATTTCGCTCTCCGCAACCATCTTCAACTCGGAACCCTCTCTCAGAGCCTAAGCAAACTTGATCAAAAAGAATATTTGACAAGGCTTACCTGATGAAGTGGATATGCTGCTGTGTAAGCTCCAGCGCGCAACAATCGTTCAATGCCAATCTTTTCACTATTCTCGCTTCCAAATGGGATACCCTAGAAGGGAAATGTTGTATAAATAAGCCAGTAAAAATACCCTTAGAATATAGTAAACAATCCTCGCTCGATCAGCTCCAGTAAAGACTTCATGGTTCGGGCCATCGACAAAGCTAAAACGCAGATAAAACAAAGAAATAATTGTGCTTGAGAAAAACTACCGATCTCTTTGAGTTTTCACAAAAGGTTCAAATCGTTTCTTCTTTTTGTCTTGGAGTAAATCCTAAAAGTTGAAAATACATTACTCAGTTACTCAAAGCGTCTACTTCTTTGAAGCTTTTCTCAAAAAGTTTCCCGGGAATTCGCCCCATCCAATTCTTTTTCTGCACGACCTCGGTTGAACTCTATAAAAGTCGTTGATCAGTTTACAAAACTAAAGCCCACTTGCTTTTTGATATTCGTGTCGCTTTGAAAGGGTTCCGAAATGATAGAGCCCTTGATGGGCACCTAAAAGTTTCATACATAATTCTAAAAACAGTGCTCACTTTGATTCTCAAAAGTTCCCCATAAACTTCGAGTAGAGCTGTTGGACAGTGAATTAAAATGAAACTTCGTCGAGTTGTCTAAACAATGGATTGAATTGCAAACATGAAGTATAAGCTCACTGAATCAGGCGGAACAAGCTCAATTTCCAAACCACTACTTTGCAACTTGGCCTCGAAACGTGCACGGTATCGGGCGGCCCGACTTTTTCGGCGTTCCTAAAAATTAACAATTCAAAGCTTTTGTTGAAGCCTTGTTTGAATACAACTAAGTCGAGTTCTTGGTTTTGATCGAACGAAAAGAACTTTTTTATCTGTCAAAGTTCATACCACGTTTTGCAGCGATTTTAGACTGAGCCAACGCGTGATATTCGGCTTTGCTTCTGACTTGTGAAGTTCCTGTGTACTCTGCGTTCTTTGAGACCCCTAAAACTTTCCATTAACATCTTACTCTCACACTAATAAAGTCACCGTTGTATTGCGGGTTGGCGTCACCGGAATTACCATTTTTGCCCCATCTTGAGGGAGAAGCGGATCTTCATACTAAGCCTTGAGTATAAAAATGTCGTTGCCCAAACAACCAACCACAGTTATCTCTTTCATTTGCGGATTGATTAGGCTTTGTTTCGTCGTATCGAGGTCTCCAATCTATGAGACAAATCAACAATATTTGGCTTGCAAGTGCACCAACCGTCTCATCATCCGTCCCGTCCTCGGCATCCGTGTCGCTCTCAAAAAGGCCTTTGTTCTTTTTCGAGTTCTCATTATCCTGCTCACAGTAGACTAACACGAAATCGATCTGAAATTGAAAAGTCAGACGGGGTTCAGAAGATTGATCATTTATTCGAGTGTAATGTACTACCACATGGAAAGACTCTTTCGCCGCTTTTAACACACTGCCAATGCTTGTCATAATCAATTCCGATAAAAACCCGGGTACTTGTGAGGCTTTCGAGGTCTTTTGGGGTATTTCTTTGAGTTTGAGCTTATTTTTGTATATCAAATTGAGATTTTTAAAACAATTTATAACTAAGAGAAAAAGGAACAGATTTTGAATCCGAAAAGTAATTTAGTCGAATTGACCTTGGTCAAATGCCCTGCGTCAATGGGGCGGCTCAACAAAAGGCTGGTTTTGAAGCCCAATTCATCATAAATCATAAGCTTTTGTGGATACAGGATCTGTTCCTATTTCTGTTGATTAAAACTATCTTTAAAAATTTCAACTCACCTATAAAAATAGGCTCAAACTCAAAGAAATATCCCAAAAGAACTCAAAAACCTTGTAAGCTTTACAAGAATCAAAACTCGGTATACCTGTCGCTTCCCATCCTGAAAGAACGTCGAACGTTGCGATTGTACGTTCATGAACGACGAAAAATTGGCAAATGATTCGTTTTTGTTTCATTTTCTCTCGCTGCTCAACTTCCCATTCAAATTTGTTCATTTGTGCTAAAAATTGTTTCTTTTTATCCAAATTTGTAAAGTGGCGGAGTCTAAAATGCAACGACGCCCGATTGCTACCGTATCCCGCCGTTTCCCTGCCAAATCACGACACAGTACTTTCTCGTCGCAAAGCCTTTCATTCTTTTAAATTTTGTCAGCAAAAATTCTGTTTTCCTTTAGTTTTCGTTGTTTCGAACTGAATCATGCCCATTTTTACTGTTTATACTAACTTTCTCGATTTAGATGTCTCTGCAAGCTCTCCACAAGGATCTTCTTAAGAAATGGAGCGAGAAAGAGCCGAAAATCGACCAACTCGAGGCGGCTCTTCAAGCCATCAAGAAAGTGCTCTCCGAAACCGACTCCGAGTCTGCAGAAGCACTCACGACAATCACCCGTGATGTTTTGGAGATTGACGCTCTTGTTGCGGCCATCAAAGGAGATCTTCAAGCATTCAGCGTTTCGATCTCGTCGGTCATGTCGTTTTACTCAACTTTGCGTCATGATTCGGCTCAACTCTACTTGCTTCAAGGTCTCAACTTGATGTACCTTTTGGTTTCGAATCGCCTTTCCGATTTTCACGTGTTTTTGGAGCAAATTGATCAAAGCATTCAAACCAACAACCCGTACATCTCGACTCCCGTCAAATTGGAACAATGGTTGATGGAGGGAGCCTACAACAAGATTGTTCTGACCGAAAAGAATATCCCGAGTCCATACTACACATCGTTTATTCGAATCATGATGGACACGGTTCGCGGAGAAATAGCCTTGAATCTAGAACGTTCTTTCAAGCGTTTACCAGTTCGTGATGCTCAGCAGCTCCTCCTCCTAGATGATCAACCTCGACTCACACAATTTGCAAACGAGCGCAAGTGGAAATTGGAAGGTTCGGCATACGTCTTCGACAACGAAGAAAAGATGGAGACGAACGAGGCACCCAAAAGCTCTCTGGATACTCAACGGATCGCTCGACAAACGATCTATTATGCCAAGCAACTTGAAATGATTGTTTAAGATAGTGTTTATGTCTTACGGGTTCATGTGTGCATACTTTGCAATCTCGCTAGCCGAGTATTGTGATCAGTGATATTGATGTTCTCTTTCTTTTTTGTGCTTTGAAAATTGGTGTTTCAATTGAAAAAAATTTAGATGACGAAGGGTACGCAGGCTTTCGGAAAGAAGCACAACAAGACGCACACGTTGTGCCGTCGATGCGGTCGATCGTCGTACCACATTCAGAAGCACACCTGTGCCTCATGTGGATTCCCTGCCGCCAGGAAGCGCACCTATCAATGGTCTGTCAAATCGATCCGACGACGAACCACCGGTACTGGCCGTATGCGTCACATGAAGGTTGTCCACCAAAAGTTCAGGTAAGATTTTTCTTTTAATACAAAAGCTTCTTAATAACCAAGTCTACAGACTCTTTCAAATAAGTGAAAATGGCACAATAGATGAAGTGGTACTGCTAGGTACCCCTGCGTACTGTTGTACAGTCACTAATTTAGTCGGATGCAAAGATCACCGCACAAATATCTTATAAATTATTAAACACTGCACAAGTTTGCTATTAGAAACTGAAGTTTATTAATTCATTTCTGTATTTGATACATAGTAACGAGCCAGAGATCCAATAATAGAATATAAAGTGTGGGAAACCATTACATGTTTTCTTTTCAGAAATGGATTCCGTGCTGGAACAGTTGCAACGCCAAAATCAGGAGGTCAAAATAACGCCGCCAGCAACGTCTAATTGTTTTTGTTATTTGTTGGAATAAATGATTTTTAATATTGAAGCAACTATTGAAATCGCAGTTACCACGTAAGAGTTGCCGTGTTTTTCGTAGACAGGCCAAATTTAAAGCCAACATCTAACGTTTATCGTTTTTTGCAGGCAAACTAAAACTGCGTCATGCTAAAATGGATGGATTGACTTCGCATTTAAAGGTTACTCTTTGTGACAAGTAAACATTTTTTTGTAGTTCTTATCGCTATTAGGAGTATCGGCAGGAGTTGCAATTTGGTTGTTCTTTCGTAGATTAGGAGTTAAAGATGTCGTTACTGATGTGATAAATTCGAAGGTTGGCATTTATTTGCTTTTAATGATTTGCTTTACCTACAGCCTCGCTATTTGACACGCTACATCGAGCTTGAGCCATGGATGGTTGGTGCGATCATTGGAAAAAGAGGATACACTATCTCAAAGCTTCAAATGGAAACTAAAGTTTGTCAAATCTTTGGAAAGCCTGTGTCTACCTGTTTAGTGTCTTTTACGAATTGTTCATTATGATCCGGAGAGCGCATTGAAAGCCGGAAATACTTATCCATACTTGAGCAACTATAATGACAAGTGATTTAAGTTTTAAAATAAACGATTCATTTTTCAGGGACACCAGATCTTCTGATGACGAGGATTGGAATGCGGAGGTTAGACCAAAGAAATCATCAGTGAAAACACCCTTCTTGGAAGCGGTATTTCGGGAGGAAGCTCAAGTTTGGGAACTTATGCACTCTTTATCTAATTCCTTTAGTACAATCATCTTCTACAACTGGTCCAAGAGCTCATCTCCAACACCAAAGAGAAACGTGTTCACCGGAAAGTATTTATCCCAAAAGAAAGCGCTTTACACACATATGGTGAGTTTTAATTTTTTATACAAAAGAAAACTTTGACTTATACTCTACTCGATTATTTAGGTCTCTATGGTCGAAATGTTAGGAGGATTCAACGTTCCACGCGTGTCGTTGTAGAAATTGCACTTGAAGGCATTGAAGCACAATCAAATGGGCAACAACTTGTATGCTTGATGTGAATAATTGACCGTAATTTCTGTATTTAGCCTGGGTTGAATGGAAATCAAGAAGAAGTGCTTGAAGGAAAAGTCGCTGTTTATTTTTATGGTCCAGAGAAAAATCTGCAAATCGCCGAAGTAAATTTTTAGTGTTTTCTTAATGTCTAGCTAGTCACAAGTTTATTTATTTTTATTGATGGAAATATTTTAGGAGATGCTCTTGAAGTATGTCGAGGATTATTACTACAAATTCGGCTATGCGACAAATCAAAAGGTTTCCCTCGCCGAATATGATGAGCCCACAGTTTCCGAGGTATTTTATTTTAGAAATCAAATTTCATTCATGCTTTAGATCCTGGAGCGTATACTCAAAGTCCATGAAAGTACGAAAGACGACGAAGAATTTTAGTATCTTGATGATTTGATTAGTTACATATCGTTTTTTTTTCTTAGTATTATCATTCTAATTCTTCTGAACTTTGTTATGGGCTTTTGTTTGTTAAAATTTGTAATCAATTTATTACAATAGAATATGATTGGCAAGTTTTTGTTGAGCTCGGGAGTGTTTTTTCTCTAAAGATATCAATGATTGTTTCATTCGTTTGAGCAGATCCCGATAGTGTTGACGCAGCTAAAAATTGAATGTGTTTTTAAACTTTACTTCTTCGACTTGCCGCTTTATTTGTATCCTCCTTCTCAATCAATAGCTTTTCGAGCTTTTTCACACGAGTAATCGTTTCCGGAGAAGTTTCGAACTGATTTCTGAAAGGTGATCGACTTGACTGTATTTCGGTGTACTGTTCGGGGGCAAGAGCTGGATGTTACAGTATTTTGAAACCACCCAAACCTCAGTATCAAGATCGTCTCTTCCATCTTTTCATGTCTAATCTTTTCGTTCTCACAATTTTTCCTCATTTTTTCCATTTCCGCTTCAAATTGTTGTCTTTGTTTTTGTGAGTTGAACTCATTTTTTTTCATCTTCTCCGCAACTTTATCCTTTTCCTCAATTTTTCCCAATAGGCCTTCGATTTCTTGACGGTTTTGGGTGATTTCGTCTCGGAGATCTGAAATCTGAGATAATTCGCAATATTTTCCAAAACGAACTGAGTATGGTCATATTTTTCTTCAGACATTCCCCTTCAAGGAGGGAAAATTTCTCGGCGAATTCCGCTCCCAATCGATCCGAGTTTATCGAATGGCGTTGTTCCTAGATTTTCTAGTAGTTCACCCACACCAAGATTCTTTTGCTCAATTGGTTCATTGTTTCCAAACTCACATTTTGTAGATTCTCATTCTCTCGCTCCATTTTCTCCTTGAGAATCGAGTTGATCTTTCTGAAATTTGTCACTTTTTGACCTTTTACTCGACTCACTTTTGTAATATTTCAATTTCTCCATCTTTCAAGCGAATCATTTCCTTTTGAATTCGGAGTGAATTGGTGAGACTGGAAAAAATCTAATTTGACTTTGGCTCTGAACTCACGCTGAGTACCGCATTTTCAACTCACCGTTTACACTCATTTCCCCTCTTTTCTTTTTCCATTCTTTCTTCTCTCATTTCTCGATTCAAACTCTCCAAATAGTTTTCATATTTCTGGCGTGATTCCCGAAGTTTTTCATCGAACTGGAAAGCTCTTTTAAAGTTTTCTTCAATATTCCCAACCTCTCGACATTTTTCTTCAAGTACCGTAATCTCTTTTCGATATCCTTCGACGAGTTGCGAATCGTGTGAAGAAATCGGCCTAAATTTTGACGTTTGAAAACTTGTCAGTTTCTTTCTTGAACTCACCCTTCCCTCTCCAAATCTTTCAATATTTTATTCGTTTCTTCAACGAAATGATCTCTCAATCTTTTCTCCTTTTCTCTCGCATCCAATTCGCTTTGTCGTGTAACGGATTTTTGCCTGCACAAACTGAAATTTGAGTCAACTTCTGGAACGAGGATTCGTACTTTATGCTCAACCCACTTTTCCTCCAATTTTTCATTCATTTCCATCAATATTTTCTTTTCTTCCATTATCATTCCATATCGTTTTTCTTCTTCCAATAATTCCTGCAAATCTTTTTTCTAAACTCCTTTTTCTTTGCAAACCTTTTGAAATACTTTCCTCAGCTCTTCCAATTTCGTCGTTCTGAAGATCTCATTCTTGATTTCTCTTTCTTTTCCCTCTTCTTCTAACTAAAATTTCAACACAAACTTTCGGCATCTGGTGCACCAAATACTTATCTTTTCTCGAAAATGCACTCACTTTTTCAATCAAATCTCTACTTTTCTTTTCCAAATCTGCAAAATTTCTCTCTAATTTCTCGCTATTTCCATGTCGACTTTTTAGCTGAAATTTATCCTTCTCAAGGAGATTAAAGCCCTGTCAAACTTTGTGTACCGAAAATTAATCCAAATCTATTTTTACCTCATTATTTTCTTCTTTCACCACCAACAATTCCTCTTTTACTTCGAAAAATCTCCTTTTCAATTGTCGATAATTTTCCTGCGTTTTCAGCACCAGTTCGCGTTCGGCCTGCAAAAATTCTCATATCTATCTATAACGACTGTTAGGCTATTTGAATCGACTGCAAAAATTGTTGGAAAGGCTAAATCTTGTTTAAAGCTTAAGCCCTTTCCCAGCCCCCCTCTCCGATTGGATTGTCACCTCAAAAATATGATTCAATTCCCGTGCCGTGATCGTCTCATTTTCTTCGCAAATCATTACAAAAATAGATAAATCTTTCAGTATACAGTAAGCTTGTCAAATGTTAGTTAGATATCGAGAATGGATAGTGACATAAATGCAAATTTTGGGGAATGCGGTAACTAGGTGAAAATGGTTGCTATGGTGAAAATGGGGGAAGGGGAGAAAGGAAAACATATGGTGATGAAGCGAATTAGCTTTCAGGTAAACACTGAAAGACCACTCTACTTTACCGAGTTGAATAATTTATCGATGAACAAATTAACGAACAATCGTAAAACTTTGGCCAATTTTTGAGCAAAACAATAACATAATCAAATAACAAAGATGAGGCGAACAAATATATGTAAGCAAATACAGAAATTGGAAAAGTTCTGAAAAATCAAATGAAAACCGAAAACAAGAGGGAAATACACCGGAAAACGAAAGACTTTAAGTCGGAAAGTCGGAAATAAAAATAAAGCCCAAATTTTGATCGTTACAAGTTTTACTTCCCGGCTTCAATTTTCCATCGAAAACCATTCGGTTCGACCTGAACAAAGAACAAAATATTCGTTCAAATATAAAACACAAAATTTCTAAAAAACCCACAAAAATTTCGGTCCATTCCACATTTTGGCCAATCGAGTTGAGACCGTTACAAACATTTTTATCATTTACCTAAAAATATGAAGAAACTTTGGAGCCAAAATCAAAAATAAGTTACCCTTATTGAAACAGCGTTTTCATTGGAGACCATATTGGACGATTTGAGAAACGACGACACCTGAAATATTGTTACAAAAAATAATTTTTGGTGCCAATTGGATTTTTTTAAGTTTTAAAACTGGGCTTTTCATACGAAACAACACCTAAACAAAAGGCGCTCACCAGGGCTGTGCGGGTACCCGGACCCGCTACTCAGAATTTTTTTCCGGGTAATTAATTACCCGACCTGGAAGTTTTTTTGGACCAATACCCGGAATGGCTGGGTACCCAGGGTCATGTTTTTGTGCCAAAATCACCAGGTTTTTGCCCGGTGGCCGGTCGACCGGAAGTGGGGGTAGTCTCGAGTTCGACCCCTACTACAGTCAACTTTTTTTTGCCGTTTTTCGCCTAACATAAATAAAGTACGATGAAAACCCACCGCCATAACGTGTTCATTGAGAATCGGCCCTCCTTCAATCTCACAAATGTATTTTAAATCACCGCTCGTTTGACGCACAATTTTCGAAGTCTTCTAGAAGATAATAACATGTAAGTAACCGACTTATATATTGTGAAAAGTGCCCAAATCATCTAATGTTTTAAAAAAATACAATTATAAGAAACTCACCCTGTAAGGAACCAAAGGAGCACGCAGAAATTGTCGAGAAGCAATCAATGTTGGTGGTAATCCAGCAAAAGGACCTGAAAGTATATGGTACTTTCAAAGTTTCAAGATCTTTACCTGAAAGCGTTCCAGTCAAATGTTTTGTCTCTTTATCAATCAGCATATCTCGCAATTTCTTCAACGAAGAAGAGTCCTAGATTTGAATTCAAAATCTGCCATGAAGAGAAGAGCTACTTACATTAATATAAATGGCATTCGGTCGCCGATCATCCTTGTATCGTGCATGATCAAATGAGCGACTAAAGCGTTGCGATTAGCAATGTTTTTCTTCTAAAAACTCACTATCGACTGAGTTTCGGGGTGACTCCGTTGTTTTTCGCCTTTGCACTATCGTAAACGGCTTTTGTGGGGCTAAAATTAAATGTTCAAACTAAATTGAAATGCCAAACAAATCAAACAATCAGTTATCCAATCAATTCTTTATCTACCTGTTCTCATCGGGATCATCATCACTGTCCGATCCATTCATATTGTGCATTCCAAACGAATTCGAGCATCCTACCTCTTTCACCGGAGTTTTTTGGAGATCGCCTAAAATCTTAAGATAAGCAAACTCATGATAGATTCTAAAACTTTCTTCAAAAATCAAAAAGAGAAAAGTTTCAAACACTAACCAAATAATGGTGGTTGACTGTTTGTGATATCAGCAGAGAAACAGTCTAAATCCACTTGTGGAGAGCCTCGTTCCGATCCACGACCATTCGCGCGTTTCGAAAATTCGAACTTGATTCCTAAACTTTCAAAACTATAACTTGATTAAAAGGCAGTTCTTGTAAAAGGTAGCAAGCAAATCCGTTTAAAATCTTAAAAATATTGTTACCTTCTTTTCGTAACAGCTCTCTCAGCAAGAAATTCGAGTGTGAGACAATGGCCGCCTTTCTTTTGCCGTGAAGAAATTGAGCCGAACAGCTCGTTTGTGAAGCCGTCTCATCAACCATTTGACTAGGTTCTGCCTAAAATGAGAATGAATTCCATTCGAAAACCAGTAAAACCGATTCTCAAAAAAAATACCTCAGATGTTTTATAACTCGTGAAGAAGACAGTGAATGGCGATGCGCACACATAGAAATGATCCCTCATCCCGCGACGCCACGAATCAAACAACGAGGCAAAGCATTCTTCCCTGAAAAAAGATATGATCAAATTTGCATTTAAAAATTCTCATCTAAATCAACTACTACAAGATCCCGTTTACAAAAAAAACTCCACCATTGTCCAATCAATTCTTCCTTTTGTGCTGTCGTGAATTGGATTCCTTTTGCTGTTGACTAAAAAGGTAGAGCTTCATTTGCATACCAATCAAAAGATTATGCCTTTTCGAGTGATTTCATCCTTGGGAAAAAGCTCATTCCGGGTAATTCTGGATACAAATAACACATTGAAGCCGCTTCTAAACACGCCAAAGGAGCATTGCTGAGACAGGACTAAAAATATTGCATTTAAGCTTGGCTCACCAGACCACCAGATCTAATCTGGAATCTACCTTTAGTCCATCCTTGAACAATTCGATGCCGTTAAAGAGGTCAGGCTCAACGATTTTCACTGGAACAGAGCCTAAAAATTACATTTCAAGGTTAAAGATCTATTCAGATAATGACCAGGTCTCGTGTTATCCCCTTTCATCCATGGGAATGGTCGTTGCGATGTGATTATCAACTTTGTGCCCAAACGCCAATCCACTGGCAATGTTTCACTGGTTCTAAAAAGGAAAATCGTTTATCACTGGTTTTATCTTCAAAAAAAATTCCAGCTATTCATTTCTATTTTCTTTTAAAAGGGCAAAAGTACGTTTTTAATCTACCAAAATCGTAAATCTTTTACCTAAACTCCTCTTTTTCTTTGGGTGTCGCAATCGAGAAAAGAGCTCGATCGTTTTCCGAGAAATCAGTCGGCATTCCTTCATTAAAAATACACAGCGAATCGTAAAGAGAATCCTGAAATGAGCCTTTATCATTTATCAGAAAAAATATTTACCTCAGCATTATTGCAAGACAATGATCGATTAATGAAACCAAATTTTCGCTCCTCATTACAAAAACTAAAACTTCAATTTTAAATTCAATCAGAAAAACAAACCTTTTCATGAGCGGACTGTTAAATGAATCGTTTGCTGTCGAATCATCCCAATCGATAAGTGATGAACCTAAAATAAAAGTTTGATATTAAATCAAGAACCTTTTAACAAACCCGTTTGATTTGTAGAACACGTATTATTTTGAAGGGGTCTTTTTCTTGGAGAACGCTAAAATGAAAACTTTTGCTTTGACACAATCCCTAAAAAACTACACGAAACGGATTCAATTTGGGTGTGCTGTTTGTTGAATTGGCCCTTGATGGAGGCTCCTTTGGTGAATCGGCAGCCGGTGAGTTAGCCACATCTGGTGCCAGCGAACGACGCCTAAAATTGAAAACATATATACGTACAAATTTTTAGAACTTTTGACTATTAAACTATTAAACTTTTGTATCTTAAATGATAAATTTGTAAATCAAACTCACGTCCTTCTCCGAATCGAATTCTTTAGCACATCTCTCGGGTTGCGCCATGCCGGTGAAGATGGCTTCGAATTCATCTAAATTTCAAAGTAAAATTTGCAAACTGCAAACGTGGTAATAGTAAATTTCAATTTACAATAGATCTTAACTTTCAAATTTCTCAGATACTTATCTAGGGATTTTGCACCTTTTCAAGGTTATCCCTCACCTCTTCCCTTCACTCTGAAAAGGGTACTCAAAAACACGAAAACTTTTCTTTTGCTAAAAATTCCCTAGACAAATGTCTAAAATTTGGTTGGGCTCACTCCGGAAAAGGTCAGGATATAGATGAAAAGGGGTAGAACAAGAATAAAAAAGGATTCATACGGGAAAAGGGGGAAAAGATCCGCTTCTTCAAAAATGGCAAAGGCCAGGGAGACAGGCCAACTACTCCCAAGGGAGAATTTCACGTTGAGTGAGACTTTTGCCCCCTTTCCTCAGAATTTCCCCAACCGATTTCAGTCGGCAATCCCCTAAAACAAACGGGAAAAATCTTGACTCTCCAGTACTCAAAATTGAGAATTTATTCCTTTGGTGACATCCGCTGAACTAAACTTTTACTAAATTTGCCATTTTGAGTTGAATTGCTCATTAAGCTAACTATTTGGCTTCTTTGCTAACTAAATATTTCCAATCAAACTCGAGTTTCATTCGTTTAGGTTTCAAATAAAGTATTCACATTACCTGTTCACCTTGTTATTACTTGAATGGCTTTCTACTTTGCTCTCCTAAACGTCTCAAACAAAAGAAGTGAGGACAAAAATCGTCAATCACAAAGGCACACAGCAAGAAGTCAGCGGCAAGTAAGAGATCGATAAAGAGATATGGTGTAAAAGCTTCAAATACAGGCTCGACGACATAGCATTGCCAGCCTTGATGAGCAGCCATTGAATGACTATCGATTACTGCCAAAGTTTGATAGTTTATGTATTCAATTTAAAAAACTAAAAATATATTAGACCCTTGGTTGTGACAAATGAGCTCGCCACCGGGCATTACCTTCCCAATTCTGCGTCAATTAAAGAAGAAATGAATCGAGCCAGAGAATCATCACTTTCATCTAGAGACGAAACACCGCCACCACCAAAGATTGAGCGGAACTTGATCAAAGCCAATTTGAGACATTCCCGTCAGCAACCAAGTTTCAATTCGTACAAGGTGAGTTTGATCTGCTAATTTATCACAGTGATGAAGTTAGTGACAAATAGAAACTGGTGCAGAAATTTTGTAATCTGAATCGAGTCATGATTTTTCTACCGTAGCCTTTGTCCAATTTGCATCAAATATATGTCAAACCGAAAGTCATTCAGAAAAATCACAGAGATAACCTTTTCCACGATCGACGGGAATCAAGCGAAATCGACGAACCGACGTGTAGTCGACGATTTGGTACTTTTCATTATCGATTTCATACAAGAACCCAATGATTATTTCAAGACAACGATCCCTACAATAATCGAGAAGACAGTGCAAGCGGAGAGGATGAGTTTCGAAGTATCAATTCTCGCTTCAGAAGGGGTTAGCATGACATGCATATTTTGATATTAGAGAGTCTACTGTTTTGCCCAGTTCGAACGTAACATTACCCGATTCAAAGCGTATAACCTAAATACAGTTAACCTATCAACAAACCAGTAGCACAACTAGTACTAATATGTAAACTAATCCAGCTCAATTCAAGGATTCTCCCCATTGGGTTCGCCCGTGCGCACTTGCTCTGCAAAAAGTTCTCGAGAAGAGAGCCGAAGAACGAGCAAAGCTAGCAGCAATTCAAGTGAGATCATCGCCTCAATAAATGGTAAGCAAAAAAAAGTAGAACTTTCCAAAGGCAAATCTTTTAGGGCGATATGGTGCAAAATCTTCGCAAAATGACGGAACGGAGAATAAGTTCTTTGAAATTTAATGGGAATGATAAAAAGGATTCAGGGTGATTGCCAGTAAACGAGTCACTTTTGACAACAAGAACAACTCCGTGATAATCGAGGGTCATTTTTTAGGTAAATTAAGGAATTGTTAATGGGGTTTTTGCTCAAAACTTCCAATTATTTAGAACAAGTTATTAATGGAAAGGATGACTAGGCTAAAAGAAATTATCTAGAAGAGCGTCTTCACTGGGCGGACACGTCTGTTCCCAGTGTGGACACACGCTTGAGAACGGTGACTTCAGTAGGAGATCTTGGACAACACAGCACAAATCAAGTCAAGGTGGGTAGTCAGTCCGGGTCAAAAAGTTCATGCTTTGAGCTATCTTTCCTTATCCGAAACTACCGAAATATCATCACAGCCTTTTTTAGAAAGTGGCAGCAAATGGCGTTGGCTCATCCGAGCAATATTTAGGTAAGTTCGTGCAGCGAATTGAGCTGCAAAGGCAACTTGATAAATTCAGAAGACCGAATAAAACTTTGTATTACAATTTGCAGAAAATCTCCGAGATACCCCTACTCGGACGATTCTCCAAAATGCAACCAACGAGCATGCCGAAAATCAAAATGAAAACAGTTTGGATGGAATGAAAAAGTGGGAAATTCGTAACATTCGAAAAGCTCGTGAAAAACAAACAAGTGACCTCAGGAAAATGAGATAAGAATTCTCCTTTTCCTAACTATCTAGCAAAACCCGCAAAATCTACGAGCCCTACTTGTTCGTTCAGGTCCAAGTTTATGTTTATTCCACAAATAAAAGTTTTTGAGCAATCAACTCCAACACTAATTGCTGTGGTAAAACAGTTTTGAGATTTAGCCTATTGCATTATTTTCTAACCATCTAAAATCATCAACCCACCTTTTTTAGATGTTCTCGTCTTCTTCGTCGCCGATCGACTTCAGATCGAAGTGGTCGAGGAACGTCCTTCTGTAATCGCGGTTTCCTTCTTGCGAATGAAGAGCTCTCGATGAGACGGCTGGAAAAAAGTGAGATTAAAGATTCGCCAAAACTGGACTATTTTCAGGTTTTCATCTGTAACCACAAAAAAACACTATGTAAATATCGAAAAGTCCAACAACTTTTTCATCCATAAATTCTCAAATGCAAATAAATTTATTGAAAACAACGAAAAAACTGAAATAAATGCAACAAAACAAACAAATAAATCTATAACTAAATAATAATTGACTGCTACTTCGGATCTCCTTTAATCATCCACAAAGCATCCTCTTGTGTCTTTATGAATTTTGAGTGCAAATATGCGACAGATGCCTAAAATATTACTTAAAATGTTTGAGATATTCAAAACGGATTTAACCCAAATCCGAATTTTCTAATTTTATATCACTCTTTTAAAAACTCACATTTTCTTTCCTTATCATCTCATCGGATAATTTCCCTTCTTTTTTGTATATTCGCCACATGAAGTTGTTCCAAGGTCGATCAAAACCATAAGCATACCTAAATTTTTTTTCCGTAAATCAAGATATTGATTTTGGTAAGTCAAAAGAAAATAGTTCTTAAAAACACTTCAAAAACCTACCACATTGACAAATTCCATCCACTGACCCAAATAACCGTGAAAGCGGTCATCGTCTTTGCTAATGAAGCATGTACAATCGCATTGTATAATCTAAAAAGAGATTGTTATGAATCAAACACAAAAAAGCAATCGGCCCAGAAGCACTGCACATCGGCGCAAAATAAGGCAAAAATTCGTTTTCTATGGGATTTAGTCGGAAAATAGCAGATTCGACGTTAAAAAATGCGCCGATTGTTGAAACTGAAAGAATTTTTTAAATCCGCCTTGTAGCCTTTTATAAAATTGTTTTTCTGATTTTACCGTATACAATTGGGTCATTTTACCCTTCTGGTGATAAATTTTGAGAATGAAGGCCTTAAACAACAATCTATTCGATAAAAATCGCCATTTTGCGCTGATGTGCACTGCACCATTCAGTCCAAAGGTTGCTCATTAGCTTTGTCTCCCACCTCAATCTCCAATACGGTTTTCCGGTTGGTTTCGGCACAAATTGCACTCGTTCTCTATTGCTTGGCCCTTCACCATTTGTTTCAGACATAAATGAAAGTCAACCTCAATGTTTCTTTTGTTATGTATAAACCTAAAAATAAAGTTAAAAGACACTTATGCTGCGTTACTCGTCATTAAAGTATATGAAAAACAATTAATTTCCGCACTTTGAATTTAATCCATGGTAAAACAATTTATCGATAATAAAAGTTTCAAATAAATAGAAAAAATACATTGATGAGAGTCGGCGGGGCGTTTTTGAGAGATCAATTCCACCTGAAGGATCAACTGTTAAATTAATTGTATCTCAATAAGCAAGATTATTTCTGAAAAGTTCGGTGAGCTAGATTATTTCAGTAGTTTCTTTCTTTATTTGCTTGCAATAAAATCAGCAAAACCATACTTTCTTCCGGGAGTGTTGAATCCAGGAGCCTCCCATCCCTTTTTGTCGTTTTCACCCAATCCGTATTTCGACTTCATTTGCTCAAGTTTTCGCTTACCCTGAAAGCGACAATTTCGCTTAACTTCAATTTTATTTTTACCTCTTCAGTGTTCAGTCGTTGATAAACTTTCGTGATTTGATAATACAGCACCACGAGGTAGCGATTGCTCACCTAAATTAGAAAAATTGAGATTAGATTGTAAAAACAATGCAACACTAGGATTTCATAATAACCTCGTAAGTTGTTTATTTATTCGCGAGTTTCATATAAAATATCAAAAACGAACGTTGTAGCCTTGGAGTTTCTCACAAGCATTCTTGGCCTCCATAATATCCTCGTAAACGATAAATGCCGTACCCCTGGTTTGTGGTGTTTTACCCCTAAAGTAAGAAAATCTTGAACATTAAAAACAGCAACACTTAAAGATCACGAAACTCACACTCGAATTTGTCGAACGGCGCCAAACTTCCCGAAGATATCATACATTTCTTTCGCTGTTATCTTGAATGGAAGATTCTTCACAAACAAAATGTTGTTGATCTAAACGCTTTTACACAAATACAAATAAATAGTTTCTCACCTCAGGTGGTAATTTATCCGATTTTCGATATGCCATCGCCATTTTGACAGATTCTAAAATATTGAAAAATTTTTTATTTGATAAGAAAATATAATCCAATTTATAAAACTAACAATTGCAGGAACAAACTGGTTCGCAACCATTCAAAACTTTTAAAACAATAAAAATAGATGTTTATGTTTATTTGGGAATAAAAAAGTACAAGCAAAAAAAAAATTGTTCACAGTAAACGGTAAAATCATCACAGCCAATAGGGAATAAGGCGAATATTTTCTTCATCCTTCACAACTTCAAATAACTCCTTTGATTGGTCTGACAGTGGAGTTTCGGCAAAAAGTAGTCGCCTAGAAATAAGTAAAAGATTTTAGCACTTATTGTTAGAAAACTTACAATTTCTTTTTAGTCTTGACAATTTTTCCGAGAAATCGCTTAACAGATTCCAGGTCGTACAATGGAGTTTGTGCCACGGAAAGAAATTCGATTGATGGCAAATTTAGACGGTTCGAAATGCTAAATACCATATTAGCTTAGTTACTAATTCTTTGAAAACGCTTCAAAATTTTTTACCTCAAGATTGGATTGCCGGTCGCAGTGATGTGTGTAAGCAACGGGAATAAACTGAACGATTCCAATGTTTTTAATTTGTTCGAAGAGACATCCAGATCAGTCAGCACTCCCGCTAACGGCCACAAACATTCGATACTGAAAAAAGTGGAAAATATATTGTATTCAGAAAAAAAACCTTATTATCTTGGCATCTCTAATCGAAAAAGAACCCGTTTCGATGAGATTATCGAATCGAGATTTCCCTTCATCGATTTCTTCTAACTTTGCTGAGATGAGAATGCGATTCCTGAAAGAAATTTATTTCAAGGTTAGTTACTAATTGAATAGCCTAACACTAGTTGAGAAAAATTCTTCAATAGACTTCGAAAATATCTTTGCACACACAGTTTCCAAACGGAAAAAGGAGTGTAATGTACAAGTTACCTACTTTCAAAAAGCTAATTGTAAGCTGCTTGAATCTTGCAGAGGCACTATTTCTTTCAGATTTCTTCACAAATTTAAAGTGCAAGATATCTAGAATAACTTACATTATGGCCAAATAGGCATTTTTCCGATTTTGGTCTAAATGACAGAGGGCATCCAAATTCTTGAGGATCAAATCTCGACATTTCACCGGTTTCGTTCTCAGAAGATAAAAAGTCAATGTCAAGAGTCCCCACTAAATATTGAAACGTCAACAATTCACAGAAGCTTAAGATGAGAAATTTCTCAATTAAAGTGATACAAACGAACCACTGATTCTTTTTCTTCTTTTAATAACTCCTGAATGTGTTCAATCGACTCATTCAACGTATCAATTTCAGTCGGTTCTCTCATGTAGAAGTAGTCTTCAACGGAGGCTCTAAAATACAAATACTAAAAGACATTTGCTAACAACCTGTTGACAAAAGAGTTAGGTATCAGATTCGTTTCAGTAATTGGTTTGTTTAGTCGAAAACTCGAAGTCTTGATACGCCAAATTTTTGCTGAAGTACAGCGACTGTTGATGGTTGAGATCTAAACATGAAATACGCTAACTTTAAAAAGTTGCATTCACCAAAAAGGCAAATTTATAATATAATAGCTAAGTGTATACCTAAAAACTCACCGGTTCCCAGGTTGCATTTTCATCCGCAAAAACCCGGCTCTTCATTGCCTCCAATGTTTGGGCTCGATTGAAAACAATCGTAGCCACACCATTTTTAAATGACATTGATAAAATTTCTTCAGCTAAAAACAAATTATACAATTTTTCAAAACGCTGACCAACTATTTCGTTGACTGCTCGGTTCGATGTGCGCCGCCAAAAATTGGCCGTAAATCCAAGCGCTTTGATCAGCTGGATCCGTGTAGAAAGCATTGGTTACTTTCTGAATACTTTTTGGACAGAAATTTGAATTGATTTTGCTGATACCTTTAGTTCATTTTTCACTAGCTCCACTCCAAGTTCGTTTGCTTTCCCAAGCATTGCGGCTTTTCTCAAGAATAACGTTCCACGGTAATGCCAGGCGGAAAAGTTGGAGAAATTTTGAGAAATCATCCGGTTCGAGAATCTAAGTAGCACAACGCACTAATGGAATAGCACTCACATTTCAATAAATTTTCCAAAAACTTACTCAAGCTCTTCGTCCATCGATAATTTAACCAGCGAAGCCACATAACGCCTGTGATCCCAACAATGGAAATTTCGGCAATCCATTTGCAGCGCTTTCTCGCATAATTTCAAATCGGCTTCGAAATTTGGTTTCGGATGTCGCGCCAAAGCCCATCCGCGGTGATGCCAAGCAGAATAAGACTTGGGATTGCTCTAAAACAAAGAAATATACGAAAAATATTTTCGTACCTCTAGACACAATCGAGTTAGACCCAGTTCGTCGTCCAATAGTCGACTTATTTTATCGACGGATTGTTCAGGACATTCCTAAAATGTTTCTTTTTAATTCAAAACAAAGCAAACCTTATTAATTTTCGCCTCCAAGTATATCAAAACTTCTCGCCGTATATTCCAAAAGGTATAGATGTCTGGATTTTTCGCCAAAACGGTCGCAATTTGCTGGAGTTGTTCCTCATCCTTTTTATCTTGAATCAACATTTTGTTGATTAAAAATGCAAAAAACTAACCGGCTTCTCGATTTTCAAAAATTCGATCCCGAAGAGTGATGAAAGCTTTCAATTTGACAGCTCTCTCCTTTGCCTTTACTGCTTTCTCCTCTTCAGTCGTTGGTTGCTTTTTAACGAAATGCATTCTCTACAATCAAAATTTGGTCATATCCTGTCACAATCTCTTTACCTTGAAAAAAGTAACAACTTTGCTTAAACAAGTCAATTAACTTGAAAGTAGGAAAAATGATTTATTAAACATCCTAAATAAATTAATATCAAATAAACCAAATTAACAAAACCGGTAAGATAATGGAAAGAGATCAAATGTTCAAAACAATGTATAAGTATCACAAATGCTTTAGAAATAAACAAATAATGCAATTTGTCAATGTTCAGCGTTTTCGACCAATCCAGGTACGATCAACTCCAATCTATTTTGATCGATTTCCGCATAAATCACCGCAAAACGATTGGGCTCAATCTCTAAAATAGAATAATAAGTAACTTATTTAACTAAAATATAAAGTGTAACTTACTTAACACCACATTCGAATAAGTTCCATGAAAGAAATTTGTCCATATTGCATGTAGACATTTGATTGGTAAACGCACAGCAGCTGAAGCTACTTCGTCTCTGTTTTCTAAAAAACAAATAAAGATTACAAAAGAGTACAAACCATATTGAGATCCTGAAACTGGCAAGCCTTCAAAAAACATTTTCAATTCCGCTTTGTCTGATGTTCCCAAAATGTGCAATTCTCCTGCGGTAGTGATTTTGAAGTTCTACAAATGTGATTGTATGAAGTTTCGTAAAAAAAAACTTACGGCGCTTTTAATGGACAAATTTTTTAGCGAGTTGAACAGTTTGTACAGTAGCTTTGTAGATGGGAGTGTGGCCGAGAGCTAAAGAGCAACAATTAAAAGTACAAACAATAAGCGACACTACAAAACGTACCATCACTTCAATATCCACATTTGGTCGTTTATAGATTCGAGTGCTTTCTGGCAGAACGATTGCCACTGATAGCAAATGATTCATCGATGAACGAGGTCCAAATAAATTGATGGATAGGTGAGGAGACTGCTAAAACAAACAAAATCGGTTCAGAAAAAGGTATCATACATTTCGTTTTGCTAACTTTATCACGCATCGCTCGTCGACGGTGCTAGAAATTGATCGTGCAAAAGCCTCAGCCGCAACTGTGAACATGATCTCGTTTTGCTCTTCATTGTACCCATCGATAACCTAAACTTTATTTTGAAAAATAGACGTTGAGGTCGTTGAGGCCATTTTTCTTTTTCATCACTAAAACTAAACTTTTACCAAAGAAACTTACAAATCTCGTAAATTCATGTTCTGGAAATCCATAACAAAGCCACGTGCCACAATCTCCACAAATGTCAGACACGAGAAAGTAGAGGCCCTCGGGTGTTACTCGCACGGGAAGAGCTCCTTTGCTCAGTCTCACGATGCCGCTGCAAATTCCTGAAAAAGATACATTTTCATAACAAAACAAATTGGATTAGAAATAATTTATTTTGGCTTTAGCATACATATTTTCAAACCAATGAAGATTTTAATTTGTGGATAAAAGCTTTAGTTGTTGTCCACTTAATTCAAATACTTCCTCCCCTCATAAACTTTTCATAATAGCTCACGCGCAAACGACTCCAAACTACTCCGATCGCCCAATTCGAGTGTCAACTTCATCTAAATCAATTTACTGATATTATTATTTGGATTTACATTAAAAAAAGATTTCCCCGTTGTTAACAGCTAATTCGCAAAGCAACAGAACTTTTACAATTTATTAAACCCGTATCATTAATTAAAAAGAGCAAAAATTATATATCTAATCAATCACAATCAAGATTAAGAGTACCTATTAAGCATTTCTTGATACGCTTCTTCGGATTTTAGTAGCACATTGCAATCGGCGCTTGACAACGATCGAATCCCTTGATCCTAAAGAAACGGTACAAGTCTAAAAATTCAGTGATACTTAGCAATTAGAGTTTTCACTAGATGACAAAGAAGTACCTCCACTATAAATGTAGCGCCACCGGGTGCTCGAAAAGGACTTTTCGTGAGGGCCAATCGTCGCGCTGACGATTCTGTTGATACTCTCTCCACCCATAATCGAGAAGTGATTCGATGTGCCCACCATGAGGGAAGAGCAGCCTTTAACCAAGAGTTTTCCGATTCTTCGTCGATTTCATCAACCACATGATTTGTCACCAGCACCTAACAGTTTCGGATTTTAAATGTCACTCGCCCAATATTCAAAAAAGTTTACCGTGATTCTCTTGCTAGCTATCCGGCTTAACTCAACTCCAATCGAATTTATCACCTCCATAAAATAAAGACGTAAATTTTAACCAATAAAAAATTCTTACCGATAAGAATCTGAATCGAGTCCTTTCGCAACATGTGCAACACTATCCACAATAACGAGTTGCAACTAAAAAATCCTGAATTTAAAATTTAAGCTTTTTAAAATACATTTGAACTATCAAGCACTTTTTGATCCAGCTGATTCACCAGCGATCGGAGAACGGACAGTAACTTCTCGTGATCAACACATCGTTCGTATAAAACGTTCCTAAACGGAACAACGAGTATTTAACCGGGGAAAGAAATTTACTTCAATAAGCGCACTTTATTTTCTCCACCCAGCATCTGTAAGAGCCTCTTTGTGCTGAAAGATCCTTCCGTGTCGATGAAAAAAGCCCGAGATCCGTGGCGCAAAAGATTCGAAACGAGCTGATGACTAAAAATCTTTATAGGACTAGATTCATCAAATTGTGCTACCAAAGTTGAGTTTTTCCGGCTCCTGCATGACCGACGAACTCCGTTATAGCACCGCACGGCAATCCTCGATGAAAATCTAAAACAACCCCTCATTATACATATTGTCACCATCTTAAACTAACCTACCCCCAAGTATTCGATCTATTTCTGGAACTCCACAACACACGCCAACCATTGTCCCCTCTTCTTTTAGTAGGTCGGCTGCATTTCTGCTGAGCATCTGTAAAGAGACATAAAAAGGAAGCTAGAGCAATTATTGTAAAGAAAGAATGAAAACCTTGCTGACTAACCGTAATTTAGATGTCTGACAGCTCCGAGTAATAAGTGCACAGTCCACTTCTACAAGTTATCAATGTTAGGTCATTAAACCAAATCCATTCAAATCTTATTCGAATTCAAGAAAAGTGTTTATTCAAAATAGAACAAGTTAAAAGACATTTACAAATCACCATTTACTAAAATCTACTAAATTTGTTCGTATGCCTTTCTTCTTTTTTGGGTTCGAAGCATCACTTGAAGTTGAAGCATCCTAGGTAGAAAAAACGTACTTAAAATTAAAATAGTGCAAAACTTACCGTAGCAGCTCGCTTAACTTCAGGCTTAATATATTTTCCAATTCCGGTTCCATAGGCCTTTGGTTTAATGACCTCCTTCTTGATCGCGTCATTTTTGTCTCCTGCACAAGTTCCAATTAAACTTTAATGACAAAAACTGACCAGGTTTTCCCTTTTCCAAGGCTTCTCTTTCTTTAATTACTTCTTGTTCAGCTTCTTCAAATGGATCGACAAAAACCTGCGATTACAGAATTTTGAAGACAAAGGGAATGACAAAAACCTCCGCTCGCATAAATATTACATCTTCGAGTGGTCGATCAGTACCATCTTCTGTTGCTATCTAAAAAATTTCAGACTAGAAAATGCAGTAAATGCAAACCTAACCTTTTCAATTGTATTTAATGTATCGGTACCACCAACAACTTTCCCAAATATCGAATGCTTTCCATCAAGATATTTACACGGACGAAATGTGATAAAGCTAAAACAAAACCAATGTAATCGGCCTCAAAACGTTTTTCAAGACAAAAAAAGCAACTTACAATTGCGACTGATTGGTATTGCTTCCTTTATTTGCCATACTAAGAATCCCACGTGCACTATGTGAAAGACCCTGAAACAAACATACAAAAGAGTTAAAGTTGACCCAACCGGATAAAATTCATCCTCAAACTGTTTAGCCCACATCGATTCACCTGAAATTTTTTGTTTTATTGGAACAACAGATATAACAGGCAGACTAGGCTGTAGTATAATAAATTCTCACCACCATGACCCGTGCCAGTTGGATCACCACCTTGTATCTAAATTGCAAACCATTATAAATAAAGGATTGAAATTTCACCATAAAGTTTTTAATCAAACGGTGAAAGCGTGTATTGTTGTAGTAGCCTCTGCGACATAGATTGATAAAGTTCTCGCAAGCCTTTGGTGCCTTTGGACAAAACAGTTCCAAGTTAATGGCTCCATGATTGCTAACGATTCGAACATATCCATTTTTCTTCACTCGCTGATATCTAAGCTTTTGGTTTCGGACAGAATTGGGGTGTGAACAAACTCACTTGACTGTCTCATCACTCAAAACCGCTGCTTTATTGTGGGTGACAGGTGCAACTGAAGTGCTAGTGAAACCAGCGGATACCTTGAAAAATAGCTTTTCAAAACTATTTGTTTTCATTTACTTGTCCTTGACTCCAAGGGGCCGCATTGATAGCATCTGCTGTTTCTTCAACTGGCGTGTCAAACTAAAACAAACAGATTTATTAAATTTTATTAGAAAAAATGGCAACAGCTTGTACACTGTTTCACACTTCAACATCTTAAAGTGTCTGAAGAGCAAACCTTTTTTGGTACATAATCCTTCTTCAGTTGATTTAAGGCTTCACGAGTTTCGTTGTTCATTCGTCGAATCGTGAATTCAGGCTTTGCCATTTCTTTCTTTTCGGTCTCTATCTTTAAAAAAAACAAGTGGAGAGGCAAACAACCGGAATTGAAGAAGTAAACATACACTTACTTGTTCCTTTGTTCTATGGTCAAGTTTCACATGATGAAATTGTTCCAAATTGAATTTCTCCGGGTTGTTGGGATCCTGAAATAATCAATCAATTCATAAATAGGATCGGTTCAAGGCTACCTGGATTGTGATAATATCTGCCCTCAAAAATGGCTCATCTGTGAGAAGATCCTTTAGATGATTCGGCTTCAAGTTTAATTCTTGTATGGCATCGTACGAATAGACGTTACCAGTCGGGCGAATTGCCTAAACATATTTAGGAGCATCGATAAATTAAAGCTTACCACAATGTGAGTGTTCAGGGCAAATGTGCGGAAAGTAACAGGACATCGGAAGTTTCCTAAATCAAGTAGGTGAGCTGTCAAAATGCCAACACAAACCTTCAGTATCCTTATCGAATTTCAAATGAACCAAGTCTTTAATAGCAAGTTTCTTTCCAGTCACAGGACTGATTCCAAGTTTTTTGATATAGGGCACAATGTTTCTAAAATTTTTTGAATTAAATCTAGATGAAGACATGATAAATAATGCAAACACTTACGCAATGTCAAAAATAGCTCCATCGGGACCGCAAACTGGATCTTCGAAAGGGAGAAAAGAAAGTGAACAATGATTGATCGGAAGTCGTTTGAAATCAGCTCGCTGTTTTTTCGTGCCGGTGTCTAAAAATAAAAATAAAGTTGTAAAGTTATCAAATTTTACCATCTTTATGTCCTCCAAACGATTCTTTCCATTCGGTGGTGGTTAGATATCTATATTTGAACGTTAAGCCTCTCTAATTAATTACTTATCAGCGGTTTAGTTAACTTTATAATTAATTTTAAAATGTTTGATCAATCGTAAGGTCTTTAGTGATAGTAAAAACAAAATCACTTACAATTTATCCTTTTGATGCTGCTTTTTACCCATTAAGATCGATCAAAACTTTCAGTTATCTGAAAATTTGAAGTAAGATCTGCGAAACTATAAAATTAGAAAACAATCCAAATTCAAAATGTTGAAATCACATTTAGCCATTCTCTTTTTGAAAGGCGCTCCTTTACTCAAACGGGCTCCAATCGTGGGAAATTTACCGTAGTCAATATCTGGTCGACGCGGGTATTTAAACTTCAATTTTCTCTGCACAGAATCCAAAAATTTGAGTGGTAAAAAGGAATGCGGGAATTTGCTCATGCGCGTGGTTAAAAAAGGGAAACGCTTTAAATTTTGGAGTTACGCGAAAAGGATTAAAAATGACTCCTTGTACCTCAATTCTAAAAGTCGCTGGCAATGAGATTGAACCTTCACAAATTTGCGGTGTTTTTTGTTATGAATACTAAACTGCGTTTCCCTGTGCCCCCCCTAAGTAAATCTACTTTTTCGTTATACTCTCAATTTGTTTTCCTTCGGCGTACAGTTTCTGAGAAATTAACACTCTTAGAATGTCGACACGAAGATCACGCGGACGGACTCGCAACGCACTGGCCGACATCACCCCGTCGATGCTTCCCGATGACAACATGGAAGTAGTAACGCTGAATAAATACTACGAGTATCGAGAATGTAAATTTTTCAGAGTTTGATTTGATCATAATTTCCATTGTAGCCACGATTTCGAGAAGTAATTCAAGTCAACGAAAGCGAGCCAGCCATCTGATTGCCGACATGGATGATGAAACTCCAAATGTATCATCGTAAGTAATTCATAATTACTACGAAGTTAATGATATTTTTAGGGCAACTGAGGATCCATTCATGAGGCCTGATGCTGTATCTTTCTTCCAAACGCCCGGAATATTCAAATATCGCCGAAGAACCAGCACTGAGCCACAAATTGGTTAGTTTGCACATCATAGTCTGGGTTATTAGGCTTACTGTTTTAGACTACTTCGAACATTTCCAAATTCCAAACGAATGTATTCTCAAAATTTTCGAAAACTTTAATAAGCGAGACGTGATTACCGCGATGAAGGTTTGCCGCAAGTTCTACAATCTTGGGTAAAAGTGCTTAAAGAATTTTCTCTACTAAAAATTTTAGGGAGAACAAAGACCTTTGGAAAACTGTTGATTTGGCGAACAAAACAATTCGCCTTGTGGACCTGTTCAAGATTGTCGGCCGAGGATGCCAAGTTCTTCGTCTATGCGGAACAAAAATCAATGAGGAAGAACAAGTAGTCTAATTTTATTTATAAGCAATAAAATAGGTATGATTTTCTTTTACAGCAGGCTAATTTAGGATGAAGCAATGCTACATCAAGGGTATGGAATGTTACAGAAGAACCTGCTCACCCATATCGACTTCTCGCGGTGCACAATTTCGACATTAGCTCTTGAGACGATTCTCTGTGGAACAAATCTTTTGCAGGTACGTATTTTGACATTTTGGATGAGCTTGATTTTTTTTAGGGTCTTTCGCTGGAAAACGTAAACCTATCAACGCGGATTCTTGAAGCGATTGGACAGAACACAGATCTACTCTACTTGGACTTATCAATGGCTCGCGGGATCAAAACTTCGGATATAAAATGCTTCCTGCCTCAACTTACAAAGTTAATATTTCTGGGCAATGTCTCATGCACTTCTTTTTAGAATAGAAGAGCTCAACCTATCGTGGTGCAACCTAGATGCAGAAGCCCTCAACCGTGTCATGCAATACGTCAGTTCAATTACACTCAGCAATTCTAAAAATTATTTAGATATCATCCTCCGTCCAGCGAATTTGCTTGGCCGGTTCAAGAAATAAGGCATCCTTGTTTGATTCACGTAAGTTTTTGCGTTTATCTTTGCATTTTCTGGCTTTTAGATGTTGAAGCGCTCTGTCGACGGTGTGTCACTTTGAAGGAGGTCGATCTATCGGATTCGACTGAACTCACGCGCGCTTCCCTACAATTTTTGATCGACATGCCACAGCTTGAAGTGTTATCGTTGTCTCGATGTTTTGGAATCCATCCGCTTGCGTATCTGTGAGCTAGGCTAAAGATTTAGGAGACGTTAACTTCATTTTATAGATCTTGTGCAAACATTGCTCGTCTCAACATTTTTGGCTGTGTGACGGAAGAGGGTGAGCAAACACTGCGCATAAGACTTCAGGTAAGCTCGCCTTTTTATTGTGCTAACAATAAATTCAAAATAACTGATTGATTGATTAGAACACCGCCGTTAATATGGACCCACATTCATCCGTTGCTCGTCCCACTCCTCCCCCATCAGTAACATCGATTTGGCGAATGAAAGTCAAAGATTTATATTGAAATTCTGTATAATTGTCACTATGCTAGGTTGTATTTATTTTATTGTGCGTGTTTTTTGTTAGGTTGTATTTTATTTGTTTTATTGTGCGTGTTTCTTTTACTAATTGTAACCTAACTTATAGGTGTCATTTTTGCTCTATTGTCGAAATCGGTTAAACTTAATTTAATGTAAAAATGCTAGATAAAGAATTTTTACAATTAGGGATTTTTCTTGTAATTCGATCAAACAAACGATAAAATATCAGGCACGAACATGGGAAAGACAAACAAGGTTTTTTTTAGAATGGAATGTGAAGATGCCGTAGAACTTCAGCAGTTTTGGGAGAGCTATCAGGAAAAGGTTGGTGAGTTTTAAACAAAACATTTAGCAAATCAATTTCGTTAGGAATTGCACAAAATACGAGAGGAATTTCGTCTGAAATTAGAATCAAAGGACATGACTATAAAAAAGCTGATAGCCGGCCTCGACCAGGTAAAAATATTTAAATTGGCTAATTTGTGGTTCAGCAACTCGTGGAGAAAATGAAATTGAGCCAAGAATTGAGTGAGAAAACAACGGGCATCACCATGCTTCAGGAAGAAATCGAATCTCTCAAGGCTGGTCTTGTAGAAAGTACATGGAATCGACAATGGTGTGTTTTTAAACCTATCAAGGTACAGTAGTGTGCATGTAACCTTGAAAACCTGAATTGCAAACTATGGTACTTTGTTGGTGAGGGGGTCACCTCTATCTTCGATTTTTCGACTTTTTCCAGGGTAATCGAGAGCGCTGAGTACGAATTTCGCATTTTTAACATAGATTTGCTTTTAAAAAACTGATGGGATTGGTGCTGCAAGCTCTTCGGGAAATAGTTGGGGATGTGTCTGAGTTATCTCTAGGGAGCTTGCAGCACCCACCCCCACCGCGAGCTTGCCTAAGTGCACCCCCAACTATGCGCCATTAAACCGTGATTAGACCTTTTGAGACCACAAGCCAGTTTTTTTAAGAGCAAATCTGTGTAAAAAATGCGAAATCCATGCTCAGCTCCCTCGATTACCCCGGGAAAAAGAGAAAATCTTGAAGACAATCTTGAGTCCCCCCAACCACCAAAGTACCTTAACTAATGTATTTTTTTATTGAAATGTGGTTTTTAGCGCCATAGAGGGTTTATTGTCAAAACAACTAGAGACTGCTAGAGGCCGACTGCAAAATCATACGGAAATCGTCAGTGAAAACAAAAAATTGAACGAGCTCAACGCGAGTTACCTCGAAAAGATCGGCGAATTGAGGAAAGAACAAGCCATAGCTATGAAGTTTTTAATTTTTTTTTCTTTTAACATGAATCTAGCAATGACATGGAGAAATCGGCGCAAATAAAACAACTTACTGAGGATTATCAATCATATCAGCAGACCAACGGTAGTTCTTGTAACTTATGTCAAACTGTTAAATTTAGAAAGCGAAAGAGCTTTTCACGAGGCAAAGTGTCGTGCGTTAAAGGTGGAATTGAAAAACCAAGAAAGTGCGCTGAAGACCGCTCGAGAGGAAAAAATTCGACTAGTAAAAATAAATCGAGAAAAGGTGATTGCAAGTTTTGTGTTAATCAAATATGAACTTCGCTGTAAACTAATCGTTTAGGTCGAATTTCTCGAATCGAAAGTCCATACATTAGAAGCGATGATTGAGCATTTATCGGGAATGATTGAAGATATGAGATCACAGCGTCAAGTTTTTAACATGTTTTGCGCTGACCTTTTATCGTTTAGCAAATGTCTTCCAAATGTAATCGTTGTGTTCAAGACGGCGTTTTATTGCATAGCGGCTCATCGAATAGTGTCAAAATGTTGGTGCTTTTTTGAGAGATCATTCGTTTAAAGGGTTAAAAGAGTTGATAAACTTCAAAGAGTTGATATTTTTGTGTTTAGGCTCGCGAATGACGCAGGACTATTGATGCAACCGGATTTGCTTCAGGTGACTAGCTTGGAAAATAGGTTTTTCCGCTTTTGAGAACCCAAAAAAGCTTCAGACAAAATCCAGAGCTTCATTTTTATCATAATCGTACGAGAAAATCGATTTCATTCTTATTTTTAGCTGAGGAGCAGCTCTGACTCGAATGTCGAATTGATGCCTGGTTGGATCCGACCCACAGATGCTTATATAGTATTTGTTTAATCTAATTTCTGGTTTCTAATTCATCTAGAGTTTTCAATATTGTCCCACGCCGCAGCATCATTGTCGATCAAAGAGCCCATGAGGAGAAAACATGTGTTTTTGCAGGTTGGACTGTCTTTGTTGGCGCTTTAACTGGTGTATTTTTAAATAAACTTTGAGATGTTAGCAGTTTTGCGGGGGTGACAAATGTTGTTTTTGGAGGGAAATCTTTTGGAATTCAAACCCCTTTGAAAGCCTAATTTGGTGTGTTTGTGTCTGGATCAAAGTCAAAAAGAATTCAATTTTTGAACAATCTTTGACCTCAAGGGACACTCATTTCGAAGCTTTGCATACTTGAATTTAAACTTTGGCAAAACATACTTTTCAATCGTGACGAATTTAGCAATTAGAGAAAGTGCTCTTACACGTTTTTTTTGGCAAAGCCGATCATTCTGCAAAATCCCAGGAGGTTTAGTAAAGTTTATCCGAAAATTCTCCTTTATTTGAAGAAATACGTGCGAACGGTGATGATGAGTCAATTAGGCACTGCAGCTACTTAAATGAGAGAATTGTTTAGAATTTCTTCATTCGAGAGACAAAAACGAGGTGCATACCTACCTGCCTATTTGAGATTTCACCTATTTTTGCAACGACACAGTTTAAAGTTGTCGAATTCCTTACGTAAATTTCTTCAAAAAAACCACTTTTATGACTCAATTTTCCGGGGTTCTTTTTTGTTCGGTTAGCTTTTGAGTGCGGGCTGTCAAATACAATTTCTTCTCCATTTCTTATGCTTTCCTCCCTTTTTTCGGATTCTTTTCAGAAAGTGCCCCGAGGCTATGTTCTTTTTTGAGAAGATTGGAATGAGAAGTGTCCCCTTAAAAAAGAACTCATCAAATTATATTCTCTTCTCATTTTCTTGATCCTTCTTGAGTTTTTATAGATAGAAATAGATCTTGATAAGTGGATTGACATTTGAAGTGTTTCATGGAGAATCGAGCTCAATTTATAGTTAAATGAGTTGAATTGAATACAATGAGCAGTGGTAGAATTCCAGTGAGATTGGACATGTGGAAAGCTCATTCGAGTCACATGAACTGGTTATTTCCACAGTGACGCTCAAGGTTTCGAACTTATCTTGTTTTCTTTCTAAACCTATTCCCCTTTCATTCATCCACTATCGTTTTAGTAGTCTTGTCAAATTTAATATCCACTTCTCCACGAAATCCTCTCAAAATTTCCACTTGAATGAAAGCGATCCTCACACGAGTTCTAGCGTTCTTTGTGGGAAAAATCGCCGACTCTCAAATCCAATTTGTGCCGTTTCTTCTCTCCGGCAAAAAATCCGGCCATTTAGGAGCATCATGACCATTTTTGAGATTTCTTTTGAATAACACATGTTATATTGATGTTTTTGATTTTAACCTTAGATCAGTAGGCAGGGTTGAGATTGATGATGAGGTAGCGGAAAGTGGCCAAGAGATTTTTCAGGCAACTTTGTTTAATAAAGTCCAGCGCATGGTGATATGAACACGATTTTCATTAGATTCCCATCATTGTCGATCTTACATCTTGTTGATCGAATTCCTTTCAACTGGAATTTCAATTGTTCTCGTGCTGATTGGTTTTTCTGATTCAATGCGGCTCGGATGTTATTGGGGAAGAATAACGGTAGTTTGATCTCCAACCCAATTCAAAAATTCCACCCTCAATGATCGTTGACTGCTTATTAATAAGCTAAATGCTCCCAAGTCAACTATCTATTTACTATTAATTTTTATCCAAACATTACTTCTCCTCCTTTTACGTAGTTTTCTCTCAAAAACTCTAATTGTGCCTCTAGATTTTTCCGGCCAAGGTGAATAATTTATCAATAAAGAAAATCCCGAGGGGTGTCAATTTTCCCTTTTCTCAATAAAAGTCCCCACTTTTGAGGAAATCCTTTTCTCTGACGGGAAACTTGAACTTGCTTAGGTTTTTTGTCTTTCTTTATTACCAGGAAATACTGAATTTTTGGTTTCAGCAAACTTTGCGAGCACCCGGAACTCTGATATTACTTTGCGTTGGTTTTGAGCTTTCTAGCAAAATCTTATTTCGATTTTAGGTTATCAGAGAAGCTTAATTTTTGATACGGTAGTCCGAATGAATTGGATGTCGTTCCATTGAAACATTGAAGGGATACCTAACCAGGAACAACAAAAACAAGCTAATTTTTCAGTAATTAAACCTTTCTCAATCAGAAATTCGACGAAACTCCCAATTTTTGGACCAAAATTACCCATTTTAGATGCAAAGTTCCTTGTTTTCATTTGGAATTTGCCAGATATACCCATTTTTAGGTATCTTAAGCTCCCAAAAGCAATAATTTTGAAATCGATTCAAAAAACGAGAAGAGAAAAAGGATTAAGGAGGTGTTTTAGTAGAGAAGAGACCCAACCATTCCTCTTCCTTCACCTCCCCCACCCATCTACGACATATCGACAAATTGCTTTCAGAGATACACGTAAATTCCCCTTTCCCCACTCATCAATTCTCATTTACATTAGGTAAGGGTTGAGTGTTTTCGTAAAAATCTCTCATGGCTCAGGCAGGCTGGCACTTAATTGATTGTTTTCATCATTGGGCGCTTGATGCTTTCTCAAACGTGCCAATTTCCGAAAACTACCGTGATTTGTCGCTAGTTTTTATCCAATCTAGGTAGGTATCTACTTTTGTAGCTGCCGCTTTCCTGATTTTAAATCTGGATTACGGTAGTTCCCTGAAAGTACACACTTTAAAAAAACTTTAGACGAGGAACAAGCGCTCAAGTCCAGACTCGAACTCTGCCCAAAATTTTCCGGAACTCTTTGCCCAAAATTTCCCACTTCGAAAGTTCAGAGCCATCATTTCAGAGCCACAAAGGCCATCATTTCCCTCAAAGAAATCCATTCAAATTATTCATTGAGGTCCCCTCTTTTTCTTTTCTCTAATCCACTCCATTGTATAAATAGCATTTTTGAGACCTTTCGGTCTGTTTTTGATTTAATGAATGCGTTTTGAATATAAAATCTGTTCATTTGCATAGAATCCTGAAATGTTGCCATGTTTTTTTGGATACACTCTTGATTAATCCAGAAAATGACCTTTCTTGATATCATTGAATGATCCGAGATTAATTTCCCTCTCATTCGGGAATCCCTTCAATGATTTTTTTTGTGAGAGCCGCTACTTTTATTTGGATATTGAACTTTCAATGGTTTTGATTTTAAGAATTCTTTTTTAGAAAGAATGATGCTCAGATTGGGCGTGCTGGCGCTTTTGGCCGTTTTTGTTTTTGGGGAAGAGGTCGGTTTTATTTGAGGCGAAACAACTATAGGGTTACTGTGTTGATTAGAAAGTACTGTGTCTCTAGTACGGTATTGACACAAAAACGTGTATTTGATCCAAGAATAAAATCACCTAACCCTTTTCCTTATTCCCAATTTCTTTTAGTCGATCGAGAAGCGAGACTATGCACCAGCTCTCGAAGCTGAGGAGGCATTGGGAAATATGAGGTGAGTAATTATTGGAAATTCTTTGTTTGTGGGATTAGTTACTGTTTGTTTGTTAAAATTGCCCGTAATAGAGCTTTTTAAAATGCTTTTCCAGACTTCCAAAGTTGCGTTTTGAACTCTTTTCAAGTTTCAAGCTTATCCGGATTCTAGAGCACTGTTCAATGTGGGCAAAAGGCAATTGAGTTTGGCCGATGACACCGATGCGCAATGGCAGGTTTGAAGAAATTTTTAGAGTCATCGAGACACAATTTGCAGAAAGAAATCAAATCACGGCTAACAACAAAAGAAATTTCACTAACATGCTTATTCCCCTTTTTTCTAGATGTACAAGCAGTTGTACAGCGCTGGAAAGAGAAAGCGTTCATCGCTCGCACCATCACAACAATTTTCGGCACGGTTTTATTTCTATTTTTCATTCACTCCTTTGAGTCTATAGTCTGGGAAGGATTTATATGATTTTGATAATTTATGCTATAATGAACGTAAAACTGAGAGATGGTGTGCATGAAATGAAAAGCACAGAATGACGCCCGTTCGTCTAATCACCGTAATAATGGTCATACGATATTCAAATATTACGGTATAAGTAGCATGTTTGTAATTGTATTGATTGCTAACAGTTCTCCTCCTCATTTACAGCTTTATTCACATCTATTGGAGGCTGGACGACGAAAAAAACGATCATCACTGGCGCCGAGTGAAATCTTGCACGTATGCACGTAGCATTTGATCGATACGAAACTATATCCCTCTTGACTGAATTGTTTCCTAAAAGTGCGATTTGGAAAAGCTACAGTAATCCGAGTTATGGTAGTTTTTCCTAGGTTCAACTTTTAGAAAACGCTTTAACCAAGAAAACCATTGTTTTTATGTTTCTGCACATTTTTGTTTTAGTGTCTTATTTGGTAGAGAATTGGACTTCACAAAATGCATAAGGTTACGGTAGAAATTTTAGAACTATGCTCGTTTGTTGGATGCTGGAAAGAAGCGATCACTCTTCGCGCCATCACAAGAACTTGGGGTGAAAATTAGATTTTAATTATCTAGTACTGTACTTAGGCAAATGATTTGATAGCAAAGATTCTTTCAAGTTAAGTCCAGGCTTTCCGAGAGATACATTGTATCTTGTGAACAGCCTTGTTGATTGCTTTGATGTTGAGAAAACCTTTCAGATGTACTCCCACCTGATGGAGGCGGGAAGAAACGCTCTTCACCATTCGCTCCATCACAAGATCTTGGAGTACGTAAAGCTTGAGCGTTTTGAATATGACGTAGCATTAATGAGTCTGTGATCTGATTGACTTCTCCCAGTCAAGTATATCCATTGACAACAATAATACCCATTTGCAGATCTATTCCCGACTTTATGAGGCCGGCAAAAAACGCAGCTATTTGACCCCGGCTGCCGATCTTTCCAATCAAATGGCCATCGGTGAATGGATGGAGAGAGCTGGCAGGAAATAAAATTGATAAAAAGAGAGAAATCGCCGATATTTTGTGTGCTGATATATTCAATTAAATAAAGCTTACTTCTAATAAATTGTGGTTGTTAAAAAGAGTGTACTTCTACCAAAAATAAACGTACTCTTTTTACTTGCATTTTTAACAACACATTCAAATCTCGTTTGTTTTGTTAGTTTTGTTAGGGCTTTGAAAATGTGGCCATTTGGGTCTCAGCGGCCTCCTTGCAGACCCCATTGTAAGCTTAAAACGTCTTTTTCTAAGCTTTCGTTGTGTTTTTCGGAATCTACACATAAAACTACCCTAGAAAAAGTGGTTTTGAAGAAAAAAATTGCCCCCCCCCCCTTCCCCCAACCGGCGTAGTACCCCAAATTTTGACATATCAGAGCTTGTGAAACCGTGTAAGATAAAAAGGATAGATCAAATTACAGAACACTGTCGATTTTTTTTCTATTTATAACTCCGTTCGTTTGCTTCTACACAAGCTCTGATATTTAAAAATTTGGATTCTACGCCCTAAAATTACTCAGAAAAACAACTTTTAGAATAGAAATTGGTTAATATTAGCTTTTAAAAGGTGCGCTAATGGGCCGGGTGCGCACCTTTTTTTTTTGCTGGAAAAGGCCTTGGGAAAGGTCGTAGAGCTTCGAAAATGTTTTCACAGAAGGGCAATCGTATGCGTAGATTCCGAATTTCGACAAATCAGACCTCGCTGACACGTCAAATTTGGACTAAAAGACAAAAACTGCGGAAAAACGTTAAGTTGCGTAGTTTTTGCCTTTTAGCCCAAATTTGACGTGTCAGCGAGGTCTGATTTGTCGAAATTCGGAATCTACGCATACGATTCCCTTCTATGAAAACATTTTTGAAGCTCTACGACCTTTCCTAAGGCCTTTTCCAGCAAAAAAAGGTGCGCAAATGTCCAGGTGCGCAAAAAAAAGTCGCATTTGTCCCACTCCCCATTTTTCCCACTCCCTAGTCGATGCAAATATTCTCTTGATTGATTGCAGTCATTTTCCAATTTCCATTAACTATTCTTACTTTGAACTTTTGAGTCTTAAATGTCGCACTTTTGACCGTATCCCCGCTAGATATTAGAATTTCGTTGCGTAACGAGCCCGAGAATCAAACCTTATCAAAGTGCTCTGTAAATAAGTTGTAAAAGGCACTAAAAGTCGTCTTATTCTCTAACTGCTCAATATTTTCGATTATTCTCTTTTCCCCTTTTCAAAGGTATGTTTCTATTTTAGATGTATTGCCCGGATGACACTTACTCGTCTAGTGCAAGCTGTATGGAATACACGGACGAATATGAGACCCTTGATCTGGACACGACGAACACTTCGGAAGATCCACCACCACCCGAGCAACAACCGGAAGAGCGGATAACTTGTCACACTGTGCAACCTCTGAAGCCAATGACTACGCGTCAGCAAAGAAACAAAAAGGAAAGGTAAGTGTCGTTTTTAAGTAAATAAGTTTGTGCCTTACGGGGATGAAATGTTGTTTCATCCCCGTAAGGCACAAACTGTATTTAATGAATAAATTCGATGTCGTTGTTGAACTCACTGAAAGTACCTGTTTTTAGGTCTTTTTGGGAATGGGACGATTACAAACGAATTGTCGCACAACGAGCTCGAATCAACACGGAGAAAATGGAGCGCCTGAGGGTATTGGCTTGTTTCATGTTGTCAACCAATGGGAAAGTCTTACAAAATTTCGCTTGGATTCTGTTTTCGATTTTAGAGATACACGACAGACAAGCAAAATCTGGACGCATTGACGAGTAACCCTCTCCCAAAGCCCTATCCATCACTCTACATCAATATGGGAGAAGGTGGACAAGGATTGCAGAAGTGCGAAGAATATCGAAAGAGTCCATTTCAACAGGAACGACCAATCAATTCACCGTATGCCGTTCAACTGAAACACGCTTTTTCCGAGTACCGCGCTCCCGAAACTTTGCTGATCTACGAAGAAACGAAGCAAAAAATAATCCACGTAAGTCAATTTTCTACATTTCTTGGTTATATTTGCATCCATTTGACACTAGTATTTTTTAACTTTAGGGCTCTGGCGATCAAGGCTGTTCATCGCAGAGACCGCTCGAAGATTTGATTGCAAGAAATGTGCGTGTTAATAAAAACAATAAAGTTCTTTTGTTTAGGTAGACAAATTGATGGACAAGTTTGAGAGTTCGGAACTGGCTCTTGTCGGCGATATGGACACATTTCCGATGACATTGAGACAAAGGGATCACGACACGTTGTTGCGACCTGTGATCATAGGTATCTCTTTTTTTTATAAATTCTTTTCATACTTTATTTATGATTTTAGACGCTGTTGGCGTGACGATGCTCTACCACAAAGCGGGCAAAAAGAAGCTGCTCGAATACGGATTACCAAGAAATGGAAACTTCGTCACAAACATGGTTGGTTTGGTGGGACCCTTGTTTGATTAAGCGTCAATGTAGAAGCTGATCATGAAGCCAATTGTGCAACTTGCTCTCTACTATCTCGCCTTAGGGCACAAGGTGAGATTCAGCTCCTTCCATGATTAAAATGGGAACACGTCTAGATCATTATTGCTGTACCGATATGCTACGAGCCGGAGTTGTGGCTAGAGGATGAACCGGTATGGAGTTTTTAAAAACCATTAAGGTGCTTGACTTTAGCGTGTCGACAACATCGTGGCTTTCGAGCATCTTCTCCGAGCTGGTGTCGTCAATTTCCTCGCAGAGCACACAACGGAGATTTGGATGGCTTCTACGCGTTTCTTTGCTGACGAAGTAAGAGATTTTTATTTGGCAATAGCTTTTTTATGGTTCCAGATTGACGGGCTTCTCGTTTCGAACTCTTTCTTCTGGAAACACATTGTGGCGAAATCGGTTGATCAACAATTACGAACCAACGTAGGATTTTGGCGTCTTATATAATCTTTTGACCATTACCGATATCTAATACTTTTAGGATGCGGGCTTGTGTGTGAGTCGTGCCTCGGATCGACTTGTCACTCCATCGTTTTTCGGACCAACTCGAATACCAGTCGTTTGTCATCATTTCACTTTTCAAATTGATGCCTCGGTAAGTTTACCCAATGCAAGCCTAAGTTTTTATTTTAAGCAAAAGTTCGATCTAAAAGGATATGGTGGACATGTGACTGAAAAGCGGATAAACGATAAGAGGTTTGGTTAGACATTTTTGCATTATGTTCCTAATTTTAGATGCCTTTGGGTGAAAGAAGGCGTTGTGCGCTATTATCACGAAGATACAAAGGTCGACTACGCGGTGAGGCTCGAGAATCAATTGCGGTTAAAGGATCAAGTATTTCAGGTGAAATTTTTTCCGGCTTTAGCGCACCGAGTAACTTTATTTATCACATAGCACAACTGTTTACTTTTATTTTTAGATGCATCTATTGGAGAATCTCTACCTGTTACCCTGCAGACTTCAACGGGCATACCACGTAATGAAATACATCAGCGAAATGTGCATGGTTTGTTTTTAAAACACCTCTTTTTAAATTTACTTCATTTAGGACATTCAAGAGCCTTTCGTCTCATGAGGATCTACTTATTGAACCTTTTTGTTTTTAGCATTATGTTATCCGTAATTTTCTTTGTTAAATTTCTATTTTATATATTTCTGTTAAGGGTTTATGTGTATATTTTGAATAACATTTTACAAAACACTTGAGAAATCGGCGTGACGAAAGTTTGCGATATGATACTTCTGTTAACTACTCATGGGTCAGGGAAAACGTTGTAAAATCGCTCCTTTGAATGGGCTCAGTAGGCTGTTAATTGTTCTCGGTCGTTAGTGAGATACCCAGCGGCGGTAGTTGTATGTGATTCAAAAATCCACGAGAGCAGTGTCATTATTTCCATTATCGGGGTTCAAAAACATTTATCTAGAACTTTTTTCTTTGACATACCTTTTCTCGGACCAAGAAATACTTAACACTTATTGAAAATTTTATGTTTTTATGAAATTCAACTGCTGAATTTAGCCATTATTGAAGAATTCTTACATATTTAATAGCTTGATTTAGCCAATGAATGACTTTGATTCGGATGTTGAAGAAGAAACAGTCAACGAGCCATCCCCGTCAACATCAAACTATTGCTACTCGCTGGAATGCGCTCTACGAATTGAATCAACTTCTTCGGGTATTAGAAAAGCGACCGTTCAATCGAAGAAAGGCATTGTCACCGTTGGAAGGAATGCCGAAAGGTTGGTTGTGGTTTTTGAGAAATATTATTTCTTATTGTTAGGAAAATCGTGCTGCAAGTGGAGATATGTGAAAGCACACGAGGCAGGCAAGCACATATCAGTTATGCGCTTCAGGTGGGATTTAAAATGATTTGATCATGAAGTTGCAAATTTGCTTGGTAAAATTTTAAACTAGTTTGGTTTAGGATTGCCGAGTGCATGAGAAAGCGATCAGTCAAGGCCGAGGAGGCATTGAAATCCCTAGCAAGTAGGTTATAAAGATATTTTACCTGGTTGTTAGTCAGGGCTCGATGCCATGAAATTTCTAATTTTGAAAAAAAAAACTTTTAGAAACTTAACGATTTTCATGACGAACTGTGCCCCAAGAAAGTTGAATGTTTTTCTGAAAACCCTGCATGCGAAAATTGAATTGATGAATGCGGAGAGAAATGGAGTGAACACGCCAATTGCTGTAAAGCGGTTAGTTTTTAATCAAGTTTATTTTTAAAAGTTACTTTCAAGCGAACGAATGTTGAACGGTTGTTTACCAGAAGTCTTCACGAAGCTGAGCCCGTTGACTGTTGGAGAAATTCGGAAAGTGAGAAGGTAGTATTTTTCTTGGATACTTGTGCGTTGTATAAAGTGGCTCATTAATTTTCATTTTCCATATCCAAACTCATTTTCAGACTTCGAGGTGTTGTCGATTCTCCCTTGAGTCGACCTTCCAATTCAAATACACCACAACGAGGTGTTCGACAACAGCAACAAATCCAGCAAACACCAACGACATCGAGGAAATCACCGAGAATCGCGCGCAGGAACTCAGGTGGAGCGACTCCAAAAAGAACGGGAAATTTGGTTGGTTTTGTGGAAAGTTACTCTGCTTAATCTGAACCCGTTTTTAAACGCACTAGATTTTTAGATGCCTCGATTAGCGCCTGCCATCATTCCAATTCAACTCTCTGATGAACAAAGGGCGATCCTGAGAGCAGTGGTAAATAAATTTGTCTTGCTTCCAAATTCCTATTTTTTTAGGTGAGCGGCCGCCAATCGGTCTTTTTTACAGGAAATGCTGGCACAGGAAAATCTTTGGTATTGCAAAGAATTATCGAGATGTTACCTGCTGATACTACTGTCATTACCGCTGCAACTGGTATAATCTTATAAAAGTACTCGTACAAAAAGTTGAAAACCCTAACAATAAGTCTCTAAACTTGAATGTCAAATGAAATAATCAATTTTAGGTGTCGCTGCTTGCCAACTCGGCGGAATGACCCTCCATTCATTTGGCGGCTTTGGAGTCGGCGGAATTCCGAAAGAAGATTGTTTGCGAATTGCTGAAGGTGGCCTAGATTCTCATTAAACCTTATTTTATTTCCTTTCAGGTAAGAAGCAAGTGGTGCAAAACTGGAAGAAATTGACGCATTTGGTGATTGACGAGATATCGATGGTTGACGCTCAATATTTTACATGTCTTGAATATGTAAATGAATTTATAACACGGACTGTAACTTTTTGTTCTGTTCAGGTTGCCCGAAAGATTCGCGATCAAGAAAAACCGAGTCCTTTCGGTGGCATTCAGTTGGTGATCACTGGTGATTTTCTTCAATTGCCACCGGTTTCCAAGGATAAAGAACCGATGTTTTGCTTTGAAGTAAGCTAAATACAGGTTTTTCAATATTCAGTTTCATTTCTTTAGAGTCCCGCCTGGAACGCCTCGATATCGACCACAATCCTTCTGAAACAAGTACGTCGGCAAAATGATATTCAATTCATTCGACTTCTGCAAGAGATTCGCGTTGGAAAGTGGGTTTTTGATGATTTATTTGAGGAGCCAATTGACTGTTCAGGGTATTGATTGTTAGTATATGCCTTCTTAGCAAGTATAAAGGTGTATTGTTTAGTTGTCCACCTTGGATTCTTTCTACTCTCCAAGCAACTCGCACAAATCGTTTCGCTCAATCGGTGATTGCCACTCGTCTTTGCACTCATTCGGCCGATGCCGAGCAAGTCAACAAACATAATCTTCGAGAATTGAGAGGTTTTATATTCGATTTTTACTTGACTGGCAAAATTTAGGAACCGAAAAGACGTTTATGGCGGAAGATAGTGAGCCGGTCAATGAAAACGCAGCTGGGCTTATTCCGAAATGTTTAATACTCAAAGTGAATGCACAGGTGGGTTGGGAGTTAACCGAGAACTATCCTTTTGATTTTACACTACTACGAACATGATTTTAGGTAATGCTAACGAAAAACCTCGATCTTTCACGAGGACTTTCGAATGGAGCACGAGGTGTTGTAACTGATTTTTCTCCATCCGGATACCCACTTGTGAAGTTTTTGGCGAACAAAGAAGAGCCCGTTGAGGTAGGCAATTTAGCAAGGAGCTTTATACAATGATGAGCCAAATTGAATGTTTAAAGCTTTTATTCTCTGTTCTTTCAGCTTCGCCCAATGCGTTTTCAACTTAAAGGTGGCTCTTCGGATCATTCAGGTAAAATTTTAATGAATTATCTTTTTGCAGTTTTTGTTCATCACAATTTCAGTGTTTCGCCGTCAATTGCCTCTTCAACTTGCCTGGGCGATCTCGATTCACAAAAGTCAAGGATTGACGCTCGATGCGGTGGAGATGGATTTGCAAAAGTTTGACCTTATTTGACTACAAACGTTAAACTAAACGTTAAACTTTAGGATCTTTGCTGAGGGCCAAACTTATGTGGCGTTGTCACGAGCTCGTTCACTCGACGCGCTGAAAGTATCCGGATTCCACGCAAATTGCGTTCGTGCCAATAAAAAGGTGAGTAGCTAGAATAAAACAAAAATCACGCCTAGCTTCTATAATCCTTGAAGCAATAAAACAAGTTATGTCAGGTTGTCAAGTACTACGAAACGTTGAACGAGAATTTGGATGAAGATGCCGAAAATTATCCCCCAATTTCTCTACCAAAGAGAACTCGATTGTCGTTTTGATCTTATTTGATCTAGCTAATTTTCTTATTTGGTTTTTTCGGGTTATTTTACACTTTCATTCGTTGTCTTTCAAAGTTACATGTTATACAGTGGTCAAAAAAATTATTTAGCACCTTCTCGAAAATTTCACATATTGATTAAAAATTTTCCTTTTATCCATGGATTTTTAATCGGGGTTTAAATTTTTAGATACTACAAGAACTAAACTAGTCATAAGTAGAAAAACTTTTAAATTCAACGTTTCAACTATTCAAGGAGAAAAATTCATAAGTACAATAACCAAACAATATGTGCAATTGGCCAAAATAAGTATTGACACCTTTGTATTTTCTCACAATTTGTTTTTTTGTTTCTTACCTTTTCGGAAAAAGCTTGCATTGTATTTTAGTAATTTAATGATGCTGAAATATGCTAAAAACCGTTTGCCAATAGCTCTTTTAGTTTTCGAGATCTGTAATATCCTTTTATACTGAAGAACGGTGTTTTGTGGTTTCATGGCCAAAACTTTTTCAGATCAGTCGGTCCAGTAAAATGGTTTTGTTTTTCGAGAACTAGAAGAAATTTGACACTAAATCCCTTTTTGGGAGCAACCTTTTGGCGGCGGTTTAGAAACTCGAAAACATGATTCAAAGTTTGAGGTCCGCTTTTTGCTTATTTTGAGTGAATTTTCATTTAAAACAGGCTATATTCGGCCACCTCGTTCCACGGAATAAACTTTGAAGTGAAGTGTTTTCCACAAAAAACCGACCAGGCATTTTGCATCCATGACATGTATTTTCTTTCTTTTATTCGACTCATTGATTAAACTCGTCACTTTCGGCAATGTCCGACGAAGCGAAGAGAGTAAACGACGACCTTCCGTCATCATCTCAATCGTATGTGTGCATTCATTGCATGACACCGGCCGACTCACTCTACAAGACGTACCCGAGTTTCATTCGAATGACCCAATGTGTAAGTTTTTGAGAGATAAGGAAACAATCGTAGCCTGTGAATTGGAGCATATTTATTGTTCCGATATGATTTGGTACTAAAACCCAAAAGACTAATGCTGCTGTTTAGAAAGAATGCGACAACGATGTGGATAAATATGTGGAATACGACAGCGTTCTTGTCGTCATCGATCTACTGCTACAGTACTCCGAAGCGTATCGACATATTCTCTACAATCGAGGCATTCAGGTAAATTTATACAAAAATATATTTCAAAATTTTCTTTTCAGCATTTTTCCCGTCTACTCACCATATTTCTCTTTTGTGGGGCATACGAGCGATGGATCGAAGCACGACAAAATCAAGAAAAGGTCTTCGATTTAGAATGGAGGTAATGTGGATGCTTGGCTTTTAGCTTAACCCCATGATCTAGGTTCTACTTGTGTTTGCTCGAGAGCACCGTTGAAATCGGGGTAAGCTTTTGGATTTGTTTAAATTTTCTCTATAATTTAGATCTACGTCTTGAGCGCGTTGGTGCTGGAGTTTTTCTTGAAAGGTTCTTTGAAACGCGCAGCTTTTGTATCAAAAGCCGTCGTTGCCGGGTTTTATGGTGCGTTTCATTTGAAGCTGACTAAACAACGTTGGAGAACTAAATACTTTTAAATTCACAATTTCATTGTTTTGTTTCTTAAAAGCGTTTAGGTCGTGTTTGTGTGGTGTTATCAATAATCTTCCATCTCTACTCAGAACCGTCTTACCGCATACTCACACAGCTTTTCCTTTTGATTTCCCACTTTCAAATATGCAGAGGTAATTTTAAAACTTAAGATACTGTCTCTATCAAATAGTATTCTGACCTTATTAAAAAGCGAGAAAGTTAGTTAGTAATTGTTGTTTGAATGAAGTTACCAAATTCAGAATTGTATATATATTTAGCTCTGCACCCTCAACTTTCCCTGATGCGAGCTGTTGTTTTCGTCTGCCTATCAACATTGTTCGCTCAAATTTTACCACCAATAATGATGGCTTCTCCTAATTGAGCATTACTGTTTTTGTTATTGTTAGTATTGTTAGTTAGATCTGTTTTTGAAAAATAGTGGCTTTGGAAATTCCAAAGTCGGTATTTTCCAAAACGTTGTTTTCTTGTGCAATGTGATTTGAAAACTTTAATTATAACAAGATCATTATTATAACAATGATACCCGTAAAAGATAAAACAAGCTCGAAAGATCATTCAGTCACATTATTCGCTGCACCGAATCCAAAAGCGCGTTCAACTTCGGTCAAATCCTTGACTGTCGTCATGTGTCTTCTAAAACCAAAATATGTTCCGTTTGAGTGTCTGATACACTGTAGTATTCAAAGTCGCTTACCTTTTCAGATGTTTTGCAAGGTAGGCGCGAGACGTGAAAGGGAATTCGCACTTTGGACATTTAAAGGGGCGTGTACCTAAATCATTGTTCAACTCTAAAAAGTATGCAAAACGAACCCGTATGCACATTTTCATGATAGCCCAAGTCTGCCTGCGATTTGAAAAATTTTCCACAACCTTCATACGTACATGGAAACTTCTTTGGGTAGATCGTCTTGGTAGCGTATCTAAAAAGAGGCTTGAAAAATCTTAGTGTTTAAAATAGACCTTCGCTCATGAACCGTGGCAACGTGCTTTTTCAAGGCATATTGTTTGCCAAAGGTTTTATGGCAAACGTCGCACTGCACGGATGAAAGGCCTAAAGTTAGAAAGATATCCAATAGAATGAAAATTGTACCTTTTGTGTTTTGTTGTAGAACCGCTTGAACTGCAGATGGAAGCAAAACCACCTTTGGCTCCTCCTCATCCGCATCCGCCCAGAGTCCCTCACTTCTTGATCGACGATTTGGCAATTCATTGTTGTTCTCACAAGATGCCTAGATAAAATTATTCAAGCGTTTGAACTTGAGCACTTCCTAACACCGAAAATAATAGTTAATGTAAAAACCAGTCTCACCTCATTATCCTCATTATCGCAATGATAAGCTTCCATGTGAGCGTTCAATTTGCTCAAAAACATGCGCATTTGACAGGATGGCATTGGGCAGATAACTCCCCCTCCATGTTCACTAAATATCATATCATTTAACTCGAAAGATTTTAGATTCTTTACCCATCGACATGATATTCGTAGGCCTTTGGATCCGAAGTTGCAAAGCTACACCAGTCGCAATGATGCAAGATTGATTCGATCGTTACTTCCTCATAAATGGGTGCTGGCTTTGTTGGGGTCGCATTTGGGTGACACCGAGTCATGTGTTGACTAAAGCAAAAAGTCTTTAGTATAATCTGCAAACAAACAATCATACCCAATTCTCCATGCAGACATTGTTGCTGGGCATCCGGCTATTGGACACTTCACGCCATTTTCATGTTGTTTTCGGGTGTGCCGTGCCACCTAAACACTTTCTTTAAAACAATGAATTCATCTTTAGTGTTTTATAGTTTTGAAAATTTATCTACCCAAATTAAATTAAAACTAACCATTGCCTTCTTGCGATGAGTGTACTCGCAAATCTCACATTTGTATATTTTCGTGTGACTCTGAAAAAAAATAACAGTGTTAACTCAAAAAAAATAACCTAACCATGGCCCAATGTTTTCGTAGTTCTTCAAAGACGTCGAACTTCTCACTGCAGTTTGCACACTCATGTTTTTCTAAACGGTTATGATAGCTATTGATTTTACTACCAAATCTTACTCGAGTGCTTGTTTTCGATGTGTTGGCGGAGCTTGTTTGGGAAGAGGAATCGCATCTGGCAATGTGGACACGGATGAGGTAAAGATTTCTAAAGGGTAAACTTAAAGGTGCAAAGAATTTTGCACATACCGAAATTCCTCGAACTTTATGCCGTTTTTTCTGCGCTCGGTCGTCATTTTCCAATTCACTCATTTCCGTGTCGTCTTCAGTGGTTGCGACGTAAGGCTAAAGAATTTCGAATTTAAATGTATACCCGAAAACGGTGCTATTTCCTCCAATAGTTTCTTAAAAGCACTTAAATCACAAAACCTCATCATTGATCCGCTTTCGTTTGTGCGGAGGCCGTTGATTGTCGCTTGTTTCACACTCCGATTCTTCTTTCAACAAGGATGTGCTGGGCTCCTGAACCAAAGGTTAATCGTGAATATTAGTGAACCATTTACCTCAGCTTGATCCATTACTGTGCCATCACCAGGTAGCATCTTCAAGAATGAGTGATGTGCTTAACTTCATTTTCATTAAAAACGTTCACTCAATCCAATTCTACTGCATAAAAACTATACACGATACACAAAAACGTTGATTGATGGCATTGAAACCAGTCCGCCAAAATTTAAAACATTTGTTCGATATTTTATTTCATTAAAAACAACAAAAACAATCCGCAAAATAAACAACTCAATAGAAAAGAACTTGTATAACTAACTGAACTACATAAATAACACTCATATACAACAAATATCATCAAAAATATCCTACCACACATTAATTCAATCTTTCGGTTGTTCTTGCACTTCTTTCGTCTGGCTTTCCAAAGTTCGCTCCCGCGCTCGGATGTAGGTTTTTGGGTGAATCGGGAGAAGTCCAGAAAGTCCTGGATAAAATATTTTGTTTTTTCTGCGCGGCTTTAAAACTGTTTATATAGATAGAGATAGAGATAGAGTTAGGGTTAGATAAGTCAGGAGGTTGACTCACGCTCATTTCAATCGCCTAGTTGTCCATAAAACCAATAAATTTACCTAGTAATTCCAAAACGGGCACCGATACATGCGCCTTTCTTTCGCCAATCCAATGTTTGATTCTTCCAATATTTAACGCAACGAGCTTTTCGTTGTGGTTATTTGGCAACGGGTCAAAAGATCCCACCTAAAAAGACATAATTGAATAAACCAAACAGATTAAGTTAACACGCCCGAAACTACAAATCAAGATCTCGGTATTACAGATCAATTCAACATTGAATCGACTTAATTGAAGCCATCTCGACTACCTCTACATTGTTGTTATACCAGCTGCTTATTCGAATCATAAGCTCATTAAACAGACTTGTTCAATAATCGATCCCTCGTATCTCCTCCCCAAAGCTTTATCGGGAAACACGCAAATTTGGTAAAATGGCCGATTTTTGCATCCGAACAGCGCCAGTCCTAAAATTCAAATGACAAAAGCCTAAAACTAGTGTACAAACCTATCGATGGTCGGCCAAAAAGTCGCGGGTCGATGAATTGTCGCATCTGGAGGCGAGCTAAAGTAGAATATACGTAATTGCGAGAAAATGCATGAAATTTTGAAGAAAACTTGCACAATTTTAGTTATTCGACAACAAAGTTGAGGATGAAACGCCCGTTTGTGCACAAAAACGCGCAAGTGCAAGATCACCGCAAGAAAAAAAGAATAAAAGTGGGAGTGGGAGTGGGACAAATGCGACCTTTTTTTTGCGCACCTTTTCTTCCGCACTTAGCCCATTAGCGCACCTTTTTTCGCGTTTTAAAAAAAGCTCTAAAAAGCTAATATTAACCAATTTCTATTCCAAATGTTGTTTTTCTAGGTAATTTGAGGGTGTCGAATTCAAATTTTGACATAACAGAGCGTGTGGAACCAATTTGAAAGACAAAACGGCTAGATCAAATTACAGAAAATTGTCGATTTTTCTCTTTGTATAACTCCGTCCGTTCGCTTCCACAAGCTCTGATATGCCAAAATTTCGATTCTACGCCCTAAAATTACCTAGAAAAACAACTTTTGGAATAGAAATTGGTTAGAGCTTTCTTAAAACGCGAAAAAAGGTGCGCTAATGGGCAAGGTGCGGAAAAAAAGGTGCGCAAATGCCCGGGTGCGCAAAAAAAGATCGCATCTGTCCCACTCCCAAAGTAGGTCAAAAAAATGTCTTTATATACTTGCATTAGCTTATTAAAAGTATTCAGTTGAAGAATTGAAATCCAAGGAATATGATAATCTAACTATAAAATCATTAGCCATTGAACTATCTCGTCATCTCGTCATCCTTCTTTTTGTTGTACGCTTACGTAACGATATATCGGCTAACTGCTTTGAAACTTCGTAAGAAAGTTAAGAGCTTCATAATCTACATTAAAAATGGCATTATGTTCCGTCTTAGGCTTACAGCAACATAAATAAATTCCCTACTTTTGGCCAATCACTGCTTCAAATGAAGACGATCTTTAAAAATATTAGCAGTTTGAAGATCTTGAACATCTAAGGTTCAATAAAATATTCACAATTGATCGATTTGCATGCACATGATACTGCCATGTCTTCCCAACATCGTGAAAACCGTTCAACAACAACCAAAACGCTTTATTACAAAGAAAATCGGTGAAAATAGCTACTCCGTATCTGAATCACTTGGTTCGATCAATTGCATTCGAGCCGTTTGGTGATGATTCTAAACTTTTTAACATTTGAAGTCAAAGTTTTTGATACTATCCCCTTTGGGATCCAACCGAATACTGTAAAATTGTATTTCTTTACGTGATCATCGAACTCTTCATCGCTTTCCGCGGGTTCCATCAATCCGAGGCCTTCATCGGAATTCTGTAAACGATTGTTATCGCCGAGATTATCGGTTCTGAGCCATATTTGAAGGTTGTATTCCACTCATTGCCTTTCAGAAAAGCTACTATAATCTCAATACAGTAGCTTTTCTACCGTACTCTCTCTACCAGTACCATGCTTTATCTATTTTCTTCTCAAATCCTACCTTAAGTGAATGATTACTCGTCTCTCTTTGATATGGAATATCTTCAATTTCGATGCTCGTCATGTCGGATTTCTGAAATTTCGGCCTTTTCGAACGTTCTCTGAACTCACTTTGTCAATAAGTCGTTCATCCAACCAATCGGGTTTCATAGAGGACATTGCCAGGAATCTAGAACCAATAAATCGGCACCACTTGATGCAACTCACTTTGCAATCACTTCTTGCATTCGTTGTCTTTCTTCTTCTTCGTGTGGATGGGAGACACAAGTTGCTTGAACACCGTGAAGGAATGAAGTCAAAGACATCATATCTGTCGGCACTAAAATAGCTTCTTTATACTTCTTTATAAATAGGATTGCCAAATTTACCCTCAAATCCTCGTAAGCCAAGTAAAGCCAAATGCGGTGGAGTGATCGGGGAATACGGTAGACGGACGATCGCAAAACGGTCACGATTGCTTTTCATTGAGATTTCCTAGAAGGGCTTGTTGGAATGCATAGGGATAGATATTTTTATCTATAATTGAAAACTTTCTTACACTGGTGATCATATCGATCGCCGTTGGAAAGAGATCGGGGAATGGACGACGTTGAATGAGAGATTTTGATGGAGTCACTGAAATTGCTATCACTGAAATCAGCCATCCAACCCAAACATACAATTCTCATTCTCGAGCAGAAATGGCACAGATGGTGAAACAACAATGAGAACTTTTGAAGAAGAAGATAGAGATGAAAGGAGCCAACGGGAGGGTTTTTCGCCTGAATATCTTTGGTAGACGAAAGACTGTTATTGTTTAAATTTCAATCCAATACCTGATACCAATAACTCTTCTTGATCAACCAATACCCGCCCATTTGCCAATTTCTCAAGAGATGCAGCCAATTGAAGCACAACATCGGTATGTTCCTGAAGAACATTGAAATGATTTAAGAGAGATTATGGATATTTCTCTTATCTCTTGATTAAAACGTTTTCTAAAAGCATTAGAGTACGCTAAGCTGCTAGCTATTAGTTACTGTGCTTCCAGATCAGTTACTGTGCTTCCAGAGAACACCTCAGCCAAGAGAAACTATACACAAAGTGATCAACGATGACAAACTTGACAATCATCCGCGAAAATCATCAACACTTTCGGTCTTTCCGTCAATTCATAACTAAGTGGATTCTTGATATTTCTTCGACGAATGTAGTTTAAGACAGCAAATCCACCAACTCCAACACTGACCACAATACCTAGAACGGGAATTATCCAAATCCAAATCCAAATCCGTATCTGGCCTAGATTTCTCCTTACTACAAGCCTGGTCTATAAAATCTAATACTTACCAAGCAATATTAGAATCACATAAATGCCGGCATCTCGAACAGCTCGAAGAGTTTTCCATGAAACGCTTCCCTGAAAACAACAATTGCCTTATTCTTTCCCTTATTCTTTCCCTTTTCCCAACCTTATTCTCGTCCAAAGTGAAATTGATCGGTGTATGTGAACAAACTCGACAATTCGGCGCATTATTGCAAATGAGCAAACAATCGTGTCGTTGAATGTACGCAATTGCAGAATAACTCCCCTTTGGAGCCGATTCCCATTTGATGCCGGTTGCTGGATTGGGTACAACGAATTCCTGAAGATTCAACTGTGTCTAGTTCTCTGTCTATCTCATTTCTCACCTTAACAATCCCCAATATTTTATCGTCATCCGATCGTTCAGCAATCGATATTCTCATTTCTCTCCATGTGTAGTTCTGCGGTGTCGCGAAACGAAACCAAACCCCGTCAACTGGAGTCGAATCGACGATAAGAAGAGGAGACCATTCGGCTTGTTGATCGTAGGTTATGTTCTGAATTTTAGGATGAATTCTGTTATGTCGATTGTAACCAGTACAGTCCAGTACCATTGTAATTAAACTGTTCTTAAAAGGTAAGAAAAAGCTATGATACTCTTTCGAAGCTGAATATGATTTCAGACACGATTGCTCTGCAGGATTTTTCCAAAAGGCAAGAAAGGTACCACTTTTGGCTTTCCTTGCCTTGATTTTTCGCAAGCAAGCAATAGAAGACAACTTTGTTAGAAGTTAGAATAGAAGACAACTTTGTTTCTTTCCTTTCCTTCTTTCCTTTCTTTCTTTCCTTCTTTCCTTCTTCCTTACTTTCCTTCTTCCTTACTTTCCTTACAAATCACAGTTTTGCACTAGACTTTATCTAAATAATATCTAAATTGTTCACCTGATTGTGGTAAAACTGCATGATCTCTGGATAGATATCTCCAATTGATGGTAATGTGAAAAGGACTGTTGTTCTGAAATTCGAAAGATTTCAGTAACAAGTAGTAAGTAAAACTTGTTTCAAACTTACCGACAGTTTTGTGGATAAAAAGTAACATTGACTCGATATTGAGAAAACCCAAAAATACGGAAGCAATTGTACGAAAAAAGGAGAGGAAACTGAAATCATTGATTGTAAGGGAAAGATTCGATTGAACTGACAATTGGTTTTGATCCGTTCAGATTCAGGAATCGACATGGTTGAATCGTTTTACCGTCATAGTGAACAAGCTGAACATTTCTTGATCAGTGATTGTTTTTAGCTAGACTTATTTGAATCCTATAGGGTAATCCTATAACTGAATATTCAGATAATTAAAGAATAAGGTACTAACGCTCGATTTCTTATGACAATATCCATCTTCGATATCGGATGCTTGTAAACACTCGAATTGAAGGACAACCCATTGAAATTCCTCCATAACATCAACTGTGATATTTGCCGTCATCCATGGAAGTCTGAATCGTTTTTTTTTTATAAACTAAGCTCTTCACAAACTGTAGCCGATCTTCTGGGATTATTCGCTTCGGTGAAACATTGATCGTTGCAAGAGTTGATGGACAAGCTGATGGATCGTCTGATTGCTCTGATTTCAGCCCCTAAATGAAAATTTGATGTTGGAAAGGATCTGCAGAAGTTTGGAATTGATGGGTTTACCGTTACACTTTCTTACTGTAGTTTGGTAAAGAGATACTGTAAAGATCTTTCTTACTGTAAAGAGATAAAAGACTTTACATTAATCTTACTATTGGTCTAGAGTAACCTTAGCACTTTGTTAGTCTCACATAGCTTTACAGTTATAGTAATTCATTTAGTTCATCTTATGTATCAAAATTTTGTGCCCTTGCTACAATAGCTCAAAGCATATCCCTCACCTCGTGTTTTTTATAACATCTGAGCGTATCCTTTTCAATATAATAACGCGTTTTATCCTCGATAGTCAAATTTCTCTCCTCATAAAGAATTGTGAGATCATTGTAACACTGGTCATTTGAAGATACGGTAGAAAAAAATAATAGAATCAATAGTCGAATCAATAGTTGAATCATGATAAAGGCTGGGATAGAGAGATTTGTGCAGTTGAGATATTGTCTGTGGATGAGTTTGATTGAGTGATTTGTTCACGATTACTCCTTGCTCTAATGTAGGTCTTTGGGTGAATAGGGAATAGGCCGGATAGACCTGAAATTGAATGTTTTGATTGATTTGATTGATTAGATGGCAACTAGTGCGATTGACTGTTGCAAAATAAAAAATGGTTACAGTAAAAATGAATTGTTTGTACTCACCTAGCAACTCCAAAACTGGTACAGAGATATGGGCGTTTCTCTCACCAATCCAATACTTGATTCGTCCAATATTCAACGCGACGAGCTTCTCGTTTTGTTGATTCGGTAACGGATCAAAGGAACCAATCTGGAATCAAAAAATTTTTATTGAAATTGAAGAGTTTATGGTTTCGAATTGGCTTCGGGATCACAAAACGTTTTCTAAAAGGTGCGCTTGGGAAAAACTACCGTACTCTAAACGGCTTAATCAAGAGAAACACGGAAATCCGTCAAAATGGATTGTCCTTACCTGTTCAATGAGGGTTCCTTCGTATCTTCTTCCCAAAGCTCGATCCGGAAAAACACAAAGTTGGTAGAAGGGGCGATTCTTGCAACCAAACAGCGCCAAGCCTAAATGAATGAGTGCTTTTGCCAGGGTCACCCTTGATAACGGCACCATTTGATCTTCTATGGGATGAACCCCTCAAAAGAAATCTTATCATTTCTTCTTAAACATTTCAAAAGTTATACAAATATTTCATTTTATCAACTGACCAATCGTCGGTCGTCCAAACGTTTTCGGATTCACAAATTGGCGCATTTCTCGAATCAGAGGCAACCCTGTTCCCACATCAAAACAAGTTGGCTTTTATTTGGGAAGAGATTGGCTGAAGATTGGGGATTTTTAAAAGAATTTCATCGAGCAGCACTGATAAAAAACTAACGATAAATAAAAGCCTATTCGAAAGAAATTTTGTCATTTTGTTTCATGGTGAGGTCACGGAACGGTTTTCCCTCTATTCTCTGACACAAGACATTCAACTTCTACTAAACTTCTGTGCTTTTGAAAGTTTACAAATTAACTAAACATTAATGCAACTTTGGGGGTGTCTAATTTCCGCCATTTTATTTGCGCAACTTGCCATAACTTTCTTCTAAGTGAGTCAATCTTTATGATTTTAATGTCATTTTGTTGGAATTGTTGAGATTTACAAAATGACACCAAAATCATAAAGATTGATCCACTTAGAAGAGAGTTATGGTAAGTTGCGCGAAGAATTTGACACGAAGTAGCCACTCCCCTTATTTGTTAGATTAGCCAAAGTCTAACGGCAAAAACATTGAACCTAACAAAAACACGACATAAAATGGCTTAGGATCTCACGTTTTTCACTTATTGTGCTATTAAATCCCTTCTCGCGTACGTGTCTATACAAACAACTCGAAGAGGAGAACCGCTTTCCGCATTTCTTTCCAGAACCCCACCCCCCGCATTCTTGGCCGTGATCCAATAATTTGAAAACTAGTTTGCCTTGAGCTATCCGAGAAAGCGACAAAAGGCACAGAAATTGATTTCAACGAGGAAGACAATCGATCACCTGGCTGCACCTCCCTTCTTTTCTCCTCCCTAATTTTCATTTCCCTTTCCTACACTCACTTTACATTCAATTTCCTTGATCTGTCTAATACTTTTTATTTAGATTCATTGGCGCTTAGATGGGAAGACGATAAAGAAGAAAAAGAATGGTTCAAAATGGTTTCACCAGCAAACAAACCCCGAAGCTGTTCGGGAAAATCGCGCCGATCGTCAACGATGTCTTATACTTTGCCTCGTTTGAACAGCCACCAGCATCAAATCCGGAGGTGAGCTTTTTGTGGTTAGATAAAAGGAATTGGTGCGATTTTTATGGGTTATTGTTAAAGTCTAAACCTTAAGTGTATTGTAGAGGTTTTATTTGAGTAAAGTAGAAGTTAAACACGTTGTTCCTAACGAGTTTTGTTCTACGTGCAACCTTTTATTCAGTATGTTTAGTTCCGTTACATCCTGATTGATGAACGAGTTCATTATGAACCGTTCTATTCTGACTTCGGCCCGCTCAATCTCAGCGTTCTCTATCGCTTTTGCAAGTTCATACATTCACTTCTTGAGGTGAGTCGGTTTAACAAAATTTTTAATTATTGTTTGTTTAGACAAAGCCAAAGAGAAAAATCCTTTGCTGGACAAATGCAAGCGAAGAAAATCGCGACGAGAACCGGGTGAACGGTGCTTATCTACTTGCTGCATATCTGGTTTGGCAATACACTAGATAATTTACGTGCCGTTTAGGTTATTTATTGCAAGGTCAGCGCAGACCAGGCTTACCTCCGGATTCGAGTAAGAAACATGTGTATTGAACATTTTTACTTTCAATTTTAGATGGCCGAAGATGAAGAATCCGAATTTATTGGCTTCAGAGATGCAGCCATGGGAGAACCAACTTACCTGCTACACATCCACGATGTTCTTCGAGGGATTGAAAAAGTACATAAAAATTAGCTTCAAAACCGTTATTCTTTGCAGGCGATTGAGCACGGCTGGTTGAACTTCGATGATTTTGACCCGGACGAATATGAGTACTATGAAAGGTCAGGGATTTCTGTGTACATCTGCAATTAACTTTTTTATTTTAGAGTGGAGAACGGGGACTTAAATTGGATTATACCAACCGGGAAAAAGCAAATCTTATCATTTTGTGGGCCACATGCGAAAAGTGTTATTGAGAATGGTAATATAGTTCTTTTTGTTTCATGGTGATTTTGTGGTTTAGGTTATCCATACCATGCGCCCGAGGTTTACTTCAACTATTTTCGCACTCATGACGTTACTACGATTGTCCGGTTAAATATGAAGATGTACGAAGCGTCCAAGTAAGATTTTTATTGTTTGTCAAACATTTGGCTCGATTAGATTCACCGAAGCTGGCTTCCAACACGTGGATTTGTTTTTTATTGATGGATCGACTCCTTCGGATGAAATTATTGAAAAGTTTATCAAGGTGGTCGATGATAGCCCAGGCGCTGTGGCGATTCACTGTAAAGCTGGTATGTTTGAGATGTTAAATATAGTAGTTAGCTTATTTTGCTTTTAGCGAACTAAATAACGCCTAAATTTAGGCCTCGGTCGGACGGGGACATTGATCGCATGCTGGATGATGAAGGAATTTGGACTGAATGCAGCAGAGTGCATGGCTTGGTTACGAATTTGCCGCCCTGGGAGTGTTATTGGCCCTCAGCAGCAATTTTTGGTATTTTCAAATTTATTTGATTAAAGAGCCTGCTCTTTTAGGTTCGCAAGCAAAAGTTTTGCTGGAAGATGTCCAATAACAATCTGATCATGCAAATTGGACTGACGGGCAAAAAGCAAGGCGATGCCACTGAAGGAAAACTCAATAATTTGACAACAAAGGTGTGCTATTTAAAAGATGTTTAGTAATTTAGTCTAGGTTGACGAGATTAGACTTGAAAATCAACAGAATGGCAATATCGTTATCACCAGTCCACGGCGTAGTCGAAACTCTTCAAAATGTATCGTCGGAGAAATCGTGGATGAGGTAAAAAAGGCTTGAGACTCGAGGAGTGAAAAAACTTTTGTTAGACTGCAACGGACGAACATGGAAGAACACAAGGCGATCGTCTGTTAGAAATGAAAGTTCGATCGCAGCATGCTGCTCACAAGAATGAAGCTACAGAAAAGGTAAAAGTAGCACCAGTAAAATTAATCTAGATTGAAATTCAGGCGGCCAGTTCCCGGGAGAAGCCCCGTGTTGCCAATAGCTCGACTGGATATTCTTCGATGTCAAACACAAAGCTGCCCTCGACTTATTCCCTTCATTCACCACATATACGCAGGAGTGGAAAGGTTAAGGAAACTTCAAATTTTTTAGAGGAGGGGGATTTATTGCTGGAAACGATAAAAATGAATTGGCAAAATTAATTTGAATCCCGAAAATCCTTGAACTTCCTTTAGAGATCGGCAGACACCTAAATTAACTCATAAATAACAAATAAAATTTAAAAAAGCAGAAAAGCCATAAAATCTGTACAAAGGAAGAATTTAAACTCTTAATGTAGCCATACATCAAAAATTACTCATCATTTGAATCAACATCACTCAGGTTCAAAATCTTTCCAAATCCAATTTAATTTTGCCAATTTATTTTTATCATTTCTAGCAATAAATCTAACAAATAAACACAATAAATTAATTTTCTCGAAAAATTTTTTAATGAGAATAGGCCACGATTGTTACCCCTTCTTTAACATTTTATTTTTAGAGTTCATCAGCTTTGTTGAGCGGGCAAGCGGCTTTAAATCAAGCTTTATTGAAAGTTCAGATGAATTCACCACGGTTTGTCTCGTTCTCATTCTTTTGTAGTCATTTTTGCTTTAGATTTTCATCTCCGACTACTCCCATAAAGTCAATGTTTAACAACTCTCCGATTGTGCCACCACGATCAACATATGTCGCGAGGAACTTACTTACATCGAACAAATCTCAAACGAATATTCAAAGGACTCCGACAGTTCCGGTGAGTAGTAGTATTATTGTACTTTTCAAGATTTTCTATTAAAGCCTAACAATGAATTCTTAATTTTGAAAACCGCGTACGCAGGCTTGTTATGTTAGGTTTCTGTTGTTAGATGCATGTAAATGTATTCTGATTTGCTATGGGGTGTTGTGTTCTAGGCCGCATTTCGTGATTAAACCGAAAAGAAGTCCGTCACCAATTCTTCACCCAGCAATTCCCTCTCCTCATCATCTCATCAACTAAAGAACCTCATCCATCACATTCACTAAAATTTACGATGTCTCGTCAGTTTGGGCCTATCATGTCTTCTTGTGAAATAGTGCCTTAAAATCCTGATTTCTTCTGCATCACCCAAGTTTTTGTTTTGTCATTGTTGTTACTTTGTTCATTCACACCCAAAACGGGTCTTTTTTTAGTTTGCACTCACGTAAAACGCAATTAATTCTTGTTCTTGCATTGGTATTCGGATTTATGCAGTCTAAATGCCTAATTTGTTACATTTCCTAATTTGCTATTTTGTTGTTACTTTGCCTTTATTAGTGCTTACTAATAAACTCATACAAAGCTAGTGTTTATTCAACCTCTAAGTCAGCATAAATTTTTTAAATGCATTAATTACCAACCCTTTACCGAAGCATTAAAATTTTAGATAGCGAAAGTGACTGTATTGTCCGGTTCTCGACTTATCAACGGAAGCAGTCGATCAACTTCTGCTCTAAAACGAATGCAGCCAACGAACTGGTCTGAAAATTATTACATGATAAAAATAACTGGAGACATTTTAGTAGAAAGCATAGTCGTCTTCATATCTATCGGTATGAAAATAGTGAAATCGTGTAGTTGACCCATTTTTCTCTTGGCCGACTATTTCTGTAAATTGAAGGCTATTTCCTAGACAATTTGTGCAAAATTGTGCTTGTGAATCTATTTTCTGTTAGTGCAGTGACGGTGCTTTGATGAAATTGCCAAAGACCAAAACAAATTTCAGTCTCCGAACTCGTCCCTATCCATCGTCTGGAATTAGACTCGAGTTGTCGCCAACCACATCTTCGAATAGCTATGAATTGCGTTCAAGTGAGATTGTAGATTGATGTAGACAATGTTTAGCTATTGAATAGTATCCGTTAATAGGCCTTTCTGCTTTGAAACACTGAAAACATTTCCAGAACGCTCCCCGGGATACGTCTCATCTCATTCGTATGGACTCGAAACTTCGGCTGCTAGTAGTATGCCACCAAATGCTGAGGCACTCATCGGAGTATGTGAAAAAAAGCTAAAGATTTGAAATAATAAACCCTTAAACTTTCCAGCGTTCCCGAGCCCTTAAGAAGAAATACACTTAAAGGGCGCTGCAATAGTGTAATCCCTGCAAACCAGGTAACTCCTCATCATCACTCCTTTTCTATCACATTTTTCACCAAATCATTTCATCTCTTTTTGTACATATCGCTTTGGCAAACGGCACTTTTGCATAACCGACCTGCTGGACAGAACAGTTACCTAGAAAATAACCCTTGCAATAATCTCAACTTTATAACGAATACAATACTTTAACTGCCATTCTTTTTTGTACAATCTCGATTGAAATAATATCTTTTAAATATGGTCTCTTGTTACCTTCCTCTCGAAGTGCTAGCTTTTAAAGCTTATAAATTTTACTTAAAAATTGTGTCATTATTTAATGTGCATTGACTCTTCGATAAATTGCCTATTTTTCCTTTGTTGCCAAATTTGTGAGCTTGCTCGATTTGTTTTTAATGAAAATCATAGAAGTTTTTAAATTTTGTTGTAAGAATTTTAATATCAAAATTTATACTCGTAATGTTTCAAATTCGACAAGTAAAAGCCGATTTTCTTTTCAATAAAGTATGCTTAAAACGTTGAACAAAACAAAAACAACTTCCTAATCTACATTAATAAAGTTCAAATCAAAACATCTAATCTACTCGAACAAAACGACTCACAATGCAAAATAAATTATTTGTTACCAAGGCTGTCAGTACCGACTCCTCGAAACGGTCCGTCATTCTTCCAGGCGAATCAACCTAAACAAAAACTTATTCAACATAAATTCAACAAACTCAAATAAATCCAAAACCTTTTTGTTTTCTGAAACAATAAAAAACAAGTTATATATTTGTTATTTTTTAACGACCCACATCTTAAACCTTGAGCAACTGCCATGAAAATGCCAAATGAGCCTCCGGATTGAGCCGCGACCTTTCCCATCTGAATGAAGTGAATTGAAATTTTAGCCTTTGTATAATCGTACCTGTACTATCATCTCTTTGCCTCGAAGTCCTCCTCTAAAGGCTCCGAAACCACCTAAAATTTATATTATCAAATAAGACTCCGTAAGACAGGTAAGAAAGGCTACACAAACTAATAAATCCAACCACCCACCCAGTAAAACGCCGGTCGCACCACCGATCATACAGCCCATCATGAAACCCATCTAAAGAAAATATATCGTATTTGGGCTTAGACAATCTTCAGAATAAGAAAATGGTCTCTTAATGAATTTTCAAAATGAAAACAACACCTACTCGTAATTTTTGAAAGCAGGAAGCTGACTGGCCACCGGCGGCTTGATGCGATGTTGGCACGGGCATTAGTAACGCTCTAAAATTTCACGTTACCTAAGAGAAATTTGAAAATCTATAGACAAACCAATGAAAATATAATCAAAGAAAAAGCTATAAAAGCCCTCGATAAAAGATTTTTGACTGCAAAAGATGGATTAGAAAACGGGAAAACGGTTAACGGGTTTCTGGTTGTTAATGGAGTCTTAACCAGATAAGATTCTATTTTTTAAATATTTATTAGACTAAAAAAGCTGAATCCCTTATAAAACTTTGCAGATAAAGCTGAACATTGCAAATTTAAAAATTTGAAACTGTTTTCATTTCATCAAAAAAATACTCGAGTGTATGTGCCTACATGGGGCTCCTTTGTCGCCCTTTTGAATCTGAGCCAAGTGGTGTCTGATGTAGCTTAGCTGTCGTGTACATTTAACCTACAAAGCATAATATTCAACCACTTTTGTTGTTTTGGAACAAGTAAAAATAGCCACCAGAAAACAAAAGCTAATTTCTAAAGCGTTTTATATTATTTTCCATCAATGACGGAATATCGTGAGATACACGTTAAATAAAAATATTCCGTCAATGAAATTATGGGTATTTAACAACTTTTTCTCAAACTTCCGCATTTTTGGTGCATTTCGTTCGCTGTTATTTTCAAAGATGCTGACTTTAATAATTTTGTATTTTTTTCAGGGTTTACCTTCTCTCGACCGTCTCGATATGCATTCGGTCTATTCTCGAGCGAATGCCCTCTTCGCTTTTATGTTATGGGTGCTCTCCGCGGTGACGTTTGCTTGTTTTCTGACGACGGTTTTCCTCACTCCGAAAGTCGACATCAAAGTTGAGGTAGTTTATTTGGTAAATTCGCTAAGTTTTGCTAAATAAGCATTAAGTGAAGCTATTGTTTTTGCCCGCTTATATACCCAGAATTTTCAGGTCTCAAACCCTCGGGTACGATCTGTCGTTGACTACTCCTCGGCCACCGAACACTCCGATTTGGGACTTCTAGATTTTTCCGTGAACGTTGATTTGACGCAAACCTTCAACTGGAACGTCAAACAAGTCTTCCTCTACCTCGTCGCCGAGTATTCGACCCAAGAAAATCCAGTGAATCAAGTTGTTTTGTGGGATAAAATCGTGCATCGAGCCTCGAGAGTTATCATCGATGAAAGGAGAATTCAACCGAAATATTACTTTTTGGACGACGGCAACCATTTGTTGAATCACCAAAATGTGACACTCGTGCTCCGTTATAATGTGGTTCCAAATTCGGGATATTTACGACTCGCACAGGCTAAAGATCAATTCATTCTCAAGTTCCCCTCCACTTACACCACTTCCAAGTATTAAAGCATTTTCTTGTTTTGATTTTCTGTAATTTTCTGGTTGTTGGACTCTCGTATTTGTGATATTTTCAACTTGAAATGAAAATACTTAGTGGCATCTTTTTAGCAGCAGAACAAAAATTGATTTGAGCCAAGGTTGTCTGCTAAATTTTTTCATGTAGTATTTTATCGTAAATTTTTTTCTGGGTTTTTGTGTCTTCATTGTTTTTATGATTGTATGTATTATGGTTTTATTTATTAAATAAAATTTCAGGTTGATGCTATTTCCTCAAGCGAGTGCGATTAAATCAAATATGGAAAGGAATCGAACGATTGGAGCAGTTGTTGTCGGAATTTCGTCTCTCGTTGTGGCTATTCAAGTGGCTTTCATTTCAGGATATACATCAACTGATTTTGAGGTGAGTATCTATACAATGAAACCTTGATCATTATTCTGACGCGGTGAAAAGTTGTTTTTGTTAAGCTAATTCTTTTTAGGTTCATAGAAACTGGATGGCGATCGTTCACAATCTCCCGCTTGCAAAGTGGTACTACGAGAAGACGTCGGAATGGACACTTGATTATCCGCCTTTCTTCGCTTACTTTGAAAAGGTAAAAAAAGAAGATTATGCTTATTTATGAAGCTTTCTTAGTTGTTAGCAATCGGAGCAACTCGTTTTTTATCCAGGGACGCGCTGAAGTTGACTAAAGAACCGATAATGAACGACTCGATTCTTAGATTTCAACGATTCTCCGTGATTATTTCTCATCTGTTATTTGTAAGCATGCTTTTTTTACACAACAAATATTTTTTAGATCTATTCCTGTTATCGCTTGTGCTTTAGCAACACTCCCAGATGGATAAAATTACCGAATGGTTTGGTTGGTTCAACTTCAAATTTCATCTGATCTAGAAACTAAGAATTTAGAGAAAACGCGCGCAAATGGCACTGTTTGTACTTCTCGTCACGAATATTGGCTTTTTCATTGTGGATAGCATACACTTTCAGGTTTTTCTAATTAATTATTAGAAAAATTGGGTCATTTAGTACAACGGATTGCTGACGAGCTTGCTGGTATTTTCAATGACATTAATCGACCAAGGAGCATTTGTAAAGGTTAGGAGAATTAAAAAAAAACATTTTTTCAATTTAAATTTCAGGGAGCTTGCATGTTCTGTGTGTTGCTCAATTTCAAGCACATTTACCTCTACTATGCTCCAGCGTTTGTTGCCTACTACTTAATTGGTTATTTCGAAGTAACTGTGAAATTTGATGTAACGATGGTATTGCGAAAAGGTACGTCCTGGTTTGTTAGCTTTAATTGCTTGTTTAGGGGTAACTCTTCTTGCCATGATGTTGATTCCATTTGTTCTCTCGTTTGCTCCATTTCTTTGGCTGGACGGATTTGATACGATCAAACAGATATTTGTACGATTATTTCCGGTTCAAAGAGGTATCTTAATTTCAACAACTTTTTAAAAGCTTAATTTAAAAATTTTTTAGGACTGACTCATGCTTATTGGGCGCCGAATTTCTGGGCTTTGTACAACATTGCTGATATTGGCATCTACCGAGTTTTGAGTTTCATTGGATTCAAGTTCAGTCCACCGATGTACACTTCAGGATTAGTTCAAGTTAGTCTTTTAACTTTTAGCAGTTAATTTTTTTGTTTAGGAATATTCACACAGCGTCTTACCAACAATCGGGACAAAAGAGTCGTTATTTTGTACGTTGATTGCCCTGCTTCCGTTAATGGCATTGATGCGCAAAAGAAAGGTCGCGGATTTCACGATCTACTTGACTTTATCAGCGTTCGCATTTTTCTTGTTCGGATATCATGTACACGAGAAGGCGATTATACTTCTGACGATACCTCTTAGCATAGCTGCTTTCACGGTAAAACATTGTACATTTAATGATTAACAATAAAAATTTAGAATCCCGTTCATTTGACTTCGTGGGTGGTGCTGAACACAATCTCGATCACATCTTTATTTCCGCTACTGTTTACTCTGTTTGAGGTAAACCGATCATTTTACCACATCAGAAGTTATGATTTCAGATTCCCACCAAGTACTCGATTGGTCTTGCATACTTTTTCGGTAGTTTGTTATGCATTCGATATGTTTTTATGATCAAAGTGCGGCACTTTTTATCGAGAGGACTTCGGTGTTATATAGCTGTCTTATTCTTGGTGGAACTCTACAACACAATCTTTCACAAAGTTAGTTTAACTTACTAGAAGTTTAGGCCATTTTGTAGTTACGTTGTTTTATCAAATCTAATTTAGATCATCTTTGGAGAACGTCTCACATTTTTGCCCCTTATGCTCATTTCGGTTTGCAACGCTTTGGGGATATTCTATGCGTATTTGCGAATTTTGTGGATAGAACTCGCCGACACATATGGACTTCGAATAAGCAAATGGAGTTTGGAACGTTTAGAGGCAAATTTATTTGGAATCGTCATTTGATTTTTGATATAGAAGGGAGCTCTTCGAACTCCACCACAACCCATCTTGTCACTGAAGGATGTTCAAATTGTTGCTGGGGCCGATATTTCTACCTGCAAAGGGTTTCCTGATTTGGCTGTCGTCACGTTATCTTTGTTCAAATATCCAGAATTTGCAGTAAGTTTTCTGCAACTTTTAAAAAGTTCTATTTTTTTAGGAAATCACAAACTTTGACTGTGTGCGAATCATTTCGTCTCCTTACATTAGCGATTATTTGGGATTACGTGAAGTTGAACCATTGTCGGATTTGATCAACGAGGTAATTGTAAACTCTAAAGTTTGTATTTGCTCAGTGTTTTAGATGGTTTCTAAATCGCCAACCATGCGACCGGACGTTATTTTTATTGACGGGAACGGTTCATTTCATCCGCGAGGTACATAAATATACGTACCAAGCGAATCCTATTTTTAGGTTGTGGATTAGCTTGCTTGGTGGCCTCAAAAACCAGGATCCCAACCGTCGGCATCGCTAAGAATTTCAACATTTCTTGTTTGATAGCGGACGGAGTTAACAAAGATGGAATTAACGAGGCACAAAAGGTTTTATATCTAATGAAAATTTAATTTATTGTTTTTAGATTATCGATGAAATTATAAATCTACCCGGAGCGAGTGACGGGTTTTACGAATTCGATATAGGTAGACCAAAGACGTTACGGATAGGTTCGTTGGAGTTGGTTAAAATTTGACAAATGAAAATTTAGTGCGAGCTGGTGGTTCTAAGCAGCCAGTCTTTGTGTCATCTGGTGGAGGGATTTCGCTAGCTGATGCCACTCAGTTAGTACTAGAATCATCGTTGAACAGGATATCAATACCAATTAGAACGGTATGTTTTGGGATTTTTAGAATGGGACTCATATATGTATATCTGTGTTTAAAGTTGTAAATTGAAGTTTAGGCCGATCTTCGCTCGAGAGAGATTGTGAGAAGAGTTTTTGAAGACAATTAAAGGACTTTTTTAGTTATTGTTAGGCGTACTTATTTTTTGTTATCATTGTTGATTTTGTTGCCTTATTCGATCACTGTGATTTAATGCTATTACGGGAAAGCTTTAATTGCAAACGTGTGATTGAACTTTGATAGAATAAATTTAACACGTATTCGACTTTAATTTCTGCAATCAGTTTCAATCAGTTAACTGCAAAGAGTTTACTTTCAATTGAATTCAGTCGTCGAAACGACATTTTGTGCATTAACACACACGCTGTCTTTAGATGCACCTAACAGCACCGACGTGCTTGCGGAGGATCATCAACAGCGCTTATGATAGTTTCAAGGTGAGTTGGATTTTGAATTACACTTTGTAATTACAGTAACTTTGGTTGAATCACAGACAGTGGATTTAGGTGATACCAAAGCCCGATGTTTGGTTGAAACGAGAGCGACAGAAACGCATCGTTGCTGTAAGTTCTTTTTTAAAAGTGATGTAAAGATTAGATCTTGAAAATTAAAAATTTTAGTGGCAATTTGGAATTAACCGTGATGAGTGGAAACATGGATTGCAAAAGCACAACAAACTTTTCCATTACATGCAAATGCATCGATCAGATGAGCGAAAGACCGAACAATTCGTGGGTTTAACTTTAGAAATTAAAAGCTAAATGTGTAGCTATGTATATAGTTGAAGTAGAATACCTTAGTGTGGTTTTAGTATGCTGGAGAACGTGTTAGCGCTGCCCTTGCCGAACATCACTTCGAGTATAAATATTTCCGAAGCATGTTGGACAAGGTAAAGTCTCTTTAAAACCTACTTAATCACCTGTTTAGGCTCACATTTTGCTTGACAATGTGGTGCTTTCTCATTTGGCGCTTTACGAACCAAGAACATTTCATGTAAGTTTTGCTCTCATTAACAGCTTTAATCGGTTCATTCAGAGTCTTGTGACATTAACAAAAGAGATGGCAAAGAAGGAAGGAATTCCAGTGATTCCCGATGATAAAGAATTCAAAACAGAGGTTTGATAGTATATCTATTAAATTAAAGTTTAAGAGCTTAGGACGAAGTGTGTTGATGAATTGCTCTGCTATGTAACAAAATACAATTATACTTTCAGGTTAACTTGGATTCTTCCCTATTCGGCGAGCCGTTTCCGCGTTCCAAAATCTTCCCGCGAGGTGCCAGTGAGGATCATCGGATCAAACCACGAAAACTTAAAAGCGACGAATATTAATCTTTCTCTTTGGTTATTATTTTTATTGTTGTCTTCTCTTTTTTGATATCATTGAACAGCATAAAACGGGTATTTAAGACTAGGGATTGATAGTTGTTTTCATATTTTTAGCTTGTAGATTAGGGTTTTTGAGTTTGTATACTTTCAATAAATATTTTTGATGTCAGAAACAGCGTTTTGAATATTTTTGCGGAAAGGAATTCTTGAATATCTAAATCATTTGAATTGCACGGGAGACGTTAAGAGATTCGACAGAAAAAGGCTTTTTGTGATTTGTGTGGTATTGCGCAATGTTGTGCAACAAAAAGAAAAGAGTCTTTTTGGGTGCCAGGCAGAGCTCTTATTTTTCTTTTAAAGCATATAGGTTATTCATGTTCTAAATAAGTTAAAAGGTATATTTTATTGAAAAAGTGGTTTTTTTCTAAACCCCAAATTTATTTTCTTTTTCAGATAAGATGAAAGAAGAGACTGAAGGAAAGGAAGCGATAAATAAAAAACAGCGTCAAGGAATTGGAGCACAAGTTTGTTTAGATTTTTCTTTCTCATTACATTGTTTTAGGATGGGAGCAAACGACGAGAATTTCGAAGGTTTCGTCGTACAAACAATGGACCGAAGACAACAAAAGGTACTAGAGCAATAAGTTTTAAAACTTTCGATTCTAGCCTCAACTTCAACTGATGGTACTGAAACGGTGGCTGGAACTACTGAAGCTCCAAAGAAACAAGAAAAAAAGTCTGTTTATTTTTCAGGTTTTACTATAAAAATAAAATTTTAGACCTCTTCCAGTCTGCCGCTTCTTTCGATCGAAAAACGGATGTCTTCGAGGTGATGCGTGCAACTTCCGCCACGTGCCTAAAAAAGGTTGGACTTTCAACTGTCATTAAATTGAACGATGTCTTTAGACACGAGTACTAAGAAATCTGTGAAGGACGAGACTAACGCGGCTTCAGCAGTTCCAACAAATCCAGAAAAAGGTTTGTACTTTAATTTTAATGGTTACTTTTAGAATTTAGAATTCTTTGAAGAGCCGATGCCTACAATTTTCGTACCCGCAAAGTTCGAGAACAAGAAATTCGTACCATTGAAACAGGTTGTCTCCATTGAAGATCGAGGATCTGAAGTAGCTGTGCACATACGAAAATCCGAGATCAGTTATTACAGGTAAATATTGAGCATCCAAAACTACTTTACACGTTTAGGCGTCGTTATCTACGTTGCAACTTTCGAGAAAATGACGAAGCTGCGGTGATCGGTTTCCTCTTTGTGCCGACAGAACCTGAATGGGTTTGTTTTGCTGTTGTTGTTCAATTAAAAAAAATTTTAGTCGTTTGCCGTGCGAGAGATTCGTTTCACTGTCAAATTACCCACCGATTTCCCATTTGAGTCAATGTTGTTTATGGTGAACAAAGTAGAGAACGCAGGGATGCCCGATATTTTATGCGCACATATTGAAGCCGGTGTGAAAAAGTTTATAAATGTAAGTTAGTTTTTTTTCTTTAAATCTCCTGTACTTTAGGATACATTTGACCTGATGAAAACGAAAAATGCATACGAAGGCATGGCAAAAACATTGCTAAGATGGATCGACAGAAACATTTTTCAACTATTTTTAGAGGGTCTTCGGAGGACAAAACTGGTGAGTTTTCAGGAAATGTTTGATACTTTTCAATTTTGTCCGCGAAAGTAAATTTATCTGATTTAGGTATTTGACGCAAGTGCAGCTGGAATCAGCCTCGTCTACTCGGGCGCCTCAAGTTCAACGACCAAAAAAGCCTCGGAAGAAAAGGAAGTCAGTTTTAATGTAACTCATTTTCAGACATGTTAAACTTTAGATCAAAAATGTGATTAACTTGATGTCGAACGCAAATTTAAGGGAAAATGAGCGACAATCAGAGTCAGATGAGGAAGAACAGGTTGGGGGAATTCGAAAAATAAATGCAATTCGAACTTTTAGGACTCATCCTCTGGTAGTTCAAGTGATGACAACGACGAGCATTTTGGAGTTGAAGAAGACGAGAATGAGGAAACGGGAGAAACACAACAACCGCTACTTGTTGTAGACAGTCAACCTTTGGCACGCTTACCCATTGAAGTAAGTTACAGTCTCTAATGAGCAGCAGTGATGTGCGGATCATTGGATCCGGAAAGTCTTAATTTCGCATTGTAGGTGATGATGGTATGGAACGATTTCTCGAAGAATATAGCCTCAATTTCTCCGGTCTTTTTCCAACTCGTGGTTCGATGTACACGATGTAGTGAACACAACGATATTGAGGTTGTCGAGTATGAAACTTTTTACAAGTTTTGCAGTTTTAGGTGCCAGTGAAAGATACACCAAAGTATCGTCGTTGCTCTCGATGTAATGCCGCTTATTCAGTACGGTACGTCTTCAACAATAACTATCAACTTTTTTCCTTTTTAGATTTCGACCAGAGATTGCACATGAGAACTCCAACATCTTGGCTCAATGTGATGCGCGCGGATGTCGACCGATCGATTGTGTTTTGTTGAATTCGAAGTAATTCATGCAGTACTGTTAAAGTATTAAAGAAATTTAGACTAAAATTCGTTTGCTTTGCTTGCAACAAAGAGGATGACATTCAGGTTTGATTTAGCAATGTTTTTCCGCCATCATATCATTTAGAAGATCGGTTTCGGTGAAGCGCATCGCTCTTGGTGTAGAGCTTGTCATACATTGTGCAATTTTGTCATCTCGGCGATTCGATTTCAAGGAGATTTTTCGAAAACTACTCAAAAGGTACACTAATAGAAATCCAAAGAGATGTAGCAAAAATCATTTTTTAGGACGAACTCGCTGCTAAAGCCCTTCCAAAGCCAAAGAAAACGGTGGAAAAGAATGTGGGAATTGTGGTCGGTCAACCATTGCCCGATCTTGGGACTTGTTTGCATTATAAAAAGAGTTATCGATGGTTCAGGTAAAGCTAAGAATTTAATAAGCCTAAGTTCTTGCTTTCAGATTTCCTTGTTGTGGCAAAGTCTATCCATGTGATGAGTGCCATAATTTGAAAGAAAAGGACCATGAGATGAAATTAGCGAATCGAATGATTTGTGGTCATTGTTCTACAGAACAGGTATGCAATTGTGAAAAACAATATCATGTTCCTTTTTAGCCATTCATGAAGAACAAACCATGTGCAAATTGTGAGAATAATGTGACACGAACAAAATCTCAATTCTGGGAAGGAGGAAAGGGTTGTCGAGATCAAACGTTGATGAGGAGGTCGATTTTATAGATAGAATTTTTTGGGTCGTGCTATCCCGTATAGCAAAAATATAGTTTTCTACAAATGTGCCCAAATAATATATTAAATTGGTTTAGAAATGACGCTCGAAAGCACACGAATAGTCGAAAAAAGACGGTCTCTAACAAAAAAGTCGGCCTGTTGGTGGTAAAGAAGAAGACGTAATTGTGAAATTTGGAAATTGTTGGTTGAAATTTGTGATATTTTTGTGTATAAATTTGTTTTAAATTTGGTTAGAGATATGTTCTCTCTTTCTCTAGCTTTCACACTGGAAAAGGTGAAATGAATGATCAAAAATTGAATGAGAAATTAGAGAAAAAGAGCGAGGGGCTTTTCGGAGAGATAAGAGATTTTACGAGATTTCTCTCGGATCTTTTGGAAAAATCTCGACTTTTGGTGGTGACCCTTGAACTTTTTTTCTTTTAAATTTATTAATTTTTCCAACGGCATCTGTTAGTATTTTTAAATTTATTGTATCACGGATTAAAATTACGTTTTTTATAGGGCATAATGTTTTTTGAACTTTTGTTAGTTATATTTAGAATTTAATAGGTAAATGTCTTCAACAAACATACAAAAAGTGTGTGTAATCGGTGCTGGATCGGCCGGTTTAGCCGCAATTAAATCGGCAAAAGAATATGGATTGGAGGTGAGGATCAAGAGTGTTAAAATATTGATTGAATAATTATATTGATAATCATAGTAATATTTTTAAAATTTCTTTTAGAAAACGGATAATTTTAGGTGATTGCCTATGAAAAAAGTTCGTATTATGGTGGAATTTGGAATTTCAAAGCCGATGATTGTAGTGGTGAGTTGAAAATTGGGGAAATTGGGGAGATTGGGCAAATCGGGCAAATCGAAAGTCTATCCTAGTACTCCATTAAGAGTCATTATCAAGTACGGACTATAAAATGAAAAACTTTTGTTTCGAGTTATTTAGCTGAGTGATTCAATGAATAATGATTTCAGGATTGGGAAATGTGATGAAGAGCACAATCCTCAACACAAGCAAGGAATTCATTTCGATGTCCGATTTTCCGACGAAAAAAGAAGACGCGAATTTCATGCGAAATGGCGATGTTTTTCGATTTTTGACTGAATACGCTGAACATTTTGGTCTCTTTTCGAATATTTCCTTTGAGACTTCGGTCATTGAGGTAAATTCTAATACGGAAAGTACATTTTAAGCTTTTTTTTTTGGTGTTATCAATTCTTCGATTTCCATATAGATCAACGATTTCTATATAGATTTACAGATTACGCGAGCAAAAGATTATGAGCGAACGGGGAAATGGATTGTCACGACTGAAAGGTGAGAACACGAATTTGGGTAGCTTTTTTAGACTTCTGAGTTCTCAACCGAATAAATTTCAGTAAAGGCAATCGATCCGAGGTGATTTTCGATGCGGTAATGGTCTGTGTTGGGCATCACGTCTATCCGAATATTCCACAATTCAAAGGATTGCAAGATTTTCGGGTATCTTGTTTGATCCTAAAAGAAGATTGATACTTTTTTACTTTGTCCCTCAAACATCAGAAATTTTCAAGAGTTCAACATTTTGTAAATATCCATTTAAAGCAGTCAAAAATAAAATTTTGCCTGTTATTCGAGTCAAGTCATTTGAGTCGATTCGTGACTCGAATAGTGACTCGAGTCGACTCGATTCGTGACTTGAATCGACCCGATTCTTGACTTGAATCAACCCGATTCTTGACTCGAGTCGACTCGATTCGTGACTTGAATCAACCCGATTCTTGACTCGAGACCCATGTCTACTATCTATTTTGCTATTTTGCTAAATGTCACAACCTATATTGTCTTCACTTTCTACCTTGTCCCCTCCCCCCAAAAATCAGAAATTCTCTCAAATTTAGCACAATGCCAATTTAAATTTCGTCAATGTGCTTTAAAGGATTCAAAAATTTTGCCTGGTGTTTGGGGGGGGGGGCAAAGTAAAAAAGTACCAGAAGATTGAATTTGTTTCTTTTCAGGGGACGATTACTCATTCTCACGATTACAAAACGAGTCGACTTTTCGAGGATCGGAGGTAAAATGAAATAAAATCTATGGAAAATGAAATCGTTTTGTGGATTTCAGAGTGCTTGTCGTCGGTTTGGGAAATTCGGGGGGAGATATTCTTTGTGAAGTTGGGAAAGTCGCGAGGAAGGTCACATTCTTTATCAAGCTAAAATATCAAATATAATGCTAAGTCGTCTGTTGTAGATCCTGTAGATGTAGATCCTGTAGATGTAGATGTAATAGATGCAGTGGATGCTTTTGCAATCAAATCTTCCTGTAGCTACTACTAGAAATTCGAATCTTTTCGAATATCTTTTCATTTCCTTTAGACTTATGGCTGCTCCCGTTTCGGCACCTGGGTGACCCAGCGGGTGATCAAGGGTGGATATCCAAGGGACATTCTGATGAGAACGAGATATAATGAATGGAGATTGAAAATGATGCCGGGTAAATGAAAAGAAAAACGAACAAACGAACGTTGATATAGGATGGTTGAAAAGGCAGCTGAATCTTTCGAATTACAACGAGCGTTTGGACCATTCATTGTATGGATTGCGACCACAAGAAGATCCTGGACAATCACCTGTCCTTCTTGCTGATGATTTACCACTATTTTTATCAAGGTTTCGTTTTTCTTAGTCTTTTTAGTTCCTTTTCTTTCAGTGGTTGGGTCGAATTGCGAATGGGAATCGATCATTTCAAAGAGAATCGAGTTGTTTATGAAGACCGAAGAGAAGATGTAATGACTCAAAACTCAAAACAGTAGTTAAGCTTTCCATTTCAGGAAATCGATGACGTCATTTTCTGTACCGGTTACAATTTCGATTTTGATTTTATTGAAGAAGGGAAAGTTGTGCCGGTTTCGACAAAAAAATTAGCGTAAATCACGGAAATTCAGGTTTCTGACAATCAAACGAGATTGTGGCGAAGGATTTTCCCACCCGATCTCAAATATAACACTTTGGCGGTAGGGAAGCAAAGGATTCGTTTGATTTCTGTTTGAGAACCTAATACCGTAATATTCGAAATCAATAATAAAGTTGAAAGTATTACCATAGCTTTCTTCATTCATCTTAGATGATCGGTGTCATCGACCCGTTAGGCCCAACGATCACTTGTTCCGAGGCTCAAACCAGAGTTGTCGCTCACTTTTGGGCAAACCAAATCGATTTACCCTCGGAATCGGAGATGCAAAAGGAGATTGATCGTAAGAAAGCTTTGATATTTGAGTAATTTTGAGACACCTAACACATTTGAGAACTACCAGGAAATTTCGAGAAAATTTCAGGTGATAAAGCTGCGACAAAAGCCCGTTTCAAATGCTCGGATCGTCGAGCTTCACTACAGGTTTCAAAATAATAAGTTGAAGTGCAAAAACACTCAGATCGATCATATTTGGTATTTCGATCAATTGGCCTCAATGATTGGAGCACTTCCCGACCTCGGACCCGTCAATTTTTGGAGAGATCCACAACTTGCTTTAGCTGTACATTAACTGAATACGTCTCAAAAGCTGATGCTGTTCTTTCAGTTATACTTTGGCCCGGTTACATCACATCATTATCGCCTGAAAGGACCAAATCCTTGGAAAGACGCGAGGAAGCAGATACTGGGTTTGGCGAACAAGCACTAGTTCTACAAAGAATTGTATGTTTCAGGCACATACGACCGGGTGCATTATGGGATGAATACAAGAGAAAGAGCTCTTTTGGAGAAACGTTTCAATTCCGAGAACCCAACTCTTTATGCTCATTTGTTGCCGATACCAGCTTGGGATATTGGCTTCTCGATTTTACTCTTCTTCACCATTCTTGGGATAATAACCTTTTTGAGAGGCGTACTTTAATTAACAAGGTCCATTAAGTCTCAATAAACTGAAGATGTTTGTCCTTAGCTTGTGTTCCAATTTCTTTTGGTTGATAACAAAATATTTATGTGCATTAAAGCACCAAAAATTTATAACAAACAAAGTTAACAATTTCGTTGAAGAGTGAGCAACAAGTCGAGCGTCTAGTTTGCAGTGCACTCACGCGAGATGTGTCCTGTCTAAAATAACACAGAATAAAAGTAGAATCCAACGCAAAACTACCTGTCCACAATTGTAGCATTTTTGAGTGCTACCTCGGCCCCCTCCTTCACCACCTTGACCACCCTGACGACAATCTCGGGACATATGTCCACTCTAAAATGTCAAAATACATTTCCTGAAAACTACAGCCTCATCGTAACTATATCTAATCAAATCAGGGTATTAGCAACGGTAAAATGGTAAATATTTTACCTCGCCACAGCTGTAGCATTTTGGTCCTCCTGATCGTCCTCCTCCTCCGCCGCTGCGGCCACCTGATTGACAATCGCGCGACATGTGGCCCGTCTCTCCACACTAAACAAAAAGTTACTAAAGGAAGCTTGGTAAGAAATTACTTGATAGCATTCGCCACCGCGTCCTCCAGAACCACGTCCGCCACCGCCGCCGCCAGTGCCACGCTCCTCACAGTCCCTCGAGAAATGACCGGACTTGCCGCAGCTGTAGCAGGTGCCACCTAAACAAAAAATACAACTTTTTGAAGAAGTTAGATAAATAGATCAAGCATAATAGCAAAGTAGAAGCGCAACCAACAGCCAGCGAAATCACGAAACGGCTGCTGCTACTACTTACTAACTAATTGTAAGCTTATCAAAAGTCGAAGATTTACCTCCACCACCACCACCGCCTCCAGAACGACCGCCTCCGCCTCCGCGTTGACCACCATCTCCAGCGTTTTGACACTCCCGGGCGAAATGGCCACTCTCACCACATCGGTAACAGGACGACATCTAAATTTAAAAGGTCGATAGTGGGACAAATGGAACAAATCTAATAGAGAAGCACACGTAAAAGTTAGCTAGGAAGGCGTAAAAATATCATTAGTGTTAAATTTGTTAACAAGTTCAACGCCAATTAACAACGCAAAGTGACTAGGCTTGCCTAAAGTTTAGCGAATGTTAGGTTTAGCGCAAAAAAAAAAAATTGTCTACACGGGAGATAATTTAGAGAATGAAAATAAAACAAATGAGCAAAAATCTCGCCAATGAAACTACAGTATGCCGAAACGTCGAACTTTACCGACAAACGGAAAAGCGCACATTTTAGAGATGTGGGGGCTATGACAATACCGTACCGCCATTTCCGCACACTTGGAAAATGTCTTTCGGGGAGTGGGACAAATGCTACCTTTTTTTGCGCACGCGGCCCATTAGCGCACCTTTTTTCGCGTTTTAAAAAGCTAATGTTAACCAATTTCTATGCCAAAGGTTGTTTTTCTGGGTAACTTTAGGGCGTAGAATCCAAATTTTGAAATATCAGAGCTTCTTAAACCAATTTGAAAGATAAAACGGGTAGGTCAAATTACAGAAAATTGTCGATTTTTCCCTTCGTATAGCTCCGTTCGTTTGCTTCCACAAGCTCTGATATGTCAAAATTTGGATTCTACGCCCTAAAATTACCCTAAAACAATTTTTGAAATAGAAATTATTTAATATTAGCTTTTTAGAACTTTTTAAAACGCGAAAAAGGGTGCGCTATTGGGTCGGGTGCGCAAAGAAAGGTAGCATTTGTTCCACTCCCCGTCTTTTGCGCACAACAGGCCCCGCCCACTAACTTCAAGCGCTAAAAGCTGCACCAAATGGCCCACATTGCTTCGATTGGGCCCAAATTTTTACAAATTTGTTGCGCTCGCCTAAAAATTTTAGAGTGACTTGAATTTTTTGTGCGCAAAAGACACAAAAAAGACGTCTTTTGCGCACAAAGCAAAAAACAACATGCTGTAAAAATTTGGGCCCAATCAAAACAACGTAGGCCATTTGGTGCAACTTTTTGCACCTGAAGTTTGTGCTGGGGCCTGTTGTGTGCAAATGGCGGCGCGGTATTGTCATAGTCCCGAGATTTGTATTGTTGTCTATTTTGACAAGCTTTCCAGTAAATTTTGTATTCCCATCCAATCCAAATATTTCAATGACCCTTTGTGAAAATGGAGGCTCGATGATGTGTCGGAAATGCAAATATCACTTTTCATGTTCGACACATAAACGAGTGGAAGAGATGAGACATCGAACAAACAAATTGATCGCAATTGTTGCTGAGAGGAGAGGGGTGTTCATTGCAAAAGAAGGGGAGGGTCCAGGGTTCACCTGGTGTCCCTGCAGGCTGAATGGAGTACCTTGGAAAGAGGGATGCTTGCAGGGCCTGTTCATTCACCCCTCTATCCATCCATCATCTCAATTGTCATTCCCGCTAAAGCAATGATAAATTTGCTTATCGATTTACATAAGTTTACCTAGACTTCACCTTTGGCCTAAATTAAGAGACAATTGAACTACGATAGCTTTTTTTCAAGCTTTCTGAAAACCGATCAGATGAACACTTTCAATTCATCTACTTTACTTTTTACAAATTCTTTCATCAATTTGTGTTTCAATTGCCTTTTTCCTTTCTAAAGCTTTCCCCCAAGGTGACAAAAAAGCAGAAATTCAATCACCGAAAATGGGATGGGGAACGGCTGGGAGTAGAAAGAGGAAAAGGGAAAAAGAAACACCTGACAACGAAAAGAAATTCTTTCATTCAAGCGCTCATTTTGTATTCAATATGCATTTCAATATGGGCAATTAAACCAGCCAAAGGCCTTTCGGCTACCCCTATTCAGAGCAGTGTGCCAGACACCGCTTTTACCTACGAGACAGGAAACGCACACCGAGAGGCGCAAAGAGCACAATGTTCAAGCACACTTTGAATTTTTCTCCAAACCTCATTTTTACTTCACGTGTTCAACTACAATTCACCATTTTTTTGTATCTCAAATTTTTTCGAGATTTCTCCGCGAATTTTCTCCCTCGAGAGATTAGCGAGAGGCTAATTGGGCTTTCCCCTCTTTTCCTCAAAATCAAGCAATCTTTTTCTGTGTGCTCAATCAAATACTCCGTGTAAATAATAAGGGAAAGACAAGAAAAGAGAAGGCCCGTTTCTTTTCTCTTTCAGGGATATCTTCATATGTTTGTATTTGTTTTTTCAACCCTAGCAACCCTAGCAAGGTGTATCCATAGGTCATACTACTAAAATCCGGATTCTTATCTACCTTTCACAATTTAATTAACATTTTTTAGAAATCAGACCTATTATCGATAAAATAAAGAACAGGCGTCCCAGAAGGTGAGCGTTTGTGCGAAAGCACAAAGTACTAGTCTGTAAGGAGAGATAGCGGTTTTTCAACTCTTCCTAGTCTTTGATAAACTTTTCCAAGATCTTTTAAATTATTATTAATATTTTTCTCTTTAATAATCTATGCATCTTTGCTCATTTTTTTTCTCCAATTTCCGAGGTTTTTTCCTTCTCGAGGTGTGGTTGATGAATTTTTCATCATCAAAGGATTCTCTTTTCTCTTTCCTCTTTCCTCTTTCCTTTTCTTTTCTTTTCCTTTCCCCATTTCCCCCCTTTTCATCTCTAACATCCCGTCCAGAATATCCAAATTTTTACCCAATTCTCAATCATATTCACCATATTTCACTCAAAATTTGCATCTCATCAATTGGCTCACATAATTGATGAGTTCATCCATTTGCAACTATTTCACATCAAATTTCAACCCTCATTCAATTTTCATAAACTTAAACATTTCAAAGCTAACTTAACACAATTTCTGAATTAGCAGCTTTTTCCTTTTCTTGGATTGATAATCCACTGAGCTTTAATTTCCCTGAAACTCTGATCTCTTTTCTGTCACTTTCAGCCCTCCTCCTTTTTTTCCTCACAACCTTGTGGACTCAGTTGGCTTTCAAAAAATCAAACCAGGAAATTTGTCTCTTATTTTCAAATGATACCTTTGAATTGATTCCATTCTAGATGCAAAATAGTTTTTAATTTTTGAAAATTAAACTCACAAACAAATTGTTCTTCCTTCCAAACAAAACAAAAACAGAATGACATTGTGTTCTTTGTGTGCTTACAGTGCTCTTGCTTTTCAGTGTTACGATGATTCTTTCGTCTATTGATTTTGATTGAAAGGATCGTACTAAATACTAAAATCTTTATCCAAATTATCCAAATTATCCAAATTCATTCCGACTTATCAACACGGATTTCTGCCAGCCCATTTTTGATTCCAAAACACCCCCTTTACCGCCGTTTTTTTCGTGTGTCTCCTAAATGAGGGTCTGAGAAGCTCTTGAGGGGAAAAAAACGAAGATAAATCTCTCTTCTTTTTGATTCTATTTCTATTTCGTTTCTCTCTTCATTTCGTTGAGGTGTGGATAAGCCGATTCATGTTTCTTTTTCTTCTTTTCACACCCCGAGACATACTTTGGTCAAGATTGGGGCTTAATCTTCTCGAAATTTTATCTCATTTCATATTTGGACTTTTTAGATATTTGTTGGACTTCAAAGAATAGAAACGTTTCTTTTTTGGCGAATCTAACACTTCCAGACAAGATTTGTGACTTGACAGTGTGCGTTCTGTGACTTGACTTGACGGTGTGCGTTCTTTCCCTGTCGCTCGTCGGGAAAATTGGCGTCTGGCACACGAGTCTGGATAGAGACGGCCGGAAATCCCCTTCAGCCGGTTTAATTACCCAAGTTTCGTGTGTCAGAAGGCAAGCGATGGAAACACACAAAGAACATTGACTTGGTTGGCTTGCTTTTGACTTCTATGACCGAAAGTTTAACAAAGTCAAATAACAATTTCTTTTGCTTCATTTTTTTGACGTTTGAGTGCCATTAAAATTGAGAACTCGAGCCTAAAATGATAGCTTTCAGGCCGGTTTTTCCATCAAAACTTATCTCGAATCATTGAAAATTCGTAAAATTCCCATAAAGTTGAATATTTTCTCCTCGACTTTTTTTTCCCATTCATCGAATTTAAAAGGATCTTCTCACAATATTCAATGACTTTCATTCTTTTGATGAAAATTTGAAGAGATTTCTTGAATTCATTTATTTTGCTTTTCATTTCATTTCAGTTTCATTTATGACCAAAGCGTCGATCAATCCGTTTCTCTTTTTTAAATTTTTCCTTTCATTTTTCATTTCATTTTTCATTTCTTTTAAATTTCTTTTGAATTTCTTTTGAATTTCTTTCCAATTTTGTCTTTTCCCTATTCCCCCATTTTTTTTGTGTGTTTCCTTTTCTCTTCTCGAGAATAATGGAAGCGGGGCACGGGCTGGGGTGTTCCCTTCAAATCAGAACTCTTCAAAACTGAACAAAACCAAAAAAAGAAAAAACTGAAAAAGTTTTAAAATCAGAGTTCTCACCTCATCGCTTTTCTACTTTCGTACCTTATCGTTAAATTTTTGGCATTTAATCTCATTTACTGGGCGGCATTAAAGGGGTACTCTAGCCTAAAAGTTGAATTTCAAAAATCGCGGTCATTTACATCTTATTCGATGCGTTTTAATCTCTTCTACAACTATTTCCTATAAGAAAAACAAGGTTTTTAATGGAGAAATGAGGGGGTGGGACAAATGCGACCTTTTTTTGCGCACCTGGACATTTGCGCCCCTTTTTTTTGGCTGGAAAAGGCCTTAGGCAAGGTCGTAGAGCTTCAAAAATGTTTTCCAAGAAGGGAATCGTATGCGTAGATTCCGAATTTCGACAAATCAGACCTTGCTGACACGTCAAATTTGGGCTAAAAGACAAAAACTGCGGAAAAGCGTTAAGTTGCGTAGTTTTTGCCTTTTAGCCCAAATTTGATGTGTCAGCGAGGCCTGATTTGTCGAAATTCGGAATCTACGCATACGATTCCCTTCTACGAAAACGTTTTTGAAGTTCTACGACCTTTCCTAAGGCCTTTTCCAGCAAAAAAAAAGTCGCATTTGTCTCACCCCCAGAAATGAAGAAAAACGGAGTTTTTGCTTTGCCTAAGCCTAAAACGTGGATATTTGAGGAAAAAAATATTTAAAGCTTGCATTTTAGCACTTGCTTTCTTTTCTCTTGCATGCATTTTCTCAAATTTAACAGCAATTCTAAATATTGTTTTGTTTTTTTTTAATAGAAATAGAAATAGAATAGGAAACATTACATTCTAAAAGAATAATTTTGAAAAAAAAATTATAAATCAGAGTTAAAAAGAGATATGAAATGACAGTTGCCATAACTTTCCTTGGGCCGGAGTACGCTCTTTGTATTGCTTATTGTTATGGAGTATTGCTTATTGCTATGGAGTATTGCTTATTGCTATGGAGTATTGCTTATTGCTATGGAGTATTTGCTTAACAACACGAAATTTTCATTTTCATACGAAACGAAAAAGAAAACCCGATGCCTCGAGTACAGTCATAGCAAAATGAATTTACATTTTACATTTTACAAGTTTACATGTGAAAATTGTTCTCTTACGGGTCTTTGCGAATGTTTTAGGGTAAAAAAAGCCACAAGTATACGTTATTCTTTTGAATTTTAACTCCTTTTTTTTCTGTATTTCCTAGCTGAATACTTTGATCAAACCAAATCTAAAAAAAGCATCTGATTTCCCTTCTTTCAGACTCGACCCTTCCCCTCTTTTGATTCTCTTATGAATGGCCGAAACGCTCAATGGAGGACACCGAATCGACGTCTTTGGTTTGACAAATTGCAGAACAATTAGAATAGAATTAGAATAGAATTAGAATATAATTAGAATATAATTAGAAATATAAACCTTTTTGTAAATAATTTTATACCTAAACTACAGAAAACTCTTTCAGAAAAACCCCGAAATTTTCTCTTTGGTATCTTTCTTATCGTTAGCCTCTAGAAGCCCCAAATATCCGAATATGCATGAACAACTCCCAAGTTATTTTATCCAGTCTAGACTTTAGATGTTTTTATGTGCTTTCTAGATATGAATTCTTTCAGACGAGCACAAAGAAGAGCACATTGAGCGCGAATTGGGCCAGAAGCACATCTTACAGTCACATTCATTCATCAGAAAATGTAAGTTTTCAAAAGAAAATACATTAATATGCAAAAATGATTATCTTTATTGAAAGAATTGAAAGAATTTTGAATTGATCTTTCTTTTAAAGATCTTTTAAAGATCAATGAATATTTGTTTGCGGAAATGGGTACTCTAGCATGATCAATAGAATCAAATCGTACAGTTTCGCTAACTTTCTAGGAAACCGATAGCCCGCTAAAGGAAAGACCGAAAGGGGTGAAATGGAGATGTTGTTCGTTGACGAGTCTACAAATTCCACTCACAATCACTTGTCTCATTTTGATCGCAATTGGGGTCTTCAATGTGTCCAGGTCAGCTTTCAAGATTGGAAGAAATTCGAAAAGTCCATGATTACTCACAAATAGTCCATGATTTCCTTTTTCATTAAAAATTGGTGGGGAAAAGTTGGTCGAAACTTTTGTGTCTTAGATTTTTTTGGCTTCTGAAGTGAATATGGGCATGCTATTCTTTGTTATGGGTTTTTATTGGTCCAGTTCTCAACCCTTCCCCTATTTGGGAAGGGTTCCCTGCTCACCGCTCACCGGCAAAAATTCTCCCATGGGTTTGGGCGTAGTGAGTATAAGCCGCGGCTTAGTTGCTCAATGCCGATTTACGGATTCCAAAAGCTATCTATCGGGCGCATGTGCCAGAAAGCAAGCGATTACGTGGCCCCACAAAGAACATCTCCCAAATCTCCCCAACACAGTGATTTTTCTTCTGCTGTAAGCATGGCCCCCTGATAAGATTTTGGGCCAAAAAATTTGTACCCAGGGGTTTTCGGGGTCGAGGAATCGATTGGCAGGGTCAATTTTAGCCCTTAGTCAGTGAAAAGTATGAAAGTTCGGACTCAAAATCAACCTATAAGACTTTGAAGCAAAAACATGGATTTCAGACCCACAGAAATTCTGAAACGATATCAGAAAGACGGTGATCAACCATTGATTATCATCATCACTCCAACCTATAAAAGAATCACGAGAATGGCTGATATGTTGAGGTTGATTGTTTAATATGAAATGCCTATATTTTCATCCCTTCTGGCACGTTTTTAACTAATCAAAACGAGTGTGCTAGAAGGCGTGCGTTTACACTCTTCAGCACAAGGTACACTTGATCTTAGATGTGCTCAAACATTGATGCTTGTCGATAATGTTTTCTGGGTTGTGGTCGAAGATGGGTTACGATTATCGACACAGGTACTGTATTCTATTGATATCTACTGTTACAGTACTCAATGTTGCTAATTCTTTGACTGAATATCTAATAGAAACAATTAAGTAACTGATTCCAGCTATCCGATACAAAATTTTTGCAGATTCAATCGCTTTTGGTCAATTCAAATATCCCTCATCATTATATGTTTGCAAAAACTGAAGATGGATGGCCAAGTAAGTAAAAAAACGACCGTAAACAGCTACACTTATGGCCGACTGGCTAAGAGCCTTGAAGCCTCAATCCACAGGTCAAGGGTTCAATCCCACCGCCGTCTTTTTACTTCTTTTTTCTTGCTTCTTCTTCTTTCCATCTAGATTCTTCTTCTTCTATCTAGATTTTTCTACATTTAGTGGGATGCTTGGGGGTAAAAAAAAAAAAAAAAAAAAGAAAAAAAAAAAAAAAAAAAAAAAAAAAAAAGAAAAAAAAAAAAAAAAAAAAAAAAAAAAAAAAAAAAAAAAAAAAAAAAAAAAAAAAAAAAAAAAAAAAAAAAAAAAAAAAAAAAAAAAAAAAAAAAAAAAAAAAAAAAAAAAATAAAAAAAAAAAAAAAGGGGATGCTTAGGGTGCTTGTTTATTGTTTGTGGCAAATTAATCATGTGAATATCTTTCAATTCATCTTTTAGAAAAAGGTTGGTGGCAACGAAATGTAGCTTTGGATTGGGTGGTGGAACGTTTTTCGATTTATGAAAAACATGCTGTCATTTATTTTATGGATGATGATAATGCATACGATCATCGGTAAATTAATTAATTAAATTTTAAAATCAAAAAACGAAACTTGCAGCCTCTTCGACAAGTACATCAGGAAAGTGAAAAATATCGGCATCTGGGCTGTGGGTGAGTGCATTTGGGTAGGCTGTCGACTCGAAAAGTCCCTAGGCTTCTATTTTGCTAGCCATAAGCGAATATATTTTTCGACTTCACAACACTAATTATCTAGATTAGGCTATCCAGCAAGTCTTTTTTTTTTTCCTTTTTTGGTTGTAAAATAACAAATTCACGAATGAACGCGATTTCCTTTAAATAAAAAGTGTATATTGTTGAATTGCTATCTTTTTAAGGGAATTTCGTTTCACTTACAAGCAAGTTCGAGAGTGAAAAACAAATCGATAATCTCTATCGATGTTTTTCGTAAAAATCGATAATCTCTAATCTCTATACGAAGAAATTAGCTCCATGAATTTCTCTGAGTCGTCTGAGAAATCGAGGGAAAAGCTCGGAAATCAGAAACGTAAACGGTGATTTTGAAAGATGGAATTTCAAAAAACCGTATTCATCATATCCAAATATTCATCGTATCCAAAGTGTCAAAGTTTTCGGATTTCAATTTCTAATGGCAACTATCTGGCTGGCAACTATCCTGGCTGGCAACTATCTGGCTGGCAACTATACCCCGTTGTGCCTTCCCAAACACACACTTTCTGGCGCACTCAACGTCTAATTTGTCTTTCGTCCAGACAAATGACCTTTTGAGAGAATTGAGTGTGAAAGGTGCCAGGAAGCGCGCGCTTATTAGAGCACAACGGTCCGTAGGGTCGGCAAAGGGGTAGCAATTAAAACAGTGAAACTTATGAAGATACTGCTGAAAGTTAAAGGATTCCACATGCCGCATTCATCAAAAAGGGTTTACAACCATTTACGAGACACTTCCACATAACACAACCCATAAGAGCCCAAAAGATATACCCCAGCGATACGTATTTGTAGCAAAAATACGAGAAAAATGACTCAAGATTAGCAAAATTAGGAACTTTGAACTTTGATTTTGAATTTTTATTTTGAAAATCATTCAAAATTCAAAAGACAAAAATCCTCTGAAAGCAGAAGCATTTTTTTGAGAGCCTTTTCAAACTCTTCCAAAAGTTCTTTCCCTTTTTTTGTCCAGCTCTTCGCCACTTCCTTTTTCCAGGAAGTGCCCAGAGTGCACCACGAGGAGGTGGCTGGACTTCGCGCTCCGCCACCCTGTAGTCCGAAGACTCTTGGGATCCGAGGTCCACGTCTGGTCCTTGGCGATGGCACCGACTCCCGCAGCAAGAATGCTCAGCTTGCTAAGGTGCGCGCAACGTAAGTAGGAGAATGCTCCGAAGTTACACTTTGTTGATACTAAAAGGGATTGATCTGATCCCCAGTCGGTTTAAGAACCTCACGGTTCCTCCAATGGGGTGTCCAAACTTCCGCCATCTAGACGACTGTCGAGTAGCGAACAGCTGACGGAAGCCGGAGCCCAAAGGGAGCATAATTGTAATCCGGTTACGAGCAACAGACCATTCTGCCTCCCTCCACGGGTGGCAGTGCGGAATAGTAGCGATTCCACGAACTTCAGCTGTATCCCTCACGGGAGACTGTGGATCTTTCCACAACATCCTTTCGGTCGAGAACTTGATGCTGCTCGGGGCTTATTCGTACAATCGACCCGGGCCAGCCCATGGCTCCGGGCGCCGCCTTCCACGAATGGGTTAAGGCAATCCACCAAGCAAGGGAAGCAAGCTTCTACAAACTCGTGTCTCGAAAAATCGTTTATACTCTTAAAACCGTGCGGGACCAATGTGAGAGTGGACACAAAGGCAGCAGAAGACCGAGTCAACCGGGTATATGGAAAGGCCCTTTGCCAGAAAGTGCGCGATTGTGCGCGCCCCAAAGAACATCAGTCTGCCTATTAAATTCTAGTTAGTTCTAGTTTTCGGGCCTTTTCTCAGCCATGCTTTGACGGATTGGGCTCATTTTTTGTCAAAAGATGCGCCTTGAAAAACTGCGTCGGATGGGAAAGGGCTTGTTTGGCAAAAAGTGAGTTTGAGTGGGTAAAAACGTGATTGAAACTTTGACTTGTGCTCAATTCCAGTGCAAATTTGGCGATTGCCTGCTCAAATCCAAGGAAATTCTTTTAGAAATTACATAATTCACGTAATTTCCCAATTATTAAAGCAAAATGAAGCCAACTTACCGTGGAAATTCGCGTGAAAATTATGAAATCACATCAAAAAGAGTGATTTCACTCAAATACACACTTTTGCTGTGTAAATCTCTGAAAATTCGTTAAATTTGTTGTTCGTTCGTTTTGAATTTGTTATTTTTTAAAGAAAGTATGGAAAGGAATGAAAAGACTTTCTGGAATGTCTACTGTAATTAAAACTGTAGCGAATACTATAGTAAGACGTAAATTGCAATATCTTTAAGCTTCTCCTGTGTAACTTATCCAGTAACCAACCTAGCTTCAAATCCCAGGTCTTGTCGGTGACTCACTCGTCGAGGCTCCTCATGTTGAGAATGGAGTGATCACGAAATGGAATGCTTTTTATTATCCGACAAGGGAATATGCTGTCGATATGGCCGGTTTTGCGATCGGATTGCCGTTGATATTGAGGACGAGGTGGGGATTCAGTCCACCTCATTAGTTCAGTAAGCAATCATTGCCCAAAGAACGTTGCCAATCTTACTTTGCCTAAAGAATTCTAAACTATCTTAATCTCTGTTGTGATTGACTTGCTTGCAGAATAATAGTTATTAAGAATAATGAGACGAATAAAAGAACATTTGACTCGCATACAAAAATGTAGAACCAAATGAGAGGGAGCGAAAATAAAATGGCACAGACTACGGGACGTTCCTAGTGACAACTTAGACAAAAGTTAGAAAACGAGAATTTTTTTTGAAGTAGGCTATCTCCCCCAACAATCTCCTCCTTCCAGAGCTCGCATCCTCCGACAATGCCCTGCAAAAGTCCCAGAAACATGTCTCATTCGACAGCTTGGAATTCCGAAAGAAGAAGCTGAGGCATTTGGATGGATGAATGGACAAAAAGAGATACTTGTATGGCATGTGAAAACCATTGAAAGGGTAGGAATTGCTAATTATATCGTAGCACAATATATTGTATATTGTATTTAGGTTCCACGCGGCATCAACCCTTTTGGGTATGATGTGGAGACATTGAATGCGAAAGAATGGCAAGAACATAGGAATTACAGTCGACGACCGGTTAAGGTCAGCTACAAAAAACATAAGCCAGTCAGCATTAAGCCAGCCTGTAACCTGGTTTGGCAAGGCCAGGCAAAGCCAAGGAAGGCCAGGCAAGGCCAGGCAAAGCCAAGGAAGGCCAGGCAAAGCCAAGGAAGGCCAGGCAAGGCCAGGCAAGGCCAGGCAAGGCCAGGCAAGGCCAGACGAGGCCAGGAAGGCAGGAGGCAGGCAAGGCCAGGCGGCCAGGCAGGCAGGCAAGGCCAGGCAGGCCGGAGAGGCAAGGCCAGGAAGGCAGGCGGCGGCAAGGCAGGAAGGCCAGGCAAGGCCAGGCAAGGCCAGGCAAGGCCAGGCAAGGCCAGGCAAGGCCAGGCAAGGCCAGGCAAGGCCAGACAAGGCCAGGCAAGGCCAGGCAAGGCCAGACAAGGCCAGACAAGGCCAGGGTCAGATCAGAAGCCAGACTTGTTCACAAAACTCTGGTCCTAATCAAGATCCAGATCTGGACATGGACTAGCTTATCTAAGGACCTGAATCTAAGGCAAATTTCTAAAAGATTAATTTCCAGGTACTTCCAACGAAAGTAAACCCAATAAAGTCAAATGTGACAAAAACGATAAAACCAAAACCGACAAATCCCTCAACGACAACAATTCAAAAAGTGATCCCAGTGAATGATGTGAGGAATTACACGGCTTTGATTGATGAAGTTGAAGAAATGGAAAAGAGCAAGAATTCCACATGAAATTAACACTCATTTTGAATATTTTTTGATGTAAATTCTTTCTTTTTCTTTTAAACTTTAATGTCTTTTCACGAATTGTGATATTTCATTTCTTTCTTTTGATTCGAGAGCTTTTTTTATTATTAGCTTTTCATTATATTTCACCGTGATCTCTGACAGGGAATATCTTTTGATATCTTTAAATATGTATCATAGATTGGAAATAGTTTATGTGCAGATATAAATAGATATTTACATTATAGATATTTATATCATTTGAAAGCTTTATCCTTCATCTTTCTAGAGTAATGCTCTTTCCAAAAGGCGGATAATTTGGAAACTTACCGTAATCTTTCATTAAGAAAATGAAGATCGTAATCTTCATTTTCATTTTGTGCTGTGTTGTGTGCTGTGTGCCAAAAAAGGATGCGTTTCTAATTCTCTCAGCACAAAGTACAGCTCATCTAGTTCAATTTAGCTTTAGAAGGCTTTTCAAAACATTTTCTTTTCTAAAAGATTGGGAATTGAGGAGTTTCTTCTTTTTCTTAGATGGTGGTGGTGGATAATTGGATAATTTGGACAAATATTGTAATCTTTTTGATTCTTTCGATTCTATTCGATTTAAACTTTCATTTCTCATTGTATCAGATCGAAATTGAATAAAATTAACCAAGAATCTAAGAAGAAGAAGAAACTCCTCGATTCCCTTAGTTAATTTTATTCAATTTCGATCTGATACAATGAGAAATGAGGCTTTAAATCGAATAGAATCGAAAGAATCGAATAGAATCAAAAAGATTACAATATTTGTCCAAATTATCCAATTATCCACCAGTTTTCTCTAATAAAAGCACTCGAAAAGAATAGCTCAAAAAATTTGCGCATCACAGTTCACTTGTACAGTTGAAGAGGCGAAGAAAAGGCGAAGAACAAAAAAAAATCTGTGGTTTGTAGTCTTTTCTCTTGTTCTCTTGTTCTCTTCAACTTTTCTGAGGCCAATTTCCCTGCAATTTCTGTGGTTTCTACCGGCAAAATCATTTTTTTTCTCGAAATTTCCCGACATTTTACAAATTTACCAATTTTTCCCCAAAGAAATGAAAAACTGAATGGTTTAAACAAAAGAGATTTCATTTTTATATCTTCAACCAATTTTTTTATTTAAGCTTTTAGATTTTATATCTATACTTATCTCTCTATAAGATTTTCCCAATCGGACGTCCGTTTCAGAGGAGAATGAATCTCCTCAGATCCGGACGTCCGGATCGGAGATGGACGTCTCCTCAGATTCGGACGTAACATATACACTACTGGACAACGAAATATGATATTTGAAAAAAGATCGTCACTTTCGCGCGTCTATAACTCCCTTGTCTTTACCGTATTTCGAAATATTGATATTACCATTGTGTAGCCCTTGAAAAGAGCTTTCAGAAAATGTATAACACTAATAGTTTAAACTCAAAGACAACGGAGTTACAGACGCGCGAAAGTGACGATCGTTTTTCTAATATCATATTTCATTGTCCAGTACTGCATCTTCCTATCCTTGAGGTATCTTTTGGTTTTGTGTTTTGAGTGGTGTTCTGGGTGATTATTGCAATCTTGTTTTGTATCTCTCTATAAGATTTTCCCAATCTTTTTATGTTTCGACGCTTAATTTCAAGCGGTTTAGTCTATGCGATTGTTCATGTTGTCTTGTTTTTGTACTTTAAACTCAAGCACACCCTTTCTGGCACATTACAAACTCTTTAGGAAAGGCGAGAATGGTGAAAACGGAGGCTTTTGAATACAGTGATTCAAATGGAGATCAATTTGAGGGACTCCTTGCTTATCCAGAGTTCGTTTTGGAGATTTGAATCCATTTGAATGGAACAATGAAATGCTAAAACTTAAGGGAAGAATTGGAATTCTAGTTTTCATTTTTAGAGATATCGAAAGATCAGAACGACCGGGCGTTATTGTCTTTCACGCATTTGGAGGTTGCGGGAAATTTGAGAGGGAAAAAGCTCTGGAATTGGCGAAGGTTTGGAGAAAGTGCTTTAGGAAATAAATAGACATAGACTATCTTTAGACTAGACGATCATTCATGCAAAATATTTTAGTTAGGCTATGTTGCACTGGCTGCCGATGTGTATGGAAAGGGAAAAATCGGCACGACAACGGAGGAGAATTTCACCCTTCTTCGAGCACTTTTACCGCAAAGGTTTTGGTTGAGTGGGAAAGATTGTTTGAAAAGATCAATTGAATACATTTTTAGAAATTGTATCCAATTTTCAGAACAACTACCCTGAAACGCCGAATTTTGGCAACTTTTGAGGCGTTCACGAAAGTTCCAACAGTTGATACGAATAAAGTAAAATTGTTTATAGTTTAATTTTTTCCAATTTTAAGATTGCTGCCACGGGATACTGTTTTGGTGGCCTTTGTGGACTCGATTTGGCAAGGTTTGGGGCAAATGTTAAGGGTAAGTTAGGATAAGAACAAGAGTTATACGAAATCTACGAACAAAAATTAAAAACACTCGTAGAATAAGCTGTTCTTTGCGTGTTCCCGTAATCGCAAGCCTCCCGGCAACTTGGGTAATTAAACCAGCCGAGGGGCATTTCCGACAACTTCTATCTGGGCCACTGTGCCAGACGCCGTTTTTTCTTATGAGCGACATGGAGAGAACGCACTAGGGAGATCCTTTGCGCGTTCTCACAATCGCTTGCCTCCTGGCAACTTGGGTAATTAAACCGGGCATTTCCGATCGCCTCTATCCGGGACTGTGTGCCAGACGCCGCTTTTTCCTACGAGTGACACGGAGAGAACGCACAGTGTCACAGAAGCAGTCAAGAAACTTTTACAATAAAAAAATGCAGAAATTCTATTTTTCTACTAACGATTGGATTCTATTCTATTCTATAGCCGATTGTACAGTATCCTTTATAATTTGTCCAGGCATCGTCTCATTCCACGGCACTCTTCTACCTCTTCCAGAAGCAGAGAACACACCCATTCATGCGTCGATTCAAGTTTAGTCTTGAATTTATCTTTCAGACGATTTTATTTCAGATTCATCACGCGGATCTGGATCATCGCATCAATGAACAAGTAAGAGAATGATTTTAATGAAAATTGAAATCTAAAACAATCAAAAAGTTGGGTAATTGAGCCGGGTCGGGTTGAGAGCACCAGTGTTCTTTGCGTGTTCCGGTAATCGCAAGCCTTCTGGCAACTTGGGTAATTAAACCAGCCGAGCGGCATTTCCGACAACTTCTATCTGTGCGTTCTCACAACCGCTTCCCTTCTGGTACATAAAACTTGGGTAATTAAACCAGGGGGCATTTCCGATCGAGGGCATTTCCGGCCACCTCTATCCGGCCACTGTGCCAGACGCCGTTTTTTCTTACGAGCGACAGGGAGAGAACGCACTAAGGAGATTCTTTGTGCGTTCTCACAATAGCAAGTCTTCTGGCAACTTGGGTAATTAAACCGGCTGAGTGGCATTTCCGGGTGCCTCTATCAGGGACAGTGTGCCAGACGCCGTTTTTTCTTATGAGTGACATGGAGAGAACGCATAGTGCATTCACTTTTAGATTGCCGGTTTTCAAGAAGAAATGAGAGCCCGAAAAGCCGATTGGCATTTTGTGACGTACAGCGACGCTGAACATGGATTCACTGAGCCAGGTCGACGATTTGATACAATTCATTGATTTCATTGATTTTACAATGATAATTTAATATCTTAAATATTAAAAACAGAAAGAAATAGACCTTCTTCTTAACCCAGAAATTAGCTTTCCAGAGATCGGTCTCCTCAACCATCCCGGTGTCTCTTATAATGAAAAAGCCGATAAACGATCGTGGAGCTCAATGAAAAATTTCTTCGAAGAAATGTTTGCTTAAAAAAAAAGGATTATACGAATATTGAAATTATCCAGGTTGTGAATAAATTTATACAGTTTTTACAGTTTTTATACAAATATAAATATAATTATAAATAAATTATCAATTATAAATTAAAAGTTTATAAAAATTGAAGCAAATTATGCGATGAAGACCAGAAAGATTTGACGCGCTGAGCCCAAATTGATGAAACCTGGAATGGGATTTGTTTCGATTGTTTTGAAATGAGAACACTTCTTTAACACGTTGACGACATTGTCACCTGATGCTGTCTGACACATATTCGCTCACTTGGGACATTGTCACCTGATGTCAGGTGACATTTTTTGTCGAAAAAAAACAACGTTGTCCCATGCGATTGTTTGTGCAAAAACGCCATTGCCGTCAACGTGTTAATGCTTACATTTTATGCTTTAGATCAATACATCTTAGATTATGATATTACCAAATAGCAGTAAATCATCGTACTCCACTTTCGTACGCGGCTGCCGCTCTGGAGAGTCAGACTTTGAAAGCATTCTGAAACTTTTCAAAACTTTAACGATCCAAGGACACTGTTGGCTGTGCTCTTTGTGCGCTCCCATAAACGTGCACCTTCTGGCACACACTTGCACAATTAAACCGAACCGAACACGAAATACTACGAACAAGAAGTAATTAGAACAAGCTGTTCACTGTGCGTTCTCATAAACGTGCCCCTTCTGGCACACGAAACTTGGGTAATTAAACCAGACAAGTGGCATTTCCGGTTGCGTCTACCTAGGGCAATGTGCCAGACGCCGTTTTTTCTTATGAGCGACAAGGAGAGAACGCACAGCGAGAGTCACATAAGCTTGACTATATGTAGCTTTTGGTTGTCATTGTCAATTATAAAATATCTGAGAAGCTTGACAGACTGACCCAATCTCCCCATACGGCCTTCCCAAAGCATTGATGATGAAAAGGAATAGAAAACAAAGAAAAAGTAGCCTCATTTTCAAAAAAATGCACAATTCCAGCAGCTCCAGTGGCTCTCCATTTTCTCCAATCCCTTTTGTACTTGTCTGTTGCAAAATTTTCGCAAAATGATTCGAAATGATGCAAACAAAACTGCACTTATCACTAGCCCTTTTCATTGTTTCGAAAATTTCAAAAAAGCACAGCAATACAGTTATTTTGGGAATTCGAAATGGGAAAAATGATAGCTTTGATAGTTTTTAGAATCTTGTAGAATTTGTCTGTCTGCCTGTGTGTTCTTTTTGGTTTAGTCGAAACACCAGCAATCTGGGGCTCAGTTCAAAGCATCCCTCAGTTCAAAGCTCATTCATTTCCCCAAATTGCCTTTATTTTTTCATATTCTTCTTCATAAAGCATATTTATTCATAGAAAATAACATCGGCAACTAAAAAAAAATAATAATATTGACGTAATTAATATTGACACCTTACGCGAAAAAAAACACGTCGTTTTACACCCGTATTTTGGAATTATGCAAGAGAAAATTGGAGAGATCGATGGGAGTGCGGAAGTTGGTAATATTGACATTAACATTGACATTAACATTTACAAGTTTCATTAAAATAAACTCCGAATCCTTCCCTCAAACGGATCAATTGATAAACGATCGAGACGAGGATGAGGAGAAGTGAACAAAAGGGATCCGTCACGGAGTAGCTAAATTTAAAGATTAACCTTGACTCTCGTACTTTGTGCTCAAGGGTAAACGCGGTCTTTCTGGTGCATTCATTTCTTACAAACACTATCCTTCAACTTTTTTTGTGCGTTCTTTGCCTGTCGCTCGTAAGAAAAAGCGGCGTCTGGCACACTGCCCGGATAGATGCGATCGGAAATCCCCCTCGGCCGGTTTAATTACCCAAGTTTTGTGCGTACTCTCCCTGTGGCTCGTAAGAAAAAGCGGCGTCTGGCACACTACCCCGGTAAAGGCGATCAGAAATCCCCCCTCAGCCGGTTTAATTACCCAAGTTTTGTGCGTACTCTCCCTATCTCTCGTAGGAAAAAACGGCATTTGGCACACTGGCCGGATAAACCCGAGCGAAAACGCTCCTCGCCCGGTTTAATTACCCAAGTTGCCAGAAGGCAAGCGTTTATGGAAGCGCAGCCAGGAGATTCCTTTTTTCTTTGAATTGCCTTCCCTTGACTGACCCCAATCTTCCGATCTCTCGTCATTTCCCTCTTGTTCCACAAAGTGTGCCTTTTCTCATCTCGAAACATTCCCAAACGTCCATTTTGCAAGTCAGTCACCAAGATGAATGGGCCAAGTGCGGGATCTGAAACGAGAATTTCATTGGAAAATTGAGATTGATTGAAGCTTGATTTCAATCCAAACCTCGATAATGTTTACTCGATTCCGAGTAGTGCAACAGTGGCCGTAAAGGAGAGAATGAGGATGGTTGTGAGCGCACAATTTGACTCAATCCTATCAACATCCACAGAACACATCCACCGCTCAACGACCGGGTGAACATCGCTGAAAATCTTGACTCTTGGAAAGAGTAAAGGGATTTCGCAGGCCAAAGATGAGACACAGTGATAATCTTTAAGGATTTTGTGAGTTTTCGATAAAAATAACTGCCTAATACGGATGAGGAAAAGGGAAAAAACTGGCTGAATGAGATGAAATGAATGAAAGAATGAATGAAAGAATGAATGAATGAATGAATGGGGATGTCATTCAGAGAATTCAAAAGTCGTCATTGATTACGATGTGAGTATTCACATCAAAAAGTTGCTATATTTGCATTTACAGTACGAAATACTACGAACAAGAAGTAAAAAGACTTGTAAAAAGCTGTTCTCTGTGCGTTCTCACAATCGCTTCCCTTCTGGTACATAAAACTTGGGTAATTAAACGGGGGGCATTTCTGATCAAGGGTATCTCCGGCCACCTCTATCCGGACAGTGTGCCAGACGCCGTTTTTTCTTACGAGCGACAGGGAGAGTACGCACAAAACTTGGGTAATTAAACCGGGGGCATTTCTGATCAAGGGCATCTCCGGCCACCTCTATCCGGACAGTGTGCCAGACGCCGTTTTTTCTTACGAGCGACAGGGAGAGTACGCACAAAACTTGGGTAATTAAACCGGGGGCATTTCTGATCAAGGGCATCTCCGGCCACCTCTATCCGGACAGTGTGCCAGACGCCGTTTTTTCTTACGAGCGACAGGGAAAGAACGCACAGAAGGAAAGTCTGGAAGGAAAATGAATGAAATGTGCCAGAAAGAATGGCTTAGAGCCGACAGCGTAGAGCACAAAGTACGTCAAATAAATTGTAAATTTTCTCGATTCAAATGAAGCCAAAAAATTGAATGAACTTTCAACAAATCCACAATTTTCAGGGATTTCCCCTTTCCCCTTTTTCCATTCCGTTCACGAACTCTGACACCACTTACTATGAAAAAATTTGCAAAAACTTCGCACACGACACGAGATTTTCGAGCTAAAAATGGAAAATCTCTATGCTCATTTTCAAAAAATGAAAAACTCAATAGAAATTTCCATAATTAACCAAAGAAGCGATTGAAAAATGAGAAATTGAAAGGATTTCTTCTGTTGAAGTTTTGGAATGAGTTCACAATAGAGAATGAGAAAGAATTTGATGAGAAACCATTGGTTTAAGATGAGGAATAGAGAAAAATTACAATTTGACAAGAAACAAAAGAAAATTTGAGATAAAGATGCTCTCGAGAGGGGAATTTAGGTTATACGATTAAGCTGGTTTTACTTGGGTTGAAGAAGTGTTGGATCTGAGTCAGGGAAACAACGGGCAATTCTGGATTGGACCAATAGGTTAGACGGACCGAGTGTTGGATCGGTCTAACCTATTGGGCTTTCTACAAAGTCTTTCCGTTCCTTTTCGTACTTCCGTTTAAAACCAACAAATGCACCAATTGAACTACGATTTTTTTTATTGGAAAGGCCAATCATTTTTCTGTCAAATAACGGAAAGAAAAGACTTTCTGGAAAGCCGAATAATTGTGAAAAAGTTCGGGTTTTCAACCCTGAGTTAGCTTAGACGAGCTTTGACTAGCTTTGACGAGCTTTGACGAGCTTAGACTAGCTTTGACGAGCTTTGACGAGCTTAGACTAGCTTTGACGAGCTTTGACGAGCTTAGACTAGCTTTGACGAGCTTTGACTAGCTTTGACTTGTCTAACCCCACCAGTCACTCATTTCTACACAAATATAGATACTTCGTAGTTAAACTTGAGTGCTTTACTAGTGACTAGTAATACACAAAAATCGAATTGCTTGACTGAACCACTTACTATTAGTTGGATAACCAAAATTGTCCAACGTTCGCTTGGTTTTCTGGACTAGACAATTTGATTGAAAGATGGAAGAAGGTCTGGAAGAAGGAAGAAGATCTGGTTGTTGGATCTGACCATATCTAGTTGTTCAATTTTGGCTTGGCTGATCAGATCTAGCTACATTAAAACTCAAATGGAATCAAAAATCAAATGAACTTATTGAAAACAATTGAAACAAAGTTTTCGCTCGTTCTTTTCTAATCTAAATTTAGAGAAATGTTTGTCCATTCTCTCTTTTCTTTTTACTTTAAAAAAAAGTGAGAATTTTTGGAGGGAAAGGGATTGAGAGGGCGTGCGAATGGAATCTCTTTTGGAATCTCTTTTGGAATCTCTTTCACCTTTCATTCACAATTGTTTCTAGAGAAAATGAGAAAGAATTTTGGAGACTTTAAAAGAAAAGAAAAGGAAGGAAACTCCAAAAAAACAAGTCTGACTTTTTTGAGAGTGGATGTTGAAGAGGTAAGCTATCATTCAGCTGTATATCATTCAGCATTTGATGAAAAAACTTCTCCTTGCTACTCTTATTGTACTATAAAGCTTCTAAAAGCTTTTCCTGATTTTGACACATCTTCGAAAAACAAAGCTATTCTCATAACAGCATCTATAGCTTCAAACTCTTCAATTTTTATGAAAAGAATGGATTTCAAGGCTGGCATCAAACAAGAATTGATAGTAAGCCGGAGACTTTATATGCTAAAGACATCACAACTCTTTGTACTACCGTACTTTGTACTTTTTGTCCTAAAAGGTACTTTTGACTATGATCAATTCATAAATATGATAAGGATTCTTCGGGGTAGGCTAGTTTCCGCGACTTTTTTTGCGCAACTTGCCATAACTTTTTTCTAAGTGGGCCAATCTTTATGCTTTTGGTTTCATTTTGTAGATCTCAATAAGTGCAACAAAATAACACCAAAAGCATAAAGATTGACCGACTTAGAAGAAAGTTATGGCGAGTTGCGCAAACGATCCAGTTGCGCAAACGACCCTGTTGCGCAAAAAAAAATTGCGGAAACTAGCCTACCCCGATTCTTCACTTCATCTTCAATGACTTCAATGACTTCATCAGATTTTTCATCAATTAATAACTTCATTGATAATTCCCTGACTTGAACAGGTGAAAATTCGACTTCAAATGTAGTTTCAAATGTAGTTTCACATATAGTTTCAAATGTAGTTTCAAATAGAAAAGTCAAGAGAGAAAAGACCACAAGAAATCACATGAGTTTTCAAGAAGAAACGAGAAAAATGACTGTCTTTATGAATTGTAGAAAAATTTTAGAAAAAAATTGAAAACTTTTGTATTAAAGAGTGGGTGGACGAGAAGGGACTCATTTCCGGTCAGAGATTTTGATATTTTCGGAGTTTTGTTCGAGAAAAACTGGAAATCGAATGCACATGATTTGCAAAGAGATTCCGATATTCCTTCACTTCATTCAAAATCCTTTAATTTACAAACTTTTCAATGATTGATAATTAAAATGACAATTGCCAGTCGATTGCCAATCGATTTCTCGACCCCGAAAACCCTTGGACACAAGTATTCAGCACTCTTAGCAGATTCGGAATCAGCGTTGAATCTGGCATTTCATTTGACATTTCATTTGACATTTCATTTGGCATTTCATTTAGCCACTAGTTGAGAATTCTCTTTGTTAGTTGACTTCTTAATGTTAAGTTACCACTCTAAAATGCCTAAAAATGCCTAAAATTCTGGGTTACTTAACAAAAAAGCAGATACAAAAAAAAATTAGAGAATTAAAAGAAGCTACGCGCAAGAAAATCGTTCTAAACTTTGACTTTGACAGCATTGTTCCGGAAAAGTTAAAAGCGGATTCGGAATCGCATTCAAAACTATGGAATACAATAGATTCCATTCAAAAAGACCACCTTAATTTGGCATGATTCCCTGGATAAGAAGAGATTGGATAAGAAGAAAAGACCAACTTGGCTCTAGATAAGAAGAGACTTCCCGATATGCCTTTCTACAGTAGTTTATTTATTTTTGAGTCTATAATATAAATAAACCTCTTTCTTAGAGCCTTAAATTTCTCATTTTTTAACAACAAATGAGGAACCGAATGCGCCGGAAAGGGTATGTTTATGCATTCTAAATAAATATAAGTAAATATATCCCTTTCTTAGAGCCCAAATTGGTTCATTTACCCAAACCAATAAAGGTCAACAATCGAGTTGAAAGAAATTGGTGTGAATGAGAGGCCAAGAAAGTAATTGAATGTCTTTTAAAGGAAATTTCTTTGAAAAAAAAAAGGGAAATGTGCCCCCGTGTAACCATTTCCCATGGGAAAAGCCGTTTAAGGGAAAACGCTGATGAATAATGGTTCTCAAAAAGAAAATAGATTCCAAAAAACAGGCTTTGAATTCAACTTTAACAGATAAACTTTAACAGTTGATTGGAGAATGAGTTTATTGGGTGCACAGGTGTTAAAAATTGATACGCAACTACCACGCAAGAATATTTTAATCGTTTTTTATTTCAGATAATGAATGAGATCTTTGATAAAGTGAAATATATAGATGAATGGATAATTATTGAAAACAAATGGTTTGGGAAAAGATTGTAGACAAAGAAACTATGCTTTTATCTAATAATAAGAAAAAGGGCACAATTGCACAAAAAAGCTTGGGTAATTAAACCGGGAGCGCAGCATTCTCCGTCGCCTCTATCCGGGCAGTGTGCCAGACGCCGCTTTTTCTTACGAGCGACATGGAAAGAACACACAGGCTAAGCCAAGAGAAAGCGCGCCTTTTGGCCCAAACTTGGGTAATTAAACCGGCCGAGGACGCTTCCCAGCCGAGTTTACCCAGGGCCGTGTGCCAGACGCCGCTTTTTCTTACGAGAGACATGGAGAGAACGCAGAGTTTTTACAAGAAACTTTTCAAATAAGGCAAGAAAACTATAAGCAAACCGCTTCAAAATGTCATTCATCATCTCCTAAAATAGTACTAAACGTTTCTCATTGAACTTTTCCTTTCTTTCCCTTTCTTTCCCCTTCTCTTCCTTCTTCCTTCACAACCTACTCACTCAATTGGACAAGAAGGACCAAAAGGCCATTCATCGAATAATTGGCCTAATCAACTTCTTTTTTTAACTGAATACTCTTTTTGGGATGAAGCTTATTTGAAGGAAAACGCAAAATAAGGTCGAATCGATGAATGAATGATTTTCAGCTATTTAAAGGTCATTTCACGATGAATGAATGATTTCCAGATATTCACGTCACTACTATCCATCAATGATTACCAAAAAATAAATATTTTGACCAAAAGCTGCATACACTTGGGTAAATAAACCAGCTGTAGGCAGTGTGCCGATTTTCACATTTAAAAGAAATGTCTTTGTTCTGTCTTTGTTCTAAAATAAAGGATGTGCTTGATGTGCTAGAAAGGGTGTGTTTACATGAGCACAAATTACAGCATCAGATTGAAACAAGTCTAAAAGTTGATCTTAACATTGAGCAGAGCTTGCTTTTTTGATTCTTTTGATTCTTTTGATTCCATTTTTTTCTCTAAACTACAAACTGATTTGTAAATGAGCTTTTATTGTGTTCAAAGACGTCAAAATGGCTTAAGCCGTCGTTGTAGACCGATTTTCAGCTTTTTTTTAGCTCAATTTTAGACTTAATTGTGGCTTGAATGGATTTCCTTTGAAATCCGATAAAGTTAGTACTAAAAAAGAACTGAAAACATGGTTAACTTATTGCAAAATAAACTTCTAACGTAAACATCTGTCGGTTCTTTTTTGCCAATGGAAATTTAAAGGTTTTTCATGTTTTTCTCAACACCAACCTTTTGATTTTGACTATTTTGACTATCATTGAATGCAGAACAAGATTACGCGTCGAATGATATAAAAATCAACTCAAAATCTAATATTCACGCAAAGTTATGAGGAGAAGCGTCCATAATGGATGGGATTAAGGTTTTTAGCCAATAACTTTGAGTGGATATTAGATTTTGAATTGGTTTTGATATCATTCGATACAGAATGAAATTGCGCGTCGAATGATACAAAAACCAACTCAAAATGTAATATCTATGTAAAGTTATGAGCTAAAACCTGCTAATTCTGGATGGGATTTAACCTTTTGCCTCATGACTTTATGTGAATATTAGATTTTGAGTTAATTTTTATATCATTCGACGCGTAATCTTGTTGTGCATTCAATGATAGTCACAGATAGTCAAAATCAAACGGTTGGTGTTGAGAAAAATATGAAAAACTTTAAATTTCCAGTGAATCGACTCAAATTCAGTCGATTTCCATTGTAGATTTCAAATTTAACTATATTTATTCATCTTTATATGCAGACAGGCAAAAAGATAACAAAAAGATTGGTGAAAAGAAAGAAAAACGAGAATTTATTGTACAATGAGGGTCAAACGATCGGGTGAAGTGGCGAGGAAAGGAAGACGGAATTTCGGAGAATAGACTTGTTGGGGGAAAATTGGGAAGAGATGTGTGCGCTTTGAAGCTTCCATCCATCCATCAGCTCCCACATTTGATAACAAAATACAGATGAGGAGATTTAGAGAGAGAAGAGATCTGAAATACCAAGACTACAGTACTCTGGATGATCTCTGTCTCCTCAACGCAAACGCAAAACCTCTGGCGCACGCATCGTCAGTTCAACAACACTACAGAGTCACTTCAGCGTCTTCAGTGATCAAAAACTTAGACCAGAAGGTTTGTGTTTACGGATTTGAGCACAAAGTACGTCTCTATTCTCTTGAATCTTTTCAGTTAGAATATTCTTTCTTTCCAGATATTTAAAAGCATTTAAATTCATAGCTTTATCAAAAGATTACTAATTTGGCTTTTAACGCTGGGATTTCGGCTGAACTTGCAGCTTGTGGATCACCCTGTTAACTAGTCCGTTTTCTAAAGCATATCAAACTTTCTGAAACTAATCGGGAACCACTGTACTACTGTAGATTTAGTTTTTCTGATTGATTACTACTGATTGCTGACTTTGAAATGATTTCCTTCTCAAGTTCAACATTCAACTTTTCTTAGCGCAATCATTGCAACAAACTGACATGAAACAGAAATTGATGTGTCGATTCATGATCGCCTCGTGCTTTTTCTCGAACAAATCCTTTGCCCACTGTTGAGTTTTTCTCGTTTTAGAGAAAACTGAAAAAGATTGATCAATTTGGAAATGGAAATTTATGAAAAAGAAATAAGAAAAGAAAAGAAATTGTATTCTAAAACTCGAGAAAATTCTCGTGAATCGACACGAGATTTGGTGAGAGTTTTTGGAGTTGAAATGATCTTTGGAAGGAAAGAGATTGAAGAGATTGAAGAGATTGAAGAGATTGAAGAGATTGAAAAAAGGATTCGATCAAAGAATAGAGAAATTGACTTGATGACGATTAGCAAAGAAATCTTGATGTTTGATAGACAAAGGATGACTAGGAAAATGAGAAGAATACTAATTTCGAATTCTAGAAATAGTTTTGGAGAGGAGAGGATGACCTTAAAGGGGGGGGGGGGTATTAATCGCGGCCGGGTGACGATAAAAATTTTTTTACGGCAACCACCTGTTTTTTTATTTTAATATCGCTGATTTTATTATAAAAAGAATAAAAATCACCCGGCTAGAGTGATTTGATGGGTTTACAAATTTTTGGAGATGCTGCAAGGCTTGGAGGAAAACAAGATTGTCACTCATCAGACACCTCAGCACAGTCTAGATCGATTGAGTTTTAGTTGCAGATAAATTTAAAAACAAAATAAAAAGCACAAAAAGTAATAAAAATAAATTGTTAATCTATAATTCTTCCTCTTGCTCACTTTCATCTTCGCTCAAGTACAGCAGTTCGGCTCAAGTACAGCAGTACAAATCGGCTTCCTATCTTATCAATTTCCAGCGCATCTTCACCAAAAGTGACTGGATCTCCTCCATCGTAGGACGTCTTCAGCGCTTTGATTGCCACAATTAGATCTTTTTTCATTTGTGGTCGCTTATGGTTTTAGTTTTCTCAAATAGGTGCCTTTTAGCTGAGGTGTCTGATGAGTGACGATCTTGTTTTTCTCCAAGCCTTGCAGTGTCTCCAAAAATTTGTAAACCCATCAAATCACTCTAGCCGGGTGATTTTTATTCTTTTTATAATAAAATCAGCAATATTAAAACAAAAAAACAGGTGGTTGCCGTAAAAAAATTTTTATCGTCACCCGGCCGCGATTAATACCCCCCTTTAAATGGAAGGGAAGCTCAAGTGATGGCAAACAAACAAGTGATGGCAGGCGAAACAAGGAAACAAGTCAGCTTTAGGCTTATCTCGGTTTTTATTGGCCCGGACTTTGCTTCTAGCCTAGACATGGTACAATTTATGTCTAAGTACAGTATGGGAATTTGTAGCGTCTAACAGAATCTCAATTTTTACAAGAATTGAGACAACGAATATTACAATTTATAGATTAAATTTGAGAAATTCTACTTTCAAAAAATAAGAGAAAGAATACTTCAAAAGATAAAAGATAGGTGATCAGATCTAGATCCAGGCCTAAAGTAAGCCTGAGCCTACAGTACTGAACAATAAAATATCATATTAGAAAAACGATCGTCACTTTCGCGCGTCTGTAACTCCCTTGTCTTTGAGTTTAAACTATTAGTGTTATACATTTTCTGAAAGCTCTTTTCAAGGGCTACACAATGGTAAGATTAATATTTAGAAATACGGTAACGACAAGGGAGTTATAGACGCGCGAAAGTGACGATCTTTTTTCAAATATCATATTTCATTGTCCAGTAGTGTAGATGTAAAGTTGGAAAAAAAAGATTTCGCTATTGGCTATTGAAAAAGGAGATTTTTGGTGTGAAAAAGTGATCAACAACATTTGAAAAAATCTAGAAAAAAAAACTAAAAACTCCCGAAGAAAATCCGACTTATATCCAGCAATATTTGAAAGGTTTGATAAATGTTTTTTTCTAATCTGTAGCTAGATAATCCTGGTCAACTCCTCGTCAATTTCTCTCAAATCTTTGACGAACACAGCTATTCAGCTAGAATCCCCCCAACAAGAGTTCAATCCAAAAATAGAATATTCTCTGAAAAGTCGGGATTAAACCAAAAAAGTGAGATTTCCTATAAGATTTACGTATGGATAAGCTTTTTAAAAGGTTATTTCTGTGAGAGAATCGGCTTGCAAATAACTGTGTGAAAAAGGAAGTGATCCGGGCATTTCCGAGAAAATACTCATTGCTCAAGAGGGAATTTCAGTGAATAAGCAATTCAACAAAACACAAATCAACAGTTCTCATGTGTGAATTGGAAACGCATCGTTTCTAGCGTACTCATTGCCAGTTCTTTTACTGAGAAAACATTGTATTCTTTGTATTGTATTCTTTGTGTATTGTATTTGCATTTGTCTTTGAAAACACAAATCTCCTAACCGAACAAGAGCTCAAAACAATCTCGAGACAATTCTCAAAGCTTTTTATAAGTTTGTTTTAAGATAAAAAGTGTTGAGCAAAACAATGAGCTATTGGAAATTTGATTAGGGTTTAGAATTCGATTTGGCTATGGAAAACGGAGATTTTTGTGGAAAGAAGTCAAAGTGAAAGTTGGATGTATTCAAAGATAACTGATTTCATGAATTCAAAACTTTTAAAGTATTCTAGATGCAAAATAATAATAGAATAATTCTAGGTAATTTAGAAAGAATCTAACTCTAGTCTACAGTTAGCCGTTCCTACAATCGCTGCCTTCTAGTCAACAAAACTTGGGTAATTAAACCGGGTGGGGTATTTTTGGCCACGCTTACCCTGGGGCAGTGTGCCAGATGCCACTTTTTCTTACGAGAGACGAGGAAAGCACGCACATCCTGATGTCTCGACAAAATCGCGCGCCTCCTGGCCAACGAAACTTGGGTAATTAAACCGGCCGGAGGATTTCTAGGCGGCGTTACCTTGGGGCAGTGTACCAGACGCCACTTTTTCTTACGAGGGACATGAAAGGTACGCACACCAAGAGTCACAAGATAATTCTCCACAAAATTTGAACGCAGACTTCTTTTGCTAAGATATTTCCCTCAAAACGACAACACTTTATACTAATGGCGCCACAAAATGTGAAACTATTCGATCAAATAAATGTCAATCATCAAAAATGAATCAGAAAAGAAAAATCGTGTGGAAGAGTGGGCGGAAATCTCAAATCTCCTCATAATCTCAATCAAAAATTGGGGAAATCATTAAAAAATATCAAAAAATATAAAAAAAAAGCGTTAAAACACAAATGAAATGCCAAATAACGCAAATCAAAAGCAGAAAACAGGTGAAATGAAAGAAAAAAAATGGGGATTTTTGGGAGTTTTGGGAATTTCTGGGGATTTTTGGGTGGAGAACAGTTTTTTCTTTTCTTTTTTTGGTTTCCTGCTGAAAAGCGATCAAAAATGAAGTCATAGATGGGGTTTCTTTTTTCGCAAAATTCACTTAAAATAAAGCTATTTTTGACGAAAACACTTGACCCTCTTTGCATCATTTTTTTTTTGAAAATTTTCGAGTTTAAGGGGAAAATTGCTTGAAAATTACGCTATTTTTTCCCCGATCCGGACTCAGAGTAAACAAAATTATCATTTTTTTTCTTTCAATAATCTATTTTGCTATAGCAAAATTATATTTTTGCCTTTTTTGCCTTGGATTTTCATGAAATTGTAAAACTTACACTACTGGACAATGAAATGTGATATTTGAAAAAAGATCGTCACTTTCGCGCGTCTATAACTCCCTTGTCTTTACCGTATTTCTAAATATTAATATTACGATTGTGTAGCCCTTGGAAAGAGCTTTCAGAAAATGTATAACACTAATAGTTTAAACTCAAAGACAACGGAGTTACAGACGCGCGAAAGTGACGATCGTTTTTTAAATATGATATTTCATTGTTCAGTACTACAGTATTGGACAATGAAAGTACTTACAGACAGTACTTACAGTACTGAACATTGTCCAGTACTGTAAGTACTAAGTACTTTTGTAATTTTCGCTTTTTGAAACAAACAAATTCGCTTTTCGGTGTAATTCTATGAAAAAACGGTCAAATTATTGAAATTTTTGAATAAAAGTATAGCAGCGTTTAGCTGAATATCATAAAATTAAAAAAAACAAATAGATACCGGATCTAAAATTTCAGCGGATTTTCAGTTTAAAGGACTTAAAAAAAAGTGTTCAGCTTTTGCATAAGGAACAAGAGTTTCAAGAAGATAAAGAAAAAAGATAAAGAAAAAAGGATCAAGCTAAATTACACTAAAACTTACAATCAGTTAAATCAAAAGAAAAAGAGAGATCTATTTGAAGAATTGAATTGAAATCTTTTCATTCATCAAACGAAAAGACAATTGGAATGAGAAAAGCCGAGAAAACAGAAGGATTGGAAAGGGGAGAATGGCCCGGAAATGTCTCGAAAATGTCCCGGAAATCAAGAAAATCAAGAAAAGCAAGAAAATCTGTTTCAAAGAACCCAGTCTCCAGTCTATCTCTTTTATTCTTTCAACGAAATCCAATATCCTAATTTCGTAAATCTTTCAAACGACTAGGATTTTAGCAAAGAGATCACGTCATCTTTTGGGAGAAGAGAGACAGTTTTCTATTGTATTTCTACTGTATTTCTACCGTAATCAATCAAATTTAATTATTAGCGCAGATAACAGCTGACAACTATCGTAATCAAACTGCAAAATTTACGTTTGATTGAGCCAATCCTGAGCTCGGATCCTGAGCCCGGACTCCGGGAAAAGTCCCAACGGTAAAACGGTAAAAGTCCATAGTTTTCCCGCGGAGCGAACTTTTCCTCGGAAAGTTTCGGCGAAAAGTTTTACCGGAAACTTTCTGATACGTTCCGCGGGAAAACTATGGACGTTTTACCAAAGGTGCCGCCGTAAAGATCAGAACTTTTTCCGGAGCGTGACATACGGGCTCTGCTTTCATTCTGGTCTAATAAAGATAGATTTTTAGAGCTTTAGGGCTAAACTTTCATAGCCAAATAGCAGCTATTCGGCTTTTAACGCTGGGATTTCGGCTGAACTTACAACTTGTGGATGACCCTGTTAACTAGTCTGTTAACTAGTTAACCTGTTAACTTTTCTAAAGCATATTGCTAAAGCTAAAGCATTCTAAAGCATATCAACTTTCTGAAATTAATCGGGAACTCGGGATGTACTACTGTAAATTTAGTTTTATCCAATTCAATTCTATGATATCGAAAGATAATCCAAAAGGATTTTTAACGATAACAATTCTAAGGATACTGAAAGCTACAAAAACTGAACAAGAGTACGGTAGTCCCCAAAAATTGGCACATTTTGGAAGATCATTTGAGAAAATCACATCCAATGTATCATTTAAGAAATCAAAAATTGAATGAATGATTAAATAAGCCAAACTTTTTTGGCTTATTTGATTCGTTGTTCTATTTTCTAATAAGAATGACTGATTACAATCCTTAAATCTTAAAGCTGATATGGAAAAGAATGAAATGAAAGGAAATGAAATGAAATAAACAAATGAAACAAACAAATGAAACGATAAAAGAAAGGAAACACAAATCACAAAACAAAACACCGCTTTGTTGGGTTCATTGTCGATGTCGTCGGACAAGAGAAAGCCTCGGCGAAATCAGCCACATTTTGCAGTGCGCCGATCACTCTGAAATTACTTTTTGAAGACAAAAAGAAAACAATTATTTTTACGATTTTTTACGATCCTTTTCCCAGGTTTAATTTAGATTTTTACTCTTGATATACTGTGAGTTTCATTCCTCATTCCGAAGGGAAACAGATAGGGGATTTTTGGAAGCTACGAGAAATTTGAGGATGTAGGGAGTGGATGTTTGTAGGGAGTGGATCTTGATGGAAGACATGGGAAATGTACCCGACATTCATGAGAATATTCAGCTGGTTCTTATCTTGTCATCAGCTGTCAGAAAATTCTTCTCATCGATTTTAAGCTTTGGCTTTTTAATCGTAAATCTTCTCGCATCACTTTTCTTCTTTCAAAAATCCAAAAAATGCGGATAAACAGGTGTTTTTTTCGCATCATTTATAGAGAAATTGAAGAAATTTTGATGTTTGATTGAATATTTAATCAAAATATAAAAAAATTCGATCATAATAATAGAAAAAATGGCTTAGAACAGCTCTCCATTGTACTTTTACCGTTTACAGTACAATACAGCACAGTACAGCACAGTACGACCCTAGTCTACAGCCAGAATCTATGTTAATCTATTCAGAATCTATTCTTTTAGTTAAAGCAATTTTCTATTGTACTGTTAAAAGTAAAGTAAAGTAGGATGTGTTCTGAATTTTATGAAAGAAATCTCCCAACCTGTACTGTTTGATCTGTTTGATTGTGCTCTAGATTGTATGAAAGAAATCTCCGAACCTGTACTGTTCTTTTGCGTGGACTCCCCCTTGTGGATCCACAATCGAACACCAATTTTGAGCATATTTCACGAAGAACGCTTGCTCGCTTGTTAATTCGAAACCCGGTAATCGTTTCCCTTTCAAATCGTTCTCTCTTTTGAATGCCTAAAAACCCAAACTTTTCCAGCGAATCAATAAAAAATTTACCAGCCAAGCAGCTTGCAAACCAAGATTATCCGCGAGATTCTCATAAAGTGTCACTTTTGAGTGAATAAACTGAAAGATTTCGCGTTGAATTTGTTTTATTTCTACATTTACAATTACTCTTACATCATTTTTCTGTCCTCCTTTCAATTTTGCGTATTGATCAATGAAACATTTCCCATTCTCGTCATATCCATTTGATGATGCTTCTGACCAATAAACACCGAGATTCCCCGTCACACCATAATGACGCCCTGAAATCGGAATTGTGCTTTGTGCTGAAAACCTAAACGCATTCCCTCTAGTGCACCTAAAGCACCAGCTTTAAGCACCAGCTGTGCGTTCTTTCCCTGTCTCTTGTAGGAAAGCATCTGGTACACTGCACATCCCGATAGAGCGAACCGAAATTTCCCTCAATCGTTACATTACCCAAATCTCATGTGCCAGAAGACATGCGATCATGAGAACACACAAAAAACATAAGTTGTAAGTTGAAGTTGTTTCTCAACAACCGTCCCCCATCTCGATTCAATTACCCAAGCCGCATTCTTTGTTGTTCCCTATTTTTTCGTCTCCCCCCACCTCTATTTAGCACACAATTCCTTAAAATTCTCAAATTTTCACTAAAATCTCACTCCATTCCATCAAAAACTTATTGAAGCCTAAAAAAAGAAAAAGAACAAAACTTTTCACCGATATCCAATTTGTGACATCATTTTTTTTCTTCTCGAGAACAATTTTTGAGTTTATTTTCTTCTCGAGATCGAGAGAGATAATTAAAAGAACGGCCGACTCTGAATTCCCTTTCTTTTCAGGAAAAGCTCAATGATTTTCTCTTTTTCCGAATCCAAAACGTTTGTTAATTAAAAATCGGTGACGTTTTTTTTTTGGAGTGAAATGAAAAAAAAATCTTTGAGAAAATAAAATGCTTGAACAGAAAGGGATCTAAAGTTGAAACAACTGAATGATCTTTCTCCTTTCGAAACTACCGTATCCATTCGACGAACCTTGAATATCAAAAGCGTGTCCAATCTCGTGACCGATAAAAAAAGCAGCTCCTGCATAATTGATGAATCTGAAATTTAAGAAGTTCCTCGAATTTTTACCCCTTTTTTTTTCTTACCCAGGATTAGTGTGATCGAGGAAATGTTTCCCAATTAATGCCATCGGATAAACGACAATATTTCTCTCGAAATTGTGCACAGCGTTCAGTGTGACGCTGTTCGTGTTATCTAACCATTGAGTTGAGGGGATTAGTTTCCCGAGTCTGAAAATACTCAGTCATCTTTAAAATTGTTTCTCAGAGTTGTAATCGTTTCCAATTCAAATTTTGAAACAAAAGAATACCTGAGTGACGATTAGAAATGTTTCTATGCGATTCGTGTTGTTTAAAATTGCTCTTTGGGGAAAAAAAACTTGGGTATTTAAACCGGCTGAGGGCCATCTCCGGCCACCTCTATCTCTATTTTACGAATCTTTTTTATTCGCTCACATTATCACAGGTGTGTTCCCCAAAATCGCTTCCCTTCTGGCACACGAGACTTGGGTAATTAAACCGAGCGACGTCGCTTTCCGGCTATGTCTATCCTGCTCGGTGTGCCAGACCCCGCTTTTTCCTACCAGAGACAGGAAAAGAACGCACACCGAAAGAAAGACAAGACAAGACAAGACATAAGATCCTTTGGAGTAAAGGGAGATCAAGGGCGCGATGGTGTAATGGTTAGTACAGTCGCTTGGCAAGCGGAAGGTCGCGGGTTCGATTCCCGGCGGCGCACAAGTTTTGCTCTGCTCTGATCTGCTCTAGTTTCGACTTAAAGCTAGATTTGGTTCAATTACCCAACAAGAGAGCTAATTTCTCTTTCAATTCCTGACCTCGTCAAATCCCTTCGATATTTCCTTGCCGATGCTCTGACCATTGTCCAAAAAAAGTCATCACTTTTCTCCTCATCGTCAGAAGATCGGAACTATAAATAGATTAAGTTTAAATAGACTTTTACTGTTGAACTGAACTCCTTTTAAAGTTCTAGTTAGTTTCCCTTCCCGTATTTTCAAAAATTTCTGATTAATATCTAGAAATGCCTTCTCTCATTCATATAAAGAATGAGTAATTTTGTTGAAAGCAATTATTTTTTTTAAAAAAATCATTCGGCGGTGTTAAATTCGAGAAATAATTATGGGAAAAGTTCCGGATTTTTGAGTTTTTCAGTGAAAGATTCGTCATGTTTGAGCGAAAAAATCGAGATGCGATTGAATGTTTACAGCCGTGAGCCTGAAATTACTCACAACTTTTGTAAGTAAAAGAGTAAAGAATCAAGATTTAGTTAGTAAGTAAAGTAAGTAAAGGAGTAAAGAATCATTAGCAAGTAAAGGAGTAAAGAATCAAGATTTTGGGTTAAAGTTGAAGTATTCGTTGGCTATACTCATTTTCTTTAACATTTTCTAACATTTCTGTTGTTGAACTGAATTCAGACACGAGTTTTGACCTGTTAGGATGGATAAATTGAAGCTCGAATTGTGCATAAAGAATTGTTGGGTTAATTGATTCGAGAATTGGACTCAGAAAATGGTTATCGTAGCAAAATGAGGAGTTCAACAGATTGCACTTAATGCACAGTGGTCCTAACAATAAGTTTTGAGAGAATTGGATTTCTTGTGGATAAGTGGATACAGACTGAAGCTGTTCATTTGTCGATCTGATTGTCAACAGGTTTACAATGGAAAAACGAGTTTTGACCACTTCAACGACTACTTTTTAGGTTCTACATGCGGATGGAATTTTCAAGCTCAAGCTCAATCTTTTGATCTGAAAAAATGAGAATTGAATCGAGAATTGAATCCAGAATTGAAGTGGTCAAATGCATAAGTTAAATTCATTGAAATGGATTAAAAATCAGACCAAAATAAACGGATCTAATACAGAAATATCTTGAATTTACTAGATAAGATAGTGATGTTAAAAGATTATTGTCCAAAGGTTGGATTGATTGATTTGATCGATTCTCCTTCACCTTCAAATCAAAATGTTCTCCTTCACTTACATGATCAAATTCGGCATTCAAAGCAGCCACATTGTGCACTTCGTCCGGAAATGAGGCCATAAATGTGATGTTGGAAAGCTAAAAGAATCGAATTACAAAAAATGCACCAAATCGTCGTCTTTTGCCTCGTGAACGCTCTTCTCATCGGACAGGTTTCATTTTCATTTCTTATCTACAGTACGTGCTCTGTTAGTTTCAATTCTCTAATTACCGTAACTACTGTAATAGTACCCCGCCCCCCTCGTACAGTCGCGTAGTCGCAAAGGTTTTTTAGTATTTCATTTTTTTTCAAAGCGTCCGTACTTTCAAAAAATGCGTCTTTGGTATCAAAAAATAGCTGAAATTCAGGGCTATTTTTTGATACCTAAGCGCAGATTATAGCATAAACCAGTGTCGAGAAAAACTCGTCCAAAGCTAGACTACGCAACACTCCGCACCGTCGTTATGAGAGTGGGGTACTATTACAGTATTTACGGTAGTTCTTTTTTGAGATTTCTCTTTCCACCATTCCCTACAACATTTGATAAATCAAAATGCCGGAAGTGTTGTTTTTTCAAGAGCAAAAGATTTTCGTTGACTGATTGATGCCAATTTGGACGCCCACACAAGAAAATAGAATCATTTAGGAAAAGGAAAACAAATTTTGGAGACTGTTGCACAATGTTTTGGTAAAGTAAGAAATGTAAAACTGTTTAGAGTCAAAAAAGTAGTGTTTTTGAAGCTAAAAGATAAAAGATCCCCGCTAATCAAGACAAAAGAAAACAAAATGTCATGACAGAAATTTGAGATAGGTCGCCATCTAATTTGAAAACCTTACAATGATTAGAGGTTAAAATGAACCCCACCAATCGATTCCTCGACCCCGAAAACCCTTGGGTACAAATTTTTAGCCCAAAATCTCATTTGGGATCCATTCTCATAGCAGAAGAAATCACTAAAGTGATTAGAGAGTTGTTCTTTGTAGGGCCGCGTAATCGCACGCTTTGGCAAAGCGCGCTGGCATAAGGTGTTTCCTTTTCTCTTTACCTTGTTGAGGATATGCTCCTTTGTTTGCTCGTCGAGAATTGCAGATTTCTCGATGATTTCCCGATAAGTTCTCTGCACGGATGCGAACAATTCCTTCAGCTTTTCCTTGTTCTGAAAGAATTTCTCTTTTCCAAAAACTATAAAAGACTATGGTGGCCGTTATTTATTCGTAAATTCGCTATTAACCTTTTCTGCGTCATCGGGCGCATTTCGTCGCATTAAAGCAGCCGTGGAGAGGGGGAAATGCCCTGAAAATCCCGTAAATACTCCTCGTACAGTCGCGTAGTCTAACTTCTTTTTAGAAAATTATTCTTTTCTCAGCTCCTAGATTTTCCCAACTATATCTTTGATACCAAAAAATACTAGATTTCAAGAGCTATCATTGACTGTAGCTGTAGCTTAAAGCAGCGCGGAGAATGGAACGTTCAAAGTTAGACTACGCGACTGTACGCCTGTATTTTGTGATTGGTAAGTGCTTTTTGAGAAATTCTAGCATTCTAGCAATGATTTTTAACAATTTAAAGTTGATAGTATCAAAATTTACCCGCTAACCTCGCCAGACAAAACTCTTCACGCATCGATGTCTGACCGACGTAGAATTGACGAATCAACTAAAAAAAGATCTTGATTTTAGCTGTAATTACAATTCTCTGAGCCCTAACAAGGGCAAGAACCGATTGAGAAATCATTTCAAAGTGTGCGCAAGAAAGCGCGTGATTGTGCTGACGCAGAGGCGCAACTTGGGCAATTAAACCGACCGAGGCGGATTTCCGGCTGCCTCTATCTGGGCCAGTGTGCCAGACACCGTTTTTTCTTATGAGAGACATGGAGAGAACGCACAAGAGTCACAGAAGATATAGTAAAGCTTCTCTTCGAGTTCTACACCTCTGACTCACCTCAAATCCAAAATTGGCGGGACTTTGATATCTGGGCATTGTGTACGACATTGTGACCATCAATATTCTCCATTTTATGTAATCCTCGATCACTTTCAATTCTTTCGGCGTTTGCGTGTAAACATCGAGTATCCGAGAAAGTTGGGAAAGCCAATGGGTGCCCGCCTGAAAATCGACTTATTCAAATCCGTAAACAAATCCGATCTAGTGCCACAAAATTTCCACATTCATCTCCCACACACCTTGATCGCAATCGGTTGTGTTCTTGAGATCGATTTCCCGAGTAATCTCTCCAAAAAGTACTCCCAATCAAACTAAATGGCGATTCTTTAATTGAAAGCAGATAAAGCAGATAAAGCTTTGATTACAGATCATTAGATAGATAATCTGTTGAGCAGATAGACTAAGAACACTCAGATCTGAATCTAATTTCAAGATGATCTGGTCACCCAGTCAGCTCAAGTCATTAGATTATTTCTAAACCTACCGCTGGAACTCTCCGCTTGAGTTCGGCCAAATCAGTGAGATTGTACTTTTCGTGATCTTTTCCTTTACCTTCATGCTGAAATTGAACATAAAAAATAGATAAAGAGCTAGCAATGTTTCGATTTCAGTGTAAACAAACCACAGTAGAGATTCGGACGAGATTCCACTCGAGTTCCATCGCTCTCGCAATACTTTCCCGCACAGTGACATCTGTGCTGAAAAGAAAAGATATTCAGCTGAGTGATGAAGACTCTAAGTTCTTCTATAGCTTGCATAATAGTCTTTAAATTTCAGTTTTTAAGTAGTACTTAAATCATTGAACTGCCGTAAATACTGTAATAGTACCCTACGCCCATAATGACGGTGCGGAGTGTTGCGTAGTCTAACTTTGGACGCGTTTTTCCCGACACTGGTTTATGCTACAATGTGCGCTTAGGTATCAAAAAATAGCTGAAATTCAGGGCTATTTTTTCATACCAAAGACGCATTTTTTAAAAGTACGGGCGCTTTGAAAAAAATGAAATACTAAAAAACCTTTGCGACTACGCGGCTGTACGGTGGGGTACTATTACAGTATTTACGGTATGTAGTCTACAGTAATAGTAATTGAACATTGCAATGAACTGTAATTGACCCTGTTAATGACTTAGAATCCTGTTAATTTGAATGAGCCTTTTATGTTCTACTATTCAGCTAAAGATCCTATTGAAAAACCTGTCCAAATCAGCGTAGGTGGCCATTTGGAGACCCGTTTGAAAGAGGATATTCATTTCCTGAAAGTACAGCAATCTTTTTACAACTTTTTTCAAACGTACTTGCTCAATTTTCCCCGTCACAATATCCTCGGCCGTCAATTCTTTTTCGTTTGTCTTGTACAAAAGACCATAAATCAGAATCGGGACTTGTTCGTCGATCTGGAATTTCGCTTTGATCTAGTTGGTCTTTGATCTAGTTGAGCTTTGATCTAATTGATCTTTGATCATCAATTCTTAAGCCATTCCTTTCCATTTCCCATTAATTCCCCTAACGAAATTTCACTCACCGTAATAATATATTCCCGAGAGTTCAAATAATTCACATCAACGCCAATCCAAAAAATTGGGAACGTTGCAAAACTGAAATAATTGGAATTGAATGAATTGCCTTTGGGGAAATCAAAGATATTAAAGGCTAACGCAAAGTTTGAAGTACAACTTACAGTCGGTCAATTATAACTTGCACTAGATCTAAACTTGTACTTTTTGCCAATGCCTTAACCTTAAAATACAGTTAAAATTAGGAAAAGTGAAGTGGCTGAACGGGGGGTCGAACCCACGACTCGCGTCGAACCTTCGTTCTGGCAAATAACCGCCCTGCCGACTGCGCCACAACGGCAGCCCGAAAATGGCCCGAAAATGTGGAAATAACCTGAGATTAGGCTTTTTCGGCTCATGAAATAAATCTTTTGATTTCTTTCTTTCTTTCTTTTCTGTCTTTCTTTTCTTTCTGTCTTTCTTTCTTTTCTTTCATTTGATTTCTTTCTTTCTTCCTTCCTTTCCTTTCTTTCTTTCTTTACCCGTAAGCTTGAAGGATGAGATCTTCGAAGAGATTTGGAGATGAAGAAAGACCCGATAATGAAGAAGAATGAGAAGAATGGGATGGATGGGATGAATGGGATGAATGCGGGATCACTTCACTCAATCGCCATCCACCAATCGACTTAATTGATTCATTTAAAAGCATTTAAAAGCTCGCTTCACTGCTTTATATTCGATCGTTCGAAAACTCAGCTCGATATTTGAATGATACCTGAATGAGTTGTGCCCATTGTGTGAGTCCTTTCTTCTCGAGTGTATCTGTGTCCATACACTCGCTGAACATTCGCACAACCTCGTTCTCTCCCTCGGACAACTCGATTGAGAGCTCCCGGGTGCGGACTAAAATTTGGAAAATATTATTTTTCTAAAGAATATTCTTAAAATCTCAATGACTTCAGATGGCTGAATACCTTTAAGCTTCAGACTTCAGATGGCTGAATACCTTTAAGCTTCAGACTTCAGATGGCTGAATATCTTTAAAAACAAGCTAGTCTTGATGACTGAATACTTTTAACTCTTTTCTAACTTTTTCTGTTCTCTTTTTAACTCCTTGCTCGAGTCAGACCGAGTACTGGAGATTTACTGTATCTTTAAATAACTGTATAGCTAAAGCTTTAAGAAATCTACTATATAAAAGAGGAATTTCTGGCTTTGTCTCAGTCATCTTTAGGCCAAAAAAACTGAAATCTTGTTAAAGCATAAGATAAAGTTTTAAAAATCGAAACTGAGCGGCACTACGAGCGGTCAAACCCAGGACGTGTGGGCTGTAGACCAACAAGCTCCCGACTGTGCCATGGCAACACGTCAGCGACGGCGTCATCACGCGGGATAAGGCACTTTCTGTCACTCGCGACTGTGCCACGGCGACAGAAAGGGCCTTATTCCACCTAAAGACGCCGTAACTGGTTTACCGTCGTGGCACAGTCGGGAAGGAGCGCGCCTCTCTACTGCCCACATGGTCCGGGTTCCACCCCCCCTTAAAGCCACTCAATTTTGACTTTTACATAATTACATAATGTCCGTCACTTGTTTGCCATTGTTGATCGAAGCGATTAAACCGCTTACTTTTATTGATGGTGCTTCCAAGTGTTTGATGTGAATGAATGCCAGTCTCGGCAATGGAATGCCATTGATTGCCCAATGGCAATCGGGAAATCGTCGTGTTGATCCATCTATAAATTCGAATTTCTCTTTTAACCCTTGAATCTCTTTGCAAAACCGTGAACAAGCGTATTTGTAGAAATCGTCGCATGGACTGACGGTCGGATCCATTTTCTCGTAGAGGAGAGCCGTCGCCGAGACACATCCAATACTTGTGCAAGCTGAAGGAAATCCTACTCATTACATTTAAAAATTTGTCTATCAATCTGCGAACGTTTTATTTGAATCCCTTTTGAATCCCCACCATTTGAATCCCTTTTTTGTCGTTTGAATCGCCCACCATTTGAATCCCAATTCTTTTCCAGATTTTTCCAGATTTTTCCTTCTTTTTCTTCTTTTTTTCTTCTTTCAAATAGCCGATTCAATAAATTTTATCGTCAAAATTTAAGCAAATAAACCCACGCAAAAATTTCATTTTTGCGACTTGAAAAACATTCGGGAAATGAATGGGAAAAAAAAGGATGAAATGAGCTCATTTATTGGTTCAAATTTTTGCTCTCAACTAGGGAACGAAAGGGAAATTTTGTTCGCGAAAATTACTGATTGAAAGCGTGACTTTCAAAGAATGCAAAGAAAAGGCTGTATTCTTTAATTTCTTCTTTTTTTAAGTTTTTAAGCTTAAATTTGATGAAAACTGAATGAAAAGTAACCAAATGCATTAGATTACTTTTCAACGGTTGAGTACATTATAATGTACCTTCTGAGTACATTATAATGTACTCAGAAGGAATCTCTTCTTTGTGTGTTCTCATAATCGTACGCCTTATGGCACCTTATGGGTAATTAAACTGGTTGAGCGGCATCCGGGATCCGGCATTCCGGCAGCCTTATCTCTGGCAGTCTACCAGACGCCACTTTTTCATACGAGAGACAGTGAAAGAACGCACAACAGTCATTGCAAACCCATCATCTAGCTTTCATCTCTTGGGTTGAATGCTACGAAATGGGCTAAGGCTGTGAGCTGTGAGCTGGCTGTGAGCTAATTACCGTTAAAGGGAATTGAAAGCATAAAATGTGTGTGGGTGGATCGGGTAATGGGTTTTTTGGGACAAAAACAGCATTCCATTATCACGAAATAGACTAATGATGGTGTGAATGGAATGAAAAAAATTCGGGAATGACGAAAGGATTTTGATGGATGAGTAAAGCACAAGGATTTCGAAATGGGAAAAGATTGACTTGATAATGACTGACTTGGTAAAAGCATTTTGATTATCATGAAAAGCTATTTTTGACATCGAATTCTCATTCAATCCATGTTGTCCCCTCTCTAGTAGCTCTATGAGTGAACTATTAAAAGCTAGAAAGTTGGGCATCACTACTTTGGTTATTATGCTGGCATTAGAACGTAAAAGAACCCGTGAAGTAAAATCATTTTTAGCGTACCATTTCATTCCGGGACAAGGATTTTGAACGCACTGAACCAGAGATTTTCTAGGGTTTTAGGGCAAGGTCAATCAGAAGAAGCCAGATCAGTTAGCGCCAGATCTGCAGTAAATCCAGGCGAGGATCTGGCTTCTGGCTGGCTTGGCTTAAACATTTCTTGACTCACTTTTCGGCACAAAGAAATAATAGATGAGGAAGGTGATTGCAGCTGTGATTGAGAGAAAAATGATGAAACATAAAAAGGAGAAAATCCATCGAAGACATTTTCCATTTGATCGCTGAAATGAGGATTTTAGATACCGTAAATACTGTAATAGTACCCCACTCTCATAACGACGGTGCGGAGTGTTGCGTAGTCTAGCTTTGAACGAGTTTTTCTCGACACTGGTTTATGCTACAATGCGCGCTTAGGTATCAAAAAATAGTCCTGAATTTCAGCTATTTTTTGATACCTAAGCGCGCATTGTAGCATAAACCAGTGTCGAGAAAAACGCGTCCAAACTAGACTACGCAACACTCCGCATCGTCGTTATGAGAGTGGGGTACTATTACAGTATTTACGGTAGATTCTAAAGCTTTAAACTCACCCGATTCGTTTTGTCGAGAAGTCGCTCGTTGACGGCCGACTCATTCTCGTCTCCGTTCTCAGTCTGAAATAAAGCAAAACTATTGCTTTATTATGCCAGAAAGGATTTGTTCAAATGAGTTCTTTGAGTTCAAATGTGAACAATCTTGAACAATCAAGCCATCTGTAGATCAAGCCATCTTGAACAATCAAGCTATCTTGAACAATCAAGCCAACTGTAGACTGTGCTATAGACTAATAGACTCTAGATTATAGATCTTTCTATCTTTTAAGCACAAAGTACGTTCTGTATTACCTCTAGTAATCTTTTAGCAGCGTAAACGCACGTTCTCTGGCTCAGAACTGCTCATTTCAATTGCCCCAAACCTTTTGTTGTCCTTTCGCGGGACACATATGTGTATCGATGTGATGATAATCGGTGAACCGTCCCTCTTTCGACGGATCACATCTGATTGATGACAATGATGGAGAGGAATTCGGAGTTGAGTGATCGTTGATCGTTTCGGAGACACTTCGCGCTGGAGTCACGGTCGTTTCTTGCTTTAAAGGGGCCAAAAGGGGATCCGTCGAGGTGCCCGAACCCGTCGACAGATATGATCGAGAAGTCGGTGAGACACACAACCTGAGTATAGTCACATTTAGAATCAAGCATTCACTTAGTAAGGTATTCTATTCTGGCAATCGGTACGTGTAACTCATTGGTAGAGCTCATTGATAGAGTTCGTCTAGTAAGTGAGAGGTCACAGGTTCGAGTCCCAGGTTCGAACGTTTTGTATTCCCAGCTCCAACCCATAAAAGTCTTAGTATGATCAACTACTAGCTCTTACAAGAAAAGGTGAACTGGCTGAGCCGGCCAAATGCTATGCGACCTCTACTTTGCAGCATTTTTCTTCAACATGATATGTGATACTCCTGCTTCGACAATGAGATTTTTTGGAAAGAAGCTTTCTTTGGTAAAACTCCATTCGTTTCTGACATAACTACGAATGCCTTTTCGTGTTCCGTCAACAAAAATGTTATGCTGTGTTATTGCTCAAAGAACACTAGTCAGCATTTCTTGAGAAAAAAAGCAGAAGAAAAATCCAGTGTGGGAACTTGTCGGGTCTCGCTCTGGCAACGAACGTCTTACCACTCGGCCACGGTTGCAGCGAGTTGAGTGCCGCAAGGAGGCCGCTAAGACCCAAATGTTCACATTTTCAGAGTCGTAACAAAACTTTATAACTCTCAACAGATTGTCACTTAGTAAAAACGGAATACATATTCGGAATTAGCATCAAAATTTGGCATCGATTGATCTAGGTGACATAGCATTTGACCGGCTCAGCCAGTTCACCTTCCCTTGTTAGTCATTTCCATTAGTCATCTCATTCTTTATAAGAATGGGATTTCAAAAGACTTTCAAATGCTCATCACATTCCAATTTACGTCATCTTTTTCAAAAGCGATTGTGTCCCCAGCTAGCTGTGCCAACAGAAAGTCTCACTTTCGAAATAGTTTTGAAATTTTTGTTTTAAGCATTTGTGCCTAGCAACACCGGTCCTAGTGGCTAACAATGAGAAGAAGTTTAGGTGGAAAGTCGAGAAATTACGGTAAATAAAGAAACTGGTAAGTAAAGAAACTGTAAAGTAAAGAAACTGTAAAGTAAAGAAAAAAAGACACTTACAGTAGCTTTCAGATTACTATTAGTGCTCAAAAAAAACTTTTAAACAGACAAAAATAAAATGTTGAACCTGTCGTTTCTTGACGCTCCACCAATCCACGAATGAAACGTTTCGAATAAAAAAGATCCGCGTCTTTCGCGGTGAGATCTCTCCTTGAGATCCGTCGTGATGTTAAATAGGAAAGAAAGACGAAAAGATTACGGTAGAAAGAGCAAACAATTTCAAATAGAATGAAAGATTTCTCTAGTTTCTCTTGAGAAAACTATGGGCGGACCTTTGAAAGAAAAAAAGATATTGAAAGAAAAAGATATTCAGCCAAAGGGGCGGATCTTTCAATATGAATGGACAAAAAGAATTATACGATTTTTATTCAAAAAGAATCTCAAAATCTTGATAATTTTGGGGTCTACTCATCGACAAAACTCACAATTTTCAAGCTGAAAATCACTAATTTTGGTGTTGACGTTGAGCTAGTTTTCAATTTGATAAAATGATGTGAGAATGGTTTTGAGAAAATGAGAAGGTTGAGAAGAATTGAGGAGAATTGAGGAGAATTGAGGAGAATTGAGGAGAATTGAGGAGAATTGAGGAGAATTGAGGAGAATTGAGGAGAAGGTTGAGAAGAATTGAGGAGAATTGAGGAGAATTGAGGAGAATTGAGGAGAATGAGGAGAATGAGGAGAATTGAGGAGAATTGAGGGAAGGTTGAGAAGAATTGAGGAGAATTGAGGAGGTTGAGGAGATTGGGGAGAATTGAGGAGAAGGTTGGGAGGATGGGGAGAATTGAGGAGAATGAGGAGAATGAGGAGAGTGAGGGGAATTGAGGAGTTGAGGAGGTTGAGGAGTGAGAAGTTGGGAGAATTGGGGAGTTGAGGAGGTTGAGGAGAATTGAGGGATTGAGGAGAATTGAGGAGAATTGAGGAGAATTGAGGAGAATTGAGGAGAATTGAGGAGAATTGAGGAGAATTGAGGAGAAGGTTGAGGAGAATTGAGGAGAATTGAGGAGAATTGAGAAGAAAATGAGAATTCTTAGATTAAAGGCTAAAGTAAATGTAAAATATATAGTAAATGTTCAAAGTCTGCAAAGATTTCTTTTTTTTTGTTAAAGTTTGAGTTCATTTTTCAAAACATTTCAATTACTGATTGCTCTATGGGGAATCGAAAGAGAATAGTTGAAGGGAGATCTTCATAATTAGCTCTAGGAATCGAAAGCTGTTAATGAATCTGTTCTGTCAATGTTAATGAACCAATTTAGAATTGAATTCTTTGAGTTATTAGAGAGTAAAGTTTTTTTTTGGCATGACTGGGCGGACTTGATCTAAAAACTTGATAAAGAGTCATTAAACATACCAAAGTACTGTAGAATAAGTGCTACTTATGCCTAGGAACTGTAGAATAAGTAGAACAAATAGAATAATTCGAATAAGTAAAACAAATAGAACAATTAGAATAGAACAAGCAAAAAAATCTTTGGACTTTCTGAGTAAAAAAAGAACAATATTATCTTCTTTGTATTTCCCATAATCGCCAGCCTTTTGGAACAAGTAACTTGGGTAATTAAACCGGCCGGGGGCATTTCCGACCCCCCCTATCCGCCGGCAGTGTGTCAGATGCCACTTTTTCCTGTGATCGACATGAAAAGTACGCACACGTGAGTCATAAACAACATTTAACTCTCTTTGAACGCTTCAACTTAAGCCTTACTTCTTTACGTGAATCCTGTTGTTTCTTCTCGCTTTGTTGATTTCCAGGCCATTCTACCCACCATTCACAATGACGAAATCATGAACAGACGGTGAAATCGCACAAAATTTCCGAACAATCTCCCTCTCATTGTCTACTAAACGAAATTTTACGAGAGTTAGAGATGTTAGAGAAAGTTTTTTTTGTAAAAAAACTAATTATTCGGATAGAAAAAAAAGGATTAGGATCTTTAAAAAGGATTTTAAAGAAAATTTGCGAGAGAAAAACGTGTTCCTTTCAAAAGATACAAGAATTATGCAAATTATTAACGACAAAAATAGAAATTTTCAATTTTTCGAAACAAAAGAAAGATCGAATGGAAAGATTAGTCGCATTTTTATTAAACTCTATTGAAAATAACTCTAGAAAGTTTAAAAAAAAAACCAAGGTTTGAAATTTTAGCCTTCAATAAAAGAAAGGTTACTGTAGCTTTTCTAAATAAAAAAAAATCGGTAAGACTATAGTTTATCCCACAGGGCATGATGTTTTCCTCGGCTAATTTTATGCGTAGATTACAAAAGTCGACATCTCAGAGCCAAATTTTGAGCTTTAAAAAAATTTCAAAAATTTGATTTTTTGAAAAAATTCATGTGGTCTCCCACATGATAATTTTTAGCCTAAATTTTTTTTAAATTTTTTGATTGAAAACAATTTATTATTGTATTTTATTGCATAAAAAAACGATTTAGCAAAGTTTTGAGGCGGGGAGACACCCCAACACCGCGCTTTGTCAGAAAAATCCATCAAGTCTATCAAAGTGAAGCTCGTAACTCAATTTTTAGTTGAGGAAACTAGTTTTTAGCTCATGGAATATCAATATTCTGATTCAGCAAATAAAAAAAAACCTAGAAAAAAGGATTTTGAAAAATTTTGGGGGAAAAATCATTCTGGGCGGAGGTAAAGTACACTTGAGACAAAAGATCGGTTACAGTTTAACTTCTTTGTGTTTTTCCATAATCTGTAAACGAGACTTGGGTAATTCAACCGGCAGAGGGGATTTCCGGTCGCCCCTATCACGGGCCCATGTGCCAGATGCCGTTTTTTCTTACGAGCGACATGGAAAGAACGCACAGCGCCACTCTAAGAGAAAGCGCGCCTTCTGGCCCAAACTTGGGTAATTAAACCGGTCAAGGCGCATTTCCGGCCGCCCCTATCCCGGGACCATACGCCAGATGCCGTTTTTCCTTACGAGCGACATGAAAAGAACGCACACCGAAAGCATAAACCTTACAAGAAATAAAAAGTTGAATCACCCGACCATTAGCACATCTCTTTTTAACCCGAAGTCTACAATTTTCAAAGAAAAACTTGATCCCCTCTATATTTATCTCTTAAAAGATCGGAATCCATTTTTCCACACCCTTTCAAACATCCACTATTTCCACAAAAGAACCCCAAATTTAGATTAGATTTGGAAAAATGAAACAAAGAGATTTTTGAGCAGAAAAACTTTGGCCTTTTCCTTTTAATTCTCTTTTAAAAAAAGCCGATCTAAATTTGGAGGAAATCCGTTAATTGAGTTGAAATCGAAATTAATCTGTTAATGGACAGAAAAAGCACAAATTTCCCCATTTCCCCACATTGTATGGGCTCAGTTTAGCATAAAAAAAAATGGGGCCAATTTTACGGGTTTTCCGGGCTGAATTTGGCTTTTTGAGGGGATTATGGGAGGGTTTCGGAGAAAGTTCTCATCCTCATTTCATTTTGGTTCTTTTGATACATTTACATTACATATTTTACAGTAAATTCAATGAAAAATGGTAATTGAATTGAAATTTAGAGAGTGAAAGGTTGGATACATTTTATTTTACAGTAAATTGAATTTCAATTCATTCTCTTTACCCCAAAAAAAATGTCAAATGAAAGTGGAGGCGGGCGAAGGGTTTGACCTTTTGAAAGAAGTCCGAAATTTCTTAACAACTACGGTAAAGTGGGTTTTCTTTGATTAAAACGTTTCTAAAAGTAGTTGTTGGCTGTTTACAACGCTAAATACTTATTTGAAAGAAGTTTCCGTTGATGAAGCGTTTATTAAATGACGCCTATTCTATTAAATGACGCTTAGCGCTGATAAATGGCGCTTAGCCCTAGTAAATTCAAGTTTTCCTTGAGATAATCAATCAAATAACCCCCACCAACTGATTCCTCGATCCCGAAAACCCCAAGTACAAATTTCTGGCCGAAAACCTCATCAGGGAGCCTTTCTGAAAGCAAGAGAAAACCCTTGTGAAGTGTCCTTTGTGGGGTTGCGTAATCGCTCGTTTTCTGGCAAACGACTCTGGCATAAGGTATTTCCCTTGAGAAAAATCAGAAGAAGGAGACTTGGGTAATTAAACCGGCCGAGGACGTTTCCGACCACCCCTATCCGCCGGCAGTGTGCCAGATGCCACATTTTCCTGCGATCGACATCGCATTTCCCCGCTTTCGACCCCGCGATGCCCAAACACCTGGGAACAACTCTTGCCTCAAATTTCGCTGTATTATTGCTACAAAATCGAGAATAGCACAGACCAACGAAGAACGAGGTCACCTTTTTAAATAAAACAAAATGATCAACTTTTTTTTGGACAAACTTTTCCAATTTCCTCAGAACTCCTCGAGTTCTCTGAAAAAGAACTTTTCTTTTTTTCATGGCGTCATTTCCTTAATTCCCCCCTTCATTTCGCTGACCTCAACTCAGAAATTTTTCCGCTAAAATTCATTATTTTGCAAAACAAAAAGTTTGCATTTGACAACGGATTACTGTATGAAATCGAGCCGATAATTCGATTTTTTTTGAGAGAAAAAGTCGGGAAATTGATGGCGTCAACCTATTTCTTTTGTTTGTCTAATCTATTGTTATGATCGGATTTGAGGATTCAACTTTGAGCGTTTCTTTTTCTGATAAAAATCATTTCTTTTGAGCTTTATGATAAGCTCAAAAGAAAACAATATTTTGAAGTTTATCACTGACTTGGAAAGTTTACCACTGAGTTTATCACTTGGAAAAGTTGCTTGCAGTTGTTGCGTAATTGAACCGTGATTGAAAAGGCTCGCATGCTAGAAGGTGCGCGTTTAGCTTGACTCTAAAGAACGACTGCTTGCTTTATGGCTTTATAGGAGCTTTATATTATTATAGCTTTATAGATTGTTAATATGGTAATTGTAGCTTTTCAGTAATGAATTATTGGGCAAAGAATGAAATTTAATATATTAGAAGTGAATAAACGCAAGTCACAAAAGTTTAAAGTATAGTTCAAAGCCATGATTTCAAAGTAAACTAGTTTTCAATCAAAGAACCGATCAGGCCAAGGCAATACTGTTGGCCTGACCCTAGACTGGTGGCTTGCCCTCTCCTAGAGTTGAAACTAGGGCAGAACAAAAACTAGTGCACGATTGGGACTCCAACCCGCCACCTTTCGCTTGCCAGGCAACTGTGCTAACCATTACACCACAACGCAACTGATCTCCCTTACTACAAAGGGGGTTAACTCTAGTTAACTCTAGCTAGAATAGCTCTGCTTATCAGAATCAATAACTTATTGGGTAGAAGTGCTCTAAAATTTGAGAAGTTTGCTCACCTGAAAGCATGCGGTCTAGATTTCGTCACTCAGCCCACCCAAATTCCTGACTGATCAGAAAGAATGATTGGAAATGATAGAGAAAACAAAGATGAACACGTGTTTCCAAATAGAAAAATGGGAAAGGGAGTGACGTCATCGCTTAGCCCCCAGTCCATTCCTCCACTTGCACCCTTTCACCTTTCATCCACAAACGTCACTTAATCCCATCCACTTTGTGATCTTGAAACTTGAGATGTTTAGAATGAATGAATGAATGAACAAACAAATTCTTCCGACTTTTCATTGAAAACAACACGTTTTACATTCAGGAATCTCATGTTTTGAAGGAAATCTTCTCAGAAACCATACAACTTATAGTTTTCTATAAATAAAGAAAGTTTTGATACAAATGCTGTTGATTTAGCTGTTCTGTAAACAATGAACAAGTAAGGGAATAATTTTGATGAAAATTTTCAATTGAAAACAATCAGAAAGTTGGGTAATTGAGCTGGATCGGACTGAGAGCACTCTCGCCAGTATTCTTTGTGCGTTTTGATAGTTGTGCGCCTTCTGGCACACAAAAATTGGGTAACTAAACCAGTTTCCAGCCGCTCTATCTGGGACAGTGTGTCAGAAATCGATTTTTCTAAGGAGAGGCATGGAAAGAACGCACAGCTTAGGAGAAAATGAGAAAAGAGTTGAATATGGAAAGATTTAATGGCTCAAATAAAAGATCGAAGCCTAAAATCGCACAAGACAGAAAGCGAGGATCTTTCGAGTGATCTTTCATTCTTTCATTCTTTCATTCTTTCATTCTTTCATTCTTTTCATTCCCATTTGATGCATTTCCCCTTGATTTCTCTTAAAGTGAGTGTATCAAACGAGGCAAGTGATGACTAATCGATGTCAATTGCTCTTGCTCTTTCCATTGCTTTCCTTTACTCTCTTTCTTTCGCTTTCTGACACATTTTCTTATAAGAATCGTAATTAAACAAGAAAAAATAACAGATTTATTGTTTTAAAACAGTCAGCATCTTTTTTTTTTCTTTTCTTAAATCCGTGCCACCATTGTCAATCGATCTGGAGAACCAAAAAATGGAAAACGGAGAGCTGAAATGGTAATAAAACAATAGTTTAGAAAATTTCTATCCAGAAAGATCTAGTGATCTTGTACTATTTTACAACTCTTGTACTACTTATACTACTTTTGATCAAATACTACTTTAATATCGATTTTTCAAAATATCATTTAATTATTTAATATTTAATATAAATGTTTTGTGAAAAGAACCAGAATGAAATTGATTGAATTGTCCCATTCGTTCATCCGACTTGTGATTTCCATAAAATGGACGGGGAATCGCTTCAGAAATGAAGAACATTGAGACCAAGAATAATAATCTAAAGAAATTATAAAATTATTAAACAATATTTTCAAGTTTAGAACTGTTTAGAACGGTTTAGAACTGTTTAGAACGGTTTAGAACGGTTTAGAACGGTTTAGAACTGTTTATAACGGTTTAGAACGGTTTAGAACTGTTTATAACTGTTTATAACTGTTTATAACTGTTATAACTGTGTTATAACTGTTTAGAACTGTTTAGAACTATTTATAACTGTTATAACTGTTATAACTTGTAACTGTCCATTTCATGGAATCAGCTAAAGATCGCTTCGTACTTTGGGCTCGTATAAACATCTTTTTCGCATCAATTACTCTTTCTTTTTAGAGAAATCAAGAGGATTTCGGAAAAACGATTGCGGGTTGTGATTGTGGAGGAAATCAAGGAGATTGCGTGTACCAGAAAGTCAATTCTTGAAGTTTTTTTGATAATAATGAGTTGAACTCACATTTCGTTTAGGAAACGCATCTCGATGAGGATTTCTGGACTCTGGAAATTTGATGTTTGATTTGTTGAGATAAACGAATCAAATACAGCTTAAAAACTAAGAACTATAAACTTAAAATTGAATAGAAATAAGTAAAAGTCGAATTGCAAGAAGTTGAAAGTTCTAAAACTAAAACAGAACTGAAAAGAAAGGAAAAGAGAAAAGAGAAAAGAGAAGAGAGAAAAAGAATCAAAACGGCCAAAAAATTTATTTACTTTTCACCTGTCATTAACAGATCTCTTGCTTTATTAGAATTATAGGGTTTCGTCTTTTTTTAATCAACTGAAGATTAATCAACTGGATTTGACAAGAGAAAATGGACTGGACTTTCATGGACTTTCAACGAGAATTGCACTTGATTTATTCGGAACACTTGAACTAGTTAGATTCTGGAAACAAATTCATATTTTTAAACAAATGAAAACTTTTTTGAAAGATGATCCTATTGGATAATTGAAACGGAGAGATGATTTGAACGCACGGTGCGTTTACATTGAGCAAGAAGGACAAGCTTAGAGACTAGAGACTTAGAGAAGGACAAGCTTAGAGACTTATCAGAAACCAGCAATCAAGTCGTTAGGCGGGATACAACGGGGCCTGTGATAGAACACTCCCCGTCGTCGTAGCGCAGTCGGGAGTGCGCTTGTCTTCGACCTGGGTTCGACCCGGATCCGACTCGGTAGTGGTAGCAGCCGATTTTGCCCACATGACCCGGGTTCGAGCCCCCCGTAGTGCCACTGAATTTTTATTTTTTTTATTTTAGATAGCACAACACAAGATTTTTGAGACTTTTTAAAGAATTTCAGTTTTTTTTGGCTCAAAGACGGCTGAGAAAAAGCTCGTACAGACAGACAGACGCTCACAGACAGACAGGCAGCTCTTTTATACATGATAGATTTCATATTGTAGCTGGGTTTGGAAAAAGAAAGGGGAGCTTTGTTTTATTTGCAGCAGAGAAATAGAGTAGTCAGTTTAAAGCAAAAGTTTACAGGAATGAACCATTCGAAACTTCCAAATAAAGAAAGTTATTAAATCATGTCAGAATGTTTTCAAAAAGGAACTCAAAAAAAGATTGAAGCCCTTTCAGAATTCAATTCCTAAAAGGTTCAATTCGAATTCCTTTAAATAACTTGTTTTTCTTCCTTTTTCAAAGAAAAACATATAAAATATTCAAGAATTTACTTAAGAAAATGAAAATTCTGTTTTCGTTTGTTTGAAAGTTGTTTGATTTGATGAGAATAGAGAGTTGGCTATAAATGATAAAATGATTGTTGGCGTTGGCTATAAATGATAAGTTACATGCAGATAAAATGATTGATACGTTTTAAAAACCTAATAATTGAATCTGATTGAAAATCTTCATCTTTAATGATTTTTGCCACTTTTTTTCCCTCAAATCTCATAATTTCCATTTCCGGTCTGTAAGTTTTCAGTGATTCCAAGAATTTGGAAAGGTTTAGAACGAGTTTTCATACTGAAAATGTATTCAACAGCTTCTAAGTTTTCTATTAACATTTTAGCTTGTTCTAGCTGTGTCTTTTGGAACAAATTTTTAGGTATACTGTAAATGTAAAACTTGAACAGCTCTAAACATGATGTTGAAGGATGATTTTTCTCTCTAACAAAGATTGACTAACTTCTTAAGTTGCTCGGAGTATTTGATTTAGTTAAGTATTGTCTTGCTATCCACAAGTTCCCAGTAGATGTGGTCTAATCCCAGGACAACGAGAGCGTAAACTTCTTCTTCTCATGTTTCTCTTCTTCTTCTCATACTTCTCTTCTTCTTCTCATGCTTCTCTCCTTCTCCTCATGCTTCTATTCTTCTTCTTCTCATCCACATTTGGCATGACGTCAGTCTTTTCCCCCTCAGCAACTCATTGACGCTTCCACCGAATCCATTTTCGGTGAAATTGACACCATTGACAGTTAGAATCGATTTTCCCTTTGATTAGTATTAGTCAGTAGTTCTTTGTTATTTTAATACTTTGAAAAGTTCGTGATCTTATTAAAAAACACTATTCGGTAATGTCTCAATAAAGCGATCTTTCTCGCTCTCTTACCCAGTTAAAGCTTTGATCCATCTACCTTACTCAAGTCTGAATCATGGTCTGGATACAGTTCATTCGATAGCAATTCCAAGTAGTACCTATTTACTCATTTAAACGCGGCACTTGAGCTCAATAGTCACTCTGAACTCACTCTGTAGTTCTCAATGAATGGATAATGTTAACGTCCGCTCTCATCTCATTCATTTAACTCGATTGCTAGAGCCGATGACTATATTGCTTAAAGAAACCACTTTTGATAGCTTCTTCTTAGAGGGCTTTTTACCGTTGCCGAGACGATCGTCTATGGCGCAATGGTTACCACGTTCGGCTGCTAGGTTGGTGGAAAGGTTGGAAAGATAATGTTAACGTCCGCTCTCATCTCATTCATTTAACTCCATATTATTTTTTCCTGAAAGTTAGAGGTGAAAGTTTGCTTCTCGAAGTGATCATATTCTAAAAAACCTTGTTTTAGAAAACTACCGTAATCAAATTATGAGTTTTCCTTTAAATCAGTTCAATTTTTATATTATTTAATGAGGCTCGTGATACTCATGAATCACTGAAGATTTCAGATTCGACCGTAGCTTTCGAAAGTCTTTTAGAAAGAAAGATCGTCTTTGTTTAACAGCTTTTCATGCATTTGTTGAGGTTTTTCTGAACTGAAATATCTGGATCAGATGATCAGATAATTGACTACAAAAAAGAAATGATTCAAAAGATATGACTACTGAAAATTGAAGTGACAACGGGATGGAACAAGTGGAAATGAAAATATCGAGACGAGGCTAACTATTGAGATTTACTTGGAAAGCTGATCTTGGACTCAAAATAATCTGTACAAAGGTACAAAATGTGGACTTTTCTTCTTTGTTTTTTCATTTTTATGATCAATAGGTAAAAATAAACCCAAATAGAACGTAAATTTGTTTATTTTTTTGGAAGTCTATTTTTATTTCAAGTTTTATGCTTTTATATTCATTTTCTATTGCCAAATACAAGTTTATATTTGAATTCTTGAAAAAAAAAGAAACCATTTCTTTAACAAATTTCCGTATTCTCACAGGTTGGCCCAAAACACTCCGCCACATGGACGATCGACGTGTTGCCGACCCAGTTCGTTTCGCGCCGAGTCGGTGTGAACTCCCATCCATCTCCCGTCCCATTACATGTCAATACGACTCTCACATCGCCACGACCACTGCTCATCGATTTGTAAGAATCGTAGTCGAACTGGAAATCAAATAAATACTGATTAGGCTAGAACAATTTAACAATTGTACTAGCTTTTTGAGTTGAACTAGACTTTGAACTACCTGGACAAACTAAACAGATAAACCATTTTACAAAACAGCTCATCAAAACCCAAGTTTCTTCTCAGCTAGATAACTTTGCTTTGCCCTAAAATGATTGCCTCACTTTAACCGTTGAGCCAATCCCCGGCACCTCCGACACACACCACATCACACGGACCACACAGCCTTGCGCGTTTTGATTGAGAGAATCTGAAGACTTTTGATAGCTGTTGAAGACTGTTCAAGTTTTTATTATTCTAAAGTTAAACCTTGAGAAAATGGTACAGTCATTTCATTGGTGGTGGTGTCGATTTCGAGTACTGGAGAAGTCATGGTACACTTGCCACAATCTAGAGATATAAGAAATGAATAAATAAAACGAACAGGATTGCCACCTGTGGTCAAACAAGCGGGAACAGGGCTGAGGAGTGGATCGGCTGGCAATTGAAAGCATTTTGTTGTGTTCGTTTCCAGATTTTTTATCTTTAAAATCAAATTTTCACAAAACCACAATTTGAATTGGATTTTAAACTGAATATTTAGGTTTTCGTTATTTTAGTCTCTGGACTGGAGTATAATCTCTGGACAAAGTGATAGGCCTTCAAAGCGTGACGACCCGTTCAAAATACCCGGAAACCACGTCAGAGACGTTTATTTCTCAATCCAGCTAGTTTTAGTTAACAATCTGCAGCAGACTGTATATTAATTCCTTTCAAAACTCACCGCCGGCTCTCCATGACAGCATTTTGGAGTTTGCGGACAAGGGGCCTGTGGACAAGTGACTTGTCGACTCAAAGGGCCTCTAAAAAGCAAAAAAGATTACTTCATTTTTCGGGTATCTCACTTGCAAGGACAACCATGTATTCCCGAAATACAACTCCTCGTTTGAGTGACAATCCCACAAAGGCCACAAGAAGCGCTGCATGGAGTCGACGGGGAATTCGACCAACCTGACCAGATACCCCCGCTTGGACAAGGGCACGGGTTGAGTTTGGCTAAACTTGAGTCTTTGAAGATCTTGTTGAAATAAACCGTTCCAAGTGCATTTTGAAGGAATCCAGTCATCGGCTCTAGCAATGGGTTTGCACTGCTTGGGAAGAACTGTGTGACTTGTTGCACAGAATGGAGCTTTTGGGCAACGAGTGCCTGGACAAGGGACAATACGGGAGTAGACGCCTCTGAAAGGGTTACCTTTTTAAAGAAACTGGGATTCAGGGTTTTTCTAGAAGAGCTAGTTCATGATTTCTGCAGAAAATTCAGCGTTGAATGGTCTATTTATGATCTGAAAAGGCCACGGGACCCAATGCCCCTTCTCTTGTCAGAGAAGATAATCTGAAGCACTGACTTACAACCACATCCATATCGCCACGAGGTACATGTCCTCTTTTGAATCTTTTTCCCAAAAAAGCCACAAGTTTTAGAGCATGATGTGAAGTCTTTCCAAGCCGACCATTGACCTGAAAATGATTAAATAAGTGAAATTATGAAGAACAAACCGTTTTCCGGGCACGTTTTGCAGCCGGGTAAGACTGCTTCGGTGAGTGTCAGGACTGGAATCATTAGAACAAATAGATAAAATCGATTGAGTTTTACAAACTTTACAAATTTATGAGCTTAAAGACCAAATAATAACTTAACCGTAAAACGTAAAACGTAAAACTTACCAAAAAACAGGAACCCAATCGTCTTTTCGATCATTTCAATTTCAAAAATGGCGAAAACTCAGCTCAATTCTCATGCTTTCTACTTTTTTTCCAAGCTTTTATTCAATAAAATTCAACAACTGCATGTTTTCAATCAAAATGAACACAAGTTCTGAAAAAATAGGAACAGATCTGGTTGATTTTCAACGCTGTTCAAGAGATCAAAAATGGATTAGAATTATAATGGGCAACTCTGTTGAATTATTAAAAAAAATAGTTTTTAGTTTTGTTTGCCAGAAAAAAACGAACTTATCGGCTTGAAAATGAAATGAACAATCAGCTGAAAACTTTGGCTCAGTTTTTGTACGATTTTGAACGACAAAAAGGCACTTTCAAGGAAGTTTTAGTGTTTATAATCTGTTTAGTTCAATTTTTATGCGTTTTTCATTAAAAACAATTTCCAAACGTTAATTGAATTGAATGAAAAGATGGTACAATTTGAAAGTTTTCTTTCATTTTTCCTTATCCTGATATGTGCCTCGATCAAAACGAATTCAATATTTTGGATTTATTTCAAATTTCACCTTGAATCTAGTCTATCTTTAAAGCTTTAAAGTCTACGCACAACTTTAGTAGCAAATTCAGCAAGTAGTTAGCAATGGAAATGTTGACTTTGCCTTCAAGATTACCTTTAACTTTAATTTAACTGTTGTCAACTGTTTTGAAGCCATTTTCCAAAAAAAGCCTTGCCAACCGGATTCGAACCCGTGACCTAAGGAAGGCGCCCGCTTTACACTCCACCACTCTACCAATTGAGCTATGGGCAGTCGTGGTGAGGGTCTCAAAATTTTATCTCAAAAGCTGAGCTCAAAGCTCAAAAGGTAAAAGATTGAAGAAGTCTTTTTGAAGAGATTTCATTCATTTTTTAGTTTAGTGATTTTTATTCTTTTTATAATTAGTTTTTAATTAGGTTTTCTAATCAAAATGAAAAGATTTTCTTTCTTTCCAATGGAATCTTTTGCGTTGAGAAGTGAAGACTTTTGGCAAGCTGAGTAGGCCTGAAACAAAAGAAGAGATTTCATTGAATTCTCTTTTTGAAGAGATTTCATTCATATCCTTCTGTAGTTTTAATAAATTAAATTGCAAATTGTAAGTTTTACTGTTGAAAAAAGCTTGAGAATTGATTTGACTGAAATGAAAGCACAAATACAGTAGACTTGTGTAGTCTGTGCAGACGGGGCATTCCCGTGGGCGGTATGTTTGATTTCCAAAAAGGAGAAACCCAGAAAAAGCAAATTGCACCACAAATTGCATTGCAAACAGTGAAATGTTGTGCCGAAATGTGCATCGAAGTCTTCAAAGCGCGCTCAGTTTACTCAGTTGTTGCCAAATTTGACATTTTCTCATTCCAAGCTTCATTGAACGATTCTTTTCGCACGCAATCTGCTACTATTTAAGCGTTTTGATTGAGAAATGAGCCGTATCACAACCCAAATTCTTTGGAAAACGGCAACTGGACAACAAAAAAATGCACCAAATCGTCGTCTTTTGCCTCGTGAACGCTCTTCTCATCGGACAGGTTTCATTTTCATTTCTTATCTACAGTTTATTTGCTCTGTTAGTTTCAATTCTCTAATTACCGTAAATACTGTAATAGTACCCCACCCCCCTCGTACAGTCGCGTAGTCGCAAAAGTTTTTTAGTATTTAATTTTTTTCAAAGCGCCCGTACTTTCAAAAAATGCGTCTTTGGTATCAAAAAATAGCTGAAATTCAGGGCTATTTTTTGATACCTAAAAGCACATTGTTGCATAAACCAGTGTCGAGAGAAACTCGTTCAAAGCTAGACTACGCAACACTCCACACCGTCATTATGGGGGTGGGGTACTATTACAGTATTTACGGTAGGTAACGAGTCTAAAGTCTGGCTTATTATTCGTCAAATTTTTTTAGCAACTTATCACTATTTTTTCAGCTTGTTCATGTAAAAACACACTTTTTTAGACTTCGGGAGTATTCTAGCCATAATTGTAAGGAAGGAAGAGGAAGGAAGATATAAGGAAGGAAGGGGAAGGAAGATGAACTATTTTAAAGTCTAGATACTATGAAAAATCATTATAGCAGAAGAGCATTTCTTGATTTTCAGTTTAAAGTTGAAGTTCTTTTGTTTCAGGCCTACTCAGCTTGCCAAAAGTCTTCACTTCTCAACGCAAAAGATTCCATTGGACGTAAGAAAGAAAAATTTTTCATTTTGATTAGAAAAACTAATTAAAAACTAATTATAAAAAGAATAAAAATCACTAAACTAAAAAAACGAAGCGACTTTCTTTTTCAGCGGCTGTCGGAGGGACATGTATCAATGGATATAATTGTTTCGCAGTGAACGGAGGTGACTACTGTTTCACGGTGAGAGGATTTCATTTCATTTCACTTTAAGTTTAAATGAAACCTTTTCCAGATGTCCCCCACTTGTCCACCATCCTCGACCGCCATCAATACGGCCGTGATTGGACGTGAGTCATTTATAATTACAGATAAACTAAAGATTAGAAGTTGTAACGAAAACTAATCAACTGATCAAGATATTCAACGATTTTGAAACGAACTTTTCTCATTTAATCACCCTAATCCGGTCAACTGTAGCACTGGTCAACTGGCCTAACTATAGGAACCAATTTTCAAGGCCATGAACATACCCCTGGCTTTTTTTATTGTTGGTTTGTTGTTAAACAAGTTAAACAGTTAACCAATTCTAGTCAATCGACTGATCCAGTCAAATGAGTCAAATGAATCCAATTCTAGGACCAAGACTTACAAATAGTTGACATTGTCAGTTAATTATGCATATGAAATTGAGTACTCCTTACAAGTTTCACTTCATTTTCTCATTTTTAGCTGCTATTGGAGGAGTTTGTGCATTGGGTACTTGTTACTTGGCGAACGGCTCTGAAAACTGTTATGCGGTAAGGGTTTAGCTCGAAAAAAGTAACTCAAATCATTTTCAGTGCGTTGACAACACGGTAAGGTGAGTGAAATGCGCATTTCAAATGGAAAAACGACTGAATTGATTGAATTTGAATTGAATGAATGATTGAATGAGCATTTCCAGTTGTGCAACCTGGAAGAACAACGGTTTCTGCTCGAGCTCATCGATGTACGGTGATGATGCCAAGAGATCCTATTGCCCAAAGAGCTGTGGATATTGCAAGTGATTCAAAAAGTCACAGAAATCAATAAAGATCAATAATAAAGATTGCATTAAAATGAAATAAAGCATAAAGCATTACAAATTCTTTTTTATGTTGTAAGGAAGACAAAAGAGTTTCTAATAATGAATAGATCGGCTGCCGGTTGCCTAATAATGAATGGATCGGCCAGCTGATTTTATGTACAGCAATTAAGAAGTGTTAACAGAAACTCCTTGAACACTTTGAACTCTCGGTAATTATTTAAATAAATCATAAGATGATTAAGACAATGATTAGTTAAAGACAATGATTACCGTAAATACTGTAATAGTACCCCATCCCCTCGTACAGTCGCGTAGTCGCAAAAGTTTTTTAGTATTTCATTTTTTTCAAAGCGCCTGTACTTTTAAAAAATGCGTCTTTGGTATCAAAAAATAGCTGAAATTCAGGGCTATTTTTTGATACCTAAGAGCACATTGTAGCATAAATCAGTGTCGAGAAAAACGCGTCCAAAGCTAGACTAGGTAACACTCCGCACCGTCATTATGGGCGTGGGGTACTATTACAGTATTTACGGTAGGTAAAGAAACAAAGATGATTAGAGTGCAATTTTAGGTGGTTCAAAGTTAGTTCAAAGTTTTAAAATTAGGTAAAAAAAAAAAAAAAAAAGGGGTTTGAAGATTTTTTTTTTTTTAAGATGAAAAAAAAAAAAAAAAAAATTATTTAAAAAAAAAAATAATTTAAAAAAAAAAAATAAAAATTTTAAAAAAAAAAAAAAAAAAAAAAAAATTTTTAAAAAAAAAAAAAAAAAATTTTATTTTAAAAAATATAAAAAATTATATTTTAAAATTTTTTTTTTTTTTTTTTTTTTTTTTTTAAATTTTTTTTTTTTTTTTTTTTTTAATTTTTTTTTTTTTTTAAAAAAATTTTTTTTTTATAATAAATTTATTTAAAAAAAAAAAAAATTTATTTTTTTTTTTTTTTTTAAAATAAAAAAAAAAAATATTAAAAGGGAAAAAGGAAAATGTTTTTTTTTTTTTTTTTTTTTTTTTTTTTTGGTTGGGTTGTTTTTTTTTTTTTTTTTAAAAATTGGGGAGGAAAGATTGTTAAAAAATTTATTTTTTTAATTTTTTTTTTTTTAATTTAAATAAAAAAAAAAAAAAAGGTAAAAAAAAAAAAAAAATTAGTTAAAGACAATGATTAGGTAAAGAAACAAAAATGAAGAGATTGCAAGATTTTACATGGTTCAAACGTTCGAAACATGCCAACAATGCACTTATCCAAACTTTAAATTCATTTAAACCAAAGCTTTTTAGAATTCGCATAAGCAACAAAAAGGGAAAATTTTTTTGCGAAATTAAAAACTCATTTAGGGTTAAACTGTGGGGAGAAATTGCGTTGAAATAGAATTTCATTTTTTTAAATGTTATTTGATGTTAAAATTTGATGAAATAGAGAAGATAAAGGAAAGAACTTTTGAGGAACTTTTCTGATCTGGCGTTCTTTCAAAATTTCCCAACTTCTAACCGAGATTTGAAGTGGAATTTGAAATCGAACATTCTTCTCTCAAATCTCTCGAACTATCTCTGAAAATAGAGGTTTTAAAATTATAAAAGTTGATGAATTTTAGATTTAGCTTTAGATTTAGCTTTGGTTTAAATGAAAAGTTGATAAATTTAACAAGCTTTGGTTTAAATGAATTTAAAGTTTGGATAGGTGCATTGGCATGTTTCGAACGTTTAAACCATGTAAAATCTTGCAATCTAATCATTTTTGTTTCTTTACCTAATCATTGTCTTATCAGGACTTATGATTTATTTAAATAATGACCGAGAGTTTAAATAATGACCGAAAGTGTTCAAGGAGTTTCTGTCATCACTTCGTAATTGCTGTACATAAAATCAGCCGGCCGATCCATTCATTATTATGCAACCGGCAGCCGATCTATTCATTATTAGAAACTCTTTTGTCTTTTGCCAACTTCTAACCGAGATTTGAGGTGAAATTTGAAATCGAACATGCTTCTCTCAAACTGTCTCTGAAAATGGAGCTTTTAAAATTTCAATTATTGGCCGGGTTTTGATCGACTTTTCGTAGGCGATAGACCTCTCGCAAAGTTTGCATTCAAAATTGCACAACTCCGAAGAAATGGGTTGTTTTTTGTTTAGAAAAGCTCACATATCAAAAAAGATCAGCTGATTTCCGCTCTGGTGACATCCCAGACATGGTTTCATTGGCTAAATATCGAATTTACAGAGCTTTGTCGAGCGATTCCCCAATCAAGCGCAGATAGGAAATCTTTCAATCGGATCTGACAATCCATTAAAACTGAAGCACAATTTTCTGTTCCTCATCATCTAAAGGAAAAGGCCAACCAAGGATCAAGGACCAAGGCCAACAAACCCCAAGCTTTTCCGGCCAACTCAACACCGATATTCACCGATCCGTTTGAAATTTGTGCCAACTCCAGTTGACACCAGTCTAAATTAGTATGTGATTTGGCTTGAGTGATCTTTTTTTGACCAGCAAATTTGGAGCTAGTCATAACCGGAGGCTATTCTTATTCTTCTTAACAGTTTATTCAAAAAAAACCCCCATATTTCAAAGGCCTCTGACACCGAAATTTGTATGTTACAAATGTTTCAAGCTCACATATCAAAAAAGATCAGCTGATTTCCGCTCTGGTGACATCCCGGACATGGTTTCATTGGCTAAATATCGAATTTACAGAGCTTTCTCGAGCGATTCCCCAATCAAGCGCAGATAAGAAATCTTTCAATCGGATCTGACAATCCATTAAATCTGAAGCACAATTTTCTGTTCCTCGAAACGTGTTCCTTAGCATTTAAAGGAAAACCAAGGCCAACAGATCTCATGCTTTTCAGGCCAACTCAACACCGACATTCACCGATCCGTTTGAAACTTGTGCCAACTCCAGTTGACACCTGTCTAAATTAGTAGGTGATTTGGCTTGAGTGATCTTTTTTAACCAGCAAATTTGGAGCTAGTCATAACCGGAGGCTATTCTTATTCTTCTTAACAGTTTATTCAAAAAAAAACCATATTTCAAAGTCCTCTGACACCGAAATTTGTATGTTTTTCTTGAAAATGATCTTAAAGGAAGGCACGGGACTGATTTCGCCTAAAATTTGAGTTTTTATTTGATTCGACTCAACTTAAACCAGCTCGTTTAACGTTTGGAAATTCTTTTTAATGAAAAGCCGATAAAAATTGAACTCAGCGGATTATAAACACTAAATTTTCCCTGAAAACTTTACTCGAATAGCACTATTCAAAATTGATTTTGCTAACTACTCAAGCCGTCTAAACATATTGGGTTGGGGAGAATGAGTCGGCGCCGAAAATCAAAAAAATATCTAAAACTTCTATTCGACTTCGTCAAATAATATGCTTTTGATATCAGTAGAATGGTTAACTAATTCTCTACAAAATGACATTTAAAAGAAAATTCAAACAGCGCCTCCGCTCAAGAAAAAGCCATTTTTTCACAAAAACTACAAACTGTGATCTAGAAAAAACCATTGGTGGGATCTTCCTGCAAATTTGGCAACTTAAGTAATTGAATGTGCTCTATCTTTTTTATATAAACACCAAAGAAGGTTTATGCGAAAGAAACTGTTCAAATGATGAGTCGGACTCTTTGCCATTTTAACCAGCTGCGTTTGGAAGTTCATAAACTCCACGAAAGAAAAGCTTTGTGGAATGCTCAAAAGTCATTTTGTAGAGAAATAGTGGATCCTTTTGATGAAACCAAACGTATGTTTAAAGAAGGCTTTATGTGTGCAAAAAGTCCCTTTAAAGTTTGGCGCCGACTCATTCTCCCCAACCCAATAGATTGAAACTTTTCTGACTTGAAACCTTAGAACAACGCCGTCTTATCATAGATTTGGTTGAGTGGTTTGAAATTGTAAAAGGAAAACATCAAAACGCTCTTTTTAAAAATCTTTTTCCACTAAACTCGAGGCTTTTGGCGACTCGAGGCTTTTGGCTCTTTTATCTTTCATCCCGAATCTGCTTTCTCTAAATCCTCTAGGGCTTTTTTCGTAAATCGTGTGACTAAAGTTTGGAATGTCCTTCCCGACAAGTTTGGAATGTCCTTCCCGACAAGTTGCGTTTGATCTCCACCGTGTCTGATTTTAAAAGGGCTATCTCGTTGCATTTTAAGTGACTTTGCCATCTTTTATCTATGGGTTGGGAAAGCCCTTTTTGGGAGAGTTATTTGTTGACGTTTTATAGCACAAAATTTAAAGGGTTTTAAAAGTACATTTTTCCTGTCGTTTTCGCACTTTATTTCTTTCTGAATAAAGTATTTAAAAATGAAAAAAATAAAAAAAGGGAAAAACGAAGGAAACCGCGAAGCGGGGGGGGGGCTGTCTGAGGGCGCCGCCCCGGTGCCAATTTTTATCAATTTAAAAATCGTACCAAAACTGCGCCAAAGTTCAGCTGTTTGATGACGTAATTTTGAAGCCGATTAGATCATCTTTTTTTGGTAAACAAAACACTAAAAACGACTTTTTTAATAATTCAACAGCATTGCCCATTATAATCTAATCCATTTTTGATCACTGGAACAGCGTTGAAAATTAAAAAAAATTAAAGTTAAAGGTAATCTTGAAGGCAAAGTCAACATTTCCATTGCTAACTACTTGCTGTATTTGCTACTGAAGTTGTGCGTAGACTTTAAAGCTTTCAAGATAGACTAGATTCAAGGTGAAATTTGAAATAAATCCAAAATATTGAATTCGTTTTGATCGAGGCACATATCAGAATAAGGAAAAATGAAAGAAAACTTTCAAATTGTACCATCTTTTCATTCAATTCAATTAACGTTTGGAAATTGTTTTTAATGAAAAACCCATAAAAATTGAACTAAACAGATTATAAACACTAAAACTTCCTTGAAAGTGCCTTTTTGTCGTTCAAAATCGTACAAAAACTGAGCCAAAGTTTTCAGCTGATTGTTCATTTCATTTTGAAGCCGATAAGTTCGTTTTTTTCTGGCAAACAAAACTAAAAACTATTTTTTTTAATAATTGTCTCCGGTGCGGTGTGTCGAGGGTTCGAACCCCGCTGCAGCATAACTTTTTTGCTTTTTAAGAACAATAATAGAAGTAAATTTATTGAGGGTTATAGCAATTTTATGCTGTTATTTGTTGCTCCGGGCGTGGCTCGGCGCGTCCGCCCTGCTCCTCTCCGGTGCTCAGTCTTATGGATCCTAGATTATCCCTCAGTCAATTAACGTTTGGAAAATGTTTTCAATGAAAAACCCATAAAAATTGAACTAAACAGATTATAAACACTAAAACTTCCTTGAAAGTGCCTTTTTGTCGTTCAAAATCGTACCAAAACTGCGCCAAAGTTCAGCTGATTGTTCATTTCATTTTGAAACCGATAAGTTCGTTTTTTTTTGGCAAACAAAACTGAAAACTATCTTTTTAATAATTCAACAGCGTTGCCCGTTATAATCTAATCCATTTTTGATCACTGGAACAGCTTTGAAAATGTTTGATTTTGATCTGTGTCCTCTTTTTGCAGAATTTGTGTTCATTTTGATTGAAAAAATGTGGAGTTTGTTGAATTGTTGTTGCGGAATTGTTCAATTTGATTGAATAAAAGCTCTCAAAATAAGTAGAAAGCATGAGAATTGAGCTGAGTTTTCGCCATTTTTGAAATTGAAATGATCGAAAAGACGATTGGGTTCCTGTTTTTTGGTAAGTTTTGCGGTTAATTTATCCTTTTTTTCTTTAAGCTCTTAAATTTGTAAACTTTTTTTAGATTAAATTACAGTTTTGGGTTATTTTTCGTTGCTAAATTAGTTTTGGCACTCAATTTTTGGTGTTTTTTTTTAAGATTTAACGATCAGAATTTTGGAGTTTTAAGTGTAAAAAGTGTGGGGAAAAAAATGTGTTAAAAGTCCTAAAATTACCTAGATAGATTAACTAGATTTAGTAACTAGTTTTAGCTTGATAAAAACGGTTTTTAGCCTAAAATTAACTTTATAATAGGTTGATGCATAAGTCTTTTCGTTTTTTTCGTACTTCTGTTAAAAAGTAACAAATTCACCAATTAATCTATAGTTTGCTCTATAAAAAAAGTGTTTTTTTGTTCAATTTGCATCTTTTTAAATGAATTTCGGTTCACTTTCAAGCAAATTCGAGAGTGAAAAACGCATGGATTTGTAGATTTTTGATGCTGATCAAACTGCAAACAGATTTCGCAGCCCCCCAGTCGCGAGAATTGGCGAGTTTTGGTTAGTTTTGGTTTTGGTTTTGGTTTGTTTTGGTTTTGGTTTTGTTATGGTTTTGGTTTTGGTTTGTTTTGGTTTTGGTTTTGTTATGGTTTTGGTTTTGGTTAAGTTTTGTTTTCCGAAGTCTACTTTCAAGCAAATTCGAGAGTGAAAAACGCCTTTTTCGTAAAAATCTATAAAAAACTCTACGGAAAAATTGGCTGAATGAATTTCTCTGAAATTTTGGCGAAATATCAAACGTTTTTTTCTCTATATTTTATCTATTGACACGAAGATAGGTTTTCTTTAGCTAAGGTGTCTAAACCGCATCATCGAGTTAGCCCTTTTTGACTACCCGACTTCATACTCTCAAGAAAATCCAGGCATTCAATATTTTTAAACCCGTTTTAATGTTATTTTGCAGAAAAATAATTGCTTTTTCTAATGAAATCAACCGTAGTTTAATTCGTGCATTTGTTGGCTTGAAACGGCAGACGAAAAGGAACAAAAACACTTATGCATCAACCTAATACTTACAGTACTTGATCCATTTTATCTACATACTTGTTCTAACGATTCCAGTCCTGACACTCACCGAAGCAGTCTTGCCCGGCTGCAAAACGTGCCCAGAAAACGGTTTGTTCTTCATAATTTCAGTTATTTAATCATTTTCAGGTCAATGGTCGCCTTGGAAAGACTTCACATCATGCTCTAAAACTTGTGGCTTTTTTGGGAAAAAGATTCAAAAGAGGACATGTACCTCGTGGGGATATGGATGTGGTTGTAAGTGAGTGCTTCAGATTATCTTCTCTGACAAGAGAAGGACCATTGGGTCCCGTGGCCTTTTCCGATCATATATAGAACATTCAATTTTCCGCAGAAATCATGGACTAGTTCTTCGGGAAAAGCCCTTAATCCCAGTCTCTTTTAAAAAGGTAACCCTTTCAGAGGTGTCTACTCCCGTATTGTCCCTTGTCCAGGCGCTCGTTGCCCAAAGGCCCCATTCTGTGCAACAAGTCACGCAGTCCTTCCCAAGCAGTGCAAACCCATTGCTAGAGCCGATGACTGGATTCCTTCAAAATGCACTTGGAACGGTTCCTTTCAACAAGACTATGAAGAATTCAAGTTTAGCCAAGCTGAACCGGTGCCCTTGTCCAAGCGGGGGTATCTGGTCTGGTTGGTCGAATTCCCTGTCGACTCCATGCAGTGCTTCTTGTGGCCTTTGTGGGATTGTCACTCAAACGAGGAGTTGTATTTCTGGAATACATGGTTCTCCTTGCACGTGTGATACCCAAAAAATGAAGTAATGCTTTTTGCTTTTTAGAGGCCCTTTGAGTCGACAAGTCACTTGTCCACAGGCCCCTTGTCCGCAAACTCCAAAATGCTGTCATGGGGAGCCGGCGGTGAGTTTTTAAATGAATTAATGCACAGTCTCCTTTGTTAGCACAGATTGTTAACTAAGACTAGCTGGATTTAGAAATAAACGGCTCTTGCGTAGTATTTTTGAAATCCGGGTATTTTGAACGGGTCGTCACACCTTGAAGGCCTATACATTTGTCCAGAGATGATAGTTTTGCTAACTCTTCATTGTACAGAGGACATTTCAGGCTTTCAAATGATACCAAGTAGAGGTCGACTGGATTGTTTATTCCCATGGAAACCAGGCAACGCGACACCCGAGTCGGATAGGCTTCATTTGCTCAGAGTCAGCTCTGGTTTTTCTTGGACTGGATTATCGGATCAACCTCTATTTGGTATTATTTGAAAGCCTGAAATGTCCTCTGTATAATGGTTTAAAAAGTTAGCAAAAATATTGTCTTTGGATAAAGTTATAGGCCTTTAAAAGATCATGATTTGTTTAAAATACGCGGAAACTTGGCAAGCGCCAAATAAACTATCATTCAAATGCCAGCATATCAACTTATTATTCATAAAATGAATTTTTAAGTGTTTTTAACTAAAACGCGAAGCTTTTTTTAACTAAAATAACTAAAATTTACATAAATATTCAGTTAAAAATCCTATTCAAATTGTGGTTTTGTGAAGATTTGATGTTAAAGATAAAAAATCTGGAAACGAACACAACAAAATGCTTTCAATTGCCAGCCGATCCTCTTCTCAGCCCTGTTCCCGCTTGTTTGACCACAGGTGGCAATACTTTTTACATCTTCGGTATATTCATGCATTTTTATATCTCTAGATTGTGGCAAGTGTACCCTGACTAGCCCAGTACTCAAAATCGACACCACCACCAATAATATGACTGTACCATTTTCTCAAGGTTTACCTTTAGAATAATAAAAACTTCAACAGCTATCAAAAGTCTTCAGATTCTCTCAATCAAAACGCCCAAGGCTGTGTGATCCGTAGGATGGAGTGTGACTCGGATTTCGTGGATTTCGGCTCAATGGTTGAAGTAAGGCAATCAATTTAGGGCAAGCCAAAGTTATCTAGCTGACAAGAAACTTGAGTTTTGATGAGGTTTTTTGAAAAAACTTTGATTTATCTGTTTAGTTTGTCTAGGTAGTTCAATGCCTAGTTGAATGCGACTCAAAATTCATCTTTAAAAAGCTAATACTATTGTTAAATTGTTCCAGCCTAATCAGTGTTTTGATTTATTGTTTATTTGATTTCCAGTTCGACTACGATTCTTCCAAACAAGTGAGAAATGGAAAGTTCGATGTGGTAGTCGTGTTGACGTGTAATGGGACGGGAGATGGATGGGTGTTCACACCGAATCGACCCGAAACGGACTGGGGCAGCAACACAACGGTCGTTCATGTGGCTCAGTGTTTTGGGCCAACATGTCAGAATACGGGAGATTGTTAAAGAAATCGTTTCTTTTTTACAAGAATTTAAATATAAACTTGTATTTGGCAATAGAAAATGAACATAAAAGCATAAAACTTGAAAGACCTCCAAAAAAATATTAGGTGTGTGAAAAAGTAATCCACGTTTTTAACGTTTAAATATGGAGGCCATTCATCTTTGGTGATCACTGAGGGAAAGTTGGCCACACACCAGTCCTGAACCCTCTTCTTCGTGTGAGCGGGAGCTCCATCTTGCATGAAGGTCCAATTTTGATTGTTATTGGCTTTACACGCCCAAAAAAGGGGGCAAAAAAATAAGAAAGCTATTTGGAAAACGGTCTTTGAACTCTTGTTGCAATAATTATGACGCACCCTGTAGAGTTCGGCAAACAAAACCAAAACCAAAACAGACCAAAACCAAAACCAAAACACCAAAACAAACCAAAACTGAATTTGCATATAAATTAACATGTATTGGGTTGGGGACTATGACTCGGCGCCAAACTTTAAAGACACTTTTTGCACGCATAAAGCCTTCTTTAAATATACATTTTCTTTCATCAAAAGGATCCACTATTTCTCTACAAAATGACTTTTGAGAGATTCCACAAAGCTTTTCTTTCGTGGATTTTATGAACTTCCAAACACAGCTGATCAAAATGGCAAAGAGTCCGACTCATCGTTTGAACAGTTTCTTGCACATAAACCTTCTTTGGTGTCTGTGTAAAAAAGATAGAGCACATTCAATTACATAAGTTGCCAAGTTTGCAGGAAGATCCCACCAATGGTTTTTTCTAGATCACAGTTTGTAGTTTTTGTGAAAAAATGGCTTTTTCTTGAGCGGAGGCGCTGTTTGAATTTTCTTTTAAATGTCATTTTGTAGAGAATTAGTTAACCATTCTACTGATATCAAAAGCATATTATTTGACGAAGTCGAATAGAAGTTTTAGATATTTTCTTGATTTTCGGCGCCGAGTCATAGTCCCCAACCCAATAAATTTAAAATTGTAAAATGCAAATTTTCCTTTCACTTTTTCTCACTCCCCAAAATCTCGCGGCCGAAAAAAGGACCAAAACACGACCTCGAAATTTCGAAACAAAAAATAGCCTATGGGATAGATAGATGAAAATCTTCATCTTCATCATTTTTGTCGCTTTTTTTCTCAAATCTCATGATTTCCATTTCCGGTCTGTGAGTTTTGAGTGATTCCAAGAATTTGGAATCGTTTAGAACGAGTTTTTTTTACTTAAAATGTATTCAACAGCTTTTAAGTGTTATATTAATATTTTAGCTTGTCCTACCTGTGTCTTTTGGAAGAAATCTCTATTTTTTTGGATCAGATGATTGAATACAAAGATCAGATCATTGAGAAGATATGACTACTGAAAATTGACGTGCCAATGGTATGGAACAAGGGGAAATGGAAATATCGAGACTAGGCTAACTATTGAGAAGTACTTGGAAAGTTGAGTTTCGACTCAAAAAATCTGTACAAAGGCACAAAATGTGAACTTTTATTCTTTGTTTTTTCATTTTTTTATGTTCAATAGGTAAAAATAGAACATAGATTTGTCTATTTTTTTGGCAGTCTATTGTTATTTCAGGTTTTATGCTTTTATCTTCATTTTCTATTGCCAGATACAAGTTTATGTTTGAATTCTTGAAAAAAAAGGAACAGTTTCTTTAACAAATTTCCGTATTCTCACATGTTGGCCCAAAGCACTGAGCCACATGGACGACCGATGTGTTCCCGACCCAGTTCGTTTCGGGCCGAGTCGGTGTGAACTCCCATCCATCTCCCGTCCCATTACATACCAATACAGCTCTCACTTCGAAACGACTCCTGCTCACCGATTTGTAAGAATCGTAGTCGAACTGGAAATCAAATAAACACTGATTAGGGTAGAACAATTTAACAATAGTACTAACTTTTTAAAGATGAATTTTGAGTCGCATTCAACTAGACATTCAAAGACTTGGACAAACAAAACAGATAAACACAAGTTTTTACAAAAAAGCTCATCAAAGCTCAAGTTTCTTGTCAGCTAGATAACTTTGGTTTGCCCTCAAAAAAGATTGCCTTACTTTAATCGTTGAGCCAATCCCCGGTACCTCCGTTGGACACTCCATCACACGGACCACACAGCCTTGCGCGTTTTGATTGAGAAAATCTGAAGACTTTTGATAGTTATGGAAGTTTGTATTAAAGGTAAACCTTGAGAAAATGGTACAGTCCTATTATCGGTGGTGGTGTCGATTTCGAGTACTGGAGTAGTTAGGGTGCACCTGGCACAATCTAGAGATATGAAAATGCATAAATATACCGAAGATGTAAAAAGTATTGAAACCTGTGGTCAAACAAGCGGGAACAGGGCTGAGAAGAGGATCGGCTGGCAATTGAAAGCATTTTGTTGTGTTCTTTTCCAGATCTTTTATCTTTAACATCAAATCTTCACAAAACCACAATTTGAATTGGATTTTAAACCGAATGTTGGCCCAAATGCCATCTTTGGTTTTTTTAGATAAAACATCTTTCCTTTTTAGTTAAAAACACTTACCACTTCATTTTATGAATAATAAGTTGATATGCTGGCATTTGTATGATAGTTTCCGGGTATTTTGAACGAATCGTGATCCTTTTAAGGCCTATAACTTTATCCAGAGACAAAATTTTTGCATTTTACCTTAGCATTTTACAGACATTTCATGCTTTCAAATGATACCAAATAGAGGTTGATCCGATAATCCAGTCCAAGAAAATACAATGATATAAAGTACAATGATATAAAGAGTTAGCAAAAATATTGTCTTTGGATAAAGTTATAGGCCTTAAAAGGATCACGATTCGTTCAAAATACCCGGAAACTACGCAAAGGCCGTTTATTGCTAAATCCAGCGTTGGTTAACAATCTGCAGCAGACTGTATATTAATTCATTTAAAAACTCACCACCGGCTGTCCATGACAGCATTTTGGAGTTTGTGGACAAGGAGCCTGTGGACAAGTGACTTGTCGACTCAAGGGGCCTCTAAAAAGCAAAATGGATTACTTCATTTTTGGGTATCTCACGTGCAAGGACAACCATGTATTCCCGAAATACAACTCCTCGTTTGAGTGACAATCCCACAAAGGCCACAAGAAGCGCTGCATGGAGTCGACAGGGAATTCGACCAACCAGACCAGATACCCCCGCTTGGACAAGGGCACAAATTCAGCTTGGCTAAACTTGGACTTTTCAAAATTTTGTTGAAATAAACCGTTCCAAGTGCAATTTGAAGGAATATAGTCATCGACTCTAGCAATGGGTTTGCACTGCTTGGGAAGGACTGTGTGACTTGCTGCACAGAATGGGGCTGTTGGGCAACGAGTGCCTGGACAAGGGACAATACGGGAGTAGACACCTCTGAAAGGGTTTGCTTTTTAAAAGAAACTGGAATTAAGGGTTGTTCTAGAAGAACTAGTCCATGATTTCTGCAGAAAATTCAGCGTTGAATGGTCTATGTATGATCGGAAAAGGCCACGGGACCCAATGGTCCTCCTGTTGTCAGAGAAGATAATCTGAAGCACTCACTTACAACCACATCCATATCCCCACGAGGCACATGTCCTCTTTTGAATCTTCTTCCCAAAAAAAGCCACAAGTTTTAGAGCATGATGTGAAGTCTTTCCAAGGCGACCATTGACCTGAAAATGATTAAATAACTGAAGTTATGAAGATCAAACCGTTTTCCGGACACGTTTTGCAGCCGGGTAAGACTGCTTCGGTGGGTATCAGGACTGGAATTGTTAGAGAATTGAGTAATTTACAAAAAATAAACTTTACTATTTTAGCAACGAAAAATAACCCAAAACTGTAATTTAACTGAAAAATCTTTACAAATTTATGAGCTTAAAGACAAAAGAATAACTTAACCGTAAAAATTACCAAAAAACAGCAACCCAACCATCTTTTCGATCATTTCAATATCAAAAATGCCCAAAATTCAGCTCGATTTTGATGCTCTCTACTCTTTTTGAAAGCTTTTATTCAATGAAATTCAACAATTGCACGCTCTCATCAAAATGAACACAAGTTCTGCAAAAAAGGAACAGATCCGGTTCATTTTTCAAGCTGTTCAAGAGATCAAAGATGGATCAGATCATAATGGGCAACTCTGTTGAATTATTATAAACATGGTTTTTAGTTTTGTTTACCAAAAAAGAATGATCTAATCGGCTTCAGAATTACGTCATCAATCGGCTGAACTTTGGCTCAGTTTTGGTACGGTTTTGAACGACAAAAAGGCACTTTCAGGGAAGATTTAGTGTTTTTAATCTTTTAGTTCAATTTTTCATTAAAAACAATTTCCAAACTTTAAACGAACTGGCTTAAGTTGAATAGAATCAAATAAAAACTTAAATTTTAGACTAAAATCAGTCCTGTGACTTCCTTTAAGATGATTTTGAAGAAAAACATACAAATTCGGTGTCAGAGGACTTTGAAATATGGATTTTTTTTTGAAGAAACTTTTTATAAGAATAATAATTGCCTCCGGTTATGACAAACTCCAAATTTGCTGGTCAAAAAAAGATCACTCAAGCCAAATCACATACTAATTTAGACAGGTGTCAACTGGAGTTGGCACAAGTTTCAAACGGATGGGTGAATGCCGGTGTTGAATTGGCCGAGAAAGCATGAGCTCTGTTGGCCTTGGTTTCCCTTTAAATCTTTTTTGATTTGTGGGCTTTTATAAACAAAAACAACTCATTTCCTTATGCAATTTTGAATGCAAACGTTTTCAGAGGTCTATCGCCTACGAAAAGTCGACCAAAACAAGGATAATTGACTGAAAAGATGGTACAATTTGAAATTTTTTTTGTTTTTCGTTATTCTCATATGTGGCTCTATCAAACCGAATTCAATATTTTGGATTTATTTCAAATTTCATCTTGAATCTAGCTTTATAGTCCACACACAGCTTTAGTAGCAAATTTAACAAGTAGTTAGCAAATTTTGTGTCAAAAGCTGAGCTCAAAGCTCAAAAGGTAAAAGATTGAAATGCTGGAGTCTTTTTGAAGATTTCATTGATATTCTTCTATCGGTGCTTTAGTTTTATTAAATAAAATTGTAAATTGTAAGTTTCAGCGATGAGAAAAAGCTTGAAAATTCTAAAAAGCTTTGGTTTAAATGAATTTAAAGTTTGGATAAGTGCATTGTTGAAATTTTTGGAACGTTTGAACCATGTAAAATTTTGCACTCTAATCATTTTTGTTGCTTTACCTAATCATTGTCTTATCAGGACTTATGATTGATTTAAATAATCACCGAGAGTTCAAGTCTTCAAGGAATTTCTGTCATCACATTTTGATTGTTGTACATAAAATCCAATCAAGGCAGCCGATCTATTCATTATTAGGCAGCCGGCAGCCGATCTATCCATCATTAGAAACACTTTTGTCTTCCTTACAACATAAAAAAGAACTTGTAATGCTTTATGCTGACGCAAATTTAATTTTAATGCAATCTTTATTGATTTCTGTGTAGACTTTTCGAATCACTTGCAATATCCACAGGTCTTTGGGCAGTAGGATCTCTTGGCATCATCCCCGTACATCGATGAGCTCGAGCAGAAGCCGTTGTTCTTCCAGTTTGCACAACTGGAAATGCTCATTCAATAATTCATTCAATTCAATAAGTCTAGTTGAAATTCAAATTAAAGTGAGCAAAGTTGTTTTTCCATTTGAAATGCTCATTTGAAATGCTCACTCACCTTGCCGTGTTGTCCACGCACTAAAAATGAATTAGTTACTTTTTTCGAGTTAAACCCTTACCGCATAACAGTTTTCAGAGCCGTTCACCAAGTAGCAAGTGCCCAATGCACAAACTCCTCCAATAGCAGCTAAAAATGAGAAAATGAAGTGTAACTTGTAGTGAAACCCAATTTCATATGCATAGCTATCTGACAATGTCAACTATTTGTAAGTCTTGTTCCTATTTCATTTGACTGGATCAGTCGGTTGATCAGAATTGGCTAACTGTTTAAAAGCCAGGGCTATGTTCATGGCCTTGAAAATTGGTTCTTACAGTTAGAGCAGCCTTACAGTTGACCCAGCTAGGGTGATTTAATGAGAAAAGTTCGTTCCAAAATCGTTGAATACCTTGGTCAGTTGATTGGTTTTTGTTACAACTTCGAATCTGTAGTTTATCTGTAACTAGAAATGACTCACGTCCAATAACGGCTGTATTGACGGCGGTCGAAGATGGTGGGCAAGTGGGGGACCGCTGGAAAAGGTACATTTAAATTTCAATGAAATGAAATCCTCTCACCGTGAAACAGTAGTCACCTCCGTTCACCGCGAAACAATTGTATCCAGCGATACATGACCCTCCGACAGCCGCTGAAAAAGAAAGTCGCTTCGTTTTTTCGTTTTTTTTGAACTTTTTTTATAGTATTAGTGATTCTTATTCTTTTTATAATTAGATTTTTTAATCAAAATGAAATTTTTTTTCTTTCTTACGTCCAATGGAGAATAAAGCATTACAAGTTCGCATGATGCCAAGAGATCCTACTGCCCAAAGACCTGTGGATATTGCAAATGATTCGAAAAGTCTACACAGGAATCAATAAAGATTGCATTAAAATTAAATTTACGTCAGCATAAAGCATTGCAAGTTCTTTTTTATGTTGTAAGGAAGACAAAAGTGTTTCTAATAATGAATAGATCGGCTACCTTGATTGGATTTTATGTACAGCGATTAAGAAGTGATGACAGAAACTCCTTGAACACTTGAACTCTCGGTTGAAATTATTGAATTATTGAAATCAATCATAAGTCCTGATAAGACAATGATTAGGTAAAGCAGCAAAAATGATTAGGGTTGCAAAATTTTAGATGGTTCAAACATTCTAAACATTCCAACAATGCACTTATCCAAACTTTAAATTCATTTAAATTCTTTCTTACGTCCAATGGAATCTTTTGCGTTGAGAAGTGAAGACTTTTGGCAAGCTGAGTAGGCCTGAAATAAAAGAACTTTAACTTTAATGGAAAACTAACTGGAAATCAAGAAATGCTCTTCTGCTATAATGATTTTTCATAGTATCTAGAATTTAAAATAGTTAATCTTCTTTACAATTATGGTCAGGATATTCCTGAAGTCCAAAACATTTGTTTTTTTACATGGAAAAGATGAAAAAATAGTGATAGATTGCTAATAAAATTGACGAATAATAAGCCAGACTTTAGAGAATTTACCTAATTAGAGAATTGAAACTAACAGATCAAATAATCTGAAGGTATGAAATGAAAATGAAACCTGTCCGATGAGAAGAGCGTTCACGAGGCAGAAGACGACGATTTGGTGCATTCTTTGTTGTCCAGTTGTCGTTGTCCAAAGAATTGGATTGTGATACGGCTCATTTCTCGGTAAAACGCTTAAATAGTAACAGATTACGTGGGGAAAAAAATCGTTCAATGAAACTTGGAATGAGAAAATGTCAAATTTGGCAACAACTGAGTAAACTGAGCGCGCTTTGAAGACTTCGATGCACATTTCGGCACAACATTTCATGGGTGCAGCTTGCTTTTTCTGGGTTTCTCCTCTTTGAAAGCAAACATACCGCCCACGGGAATGCCCCGTCTGCAAAGACTACACAAGTCTACTGTATTTGTACTTTCATTTCAGTCAAATCAATTTTCAAGCTTTTTCTCATCGCTGAAACTTACAATCTACAATTTTATTTAATAAAACTAAAGCACCGATAGAAGAATATCAATGAAATCTTCAAAAAGACTCCAGCATTTCAATCTTTTACCTTTTGAGATTTGAGCTCAGCTTTTAAGACAAAATTTGCTAACTACTTGCTAAATTTGTTACTAAAGTTGTGTGTGGACTTTAAAGCTAGATTCAAGGGGAAATTTAAAATAAATCCAAAATATTGAATTCCTTTTTGATAGAGTCACATATCAGAATAACGAAAAATGAAAAAAAGATTCCAAATTGTACCATCTTTTCAGTCAATTATCCCTTGTTTTGGACGACTTTTCGTAGGCGATAGACCTCTGAAAACGTTTGCATTCAAAATTGCACAACTCCAAAGAAATGGGTTGTTTTTTGTTTAGAAAAGCTCACAAATCAAAAAAGATCAGCTGATTTCCGCTCTGGTGACATCCCGGACATGCTTTCATGGCTAAATATCGAATCTACAGAGGTTTGTCAAGCGATTCCCCAATCAAGCGCAGATAGGAAATCTTTCCATCGGATCTGACAATCTATTAAATCTGAAACACAATTTTCTGTTCTTTAAAACGTGTTCCTTAGCATTTAAAGGGAAACCAAGGCCAACAGAGCTCATGCTTTCCCGGCCAACTCAACACCGGCATTCACCCATCCGTTTGAAACTTGTGCCAACTCCAGTTGACACCTGTCTAAATTAGTATGTGATTTGGCTTGAGTGATCTTTTTTTGACCAGCAAATTTGGAGTTTGTCGTAACCGGAGGCAATTATTATTCTTATAAAAAGTTTCTTCAAAAAAAATCCATATTTCAAAGTCCTCTGACACCGAATTTGTATGTTTTTCTTCAAAATCATCTTAAAGGAAGTCACAGGACTGATTTTGGTCTAAAATCAAAGTTTTGATTTGATTCGACTCAACTTAAACCAGTTCGTTTAACGCTTGGAAATTGTTTTTAATGAAAAATCGACAAAAATTGAACTCAACAGCTTATAAACACTAAATCTTAGCTGAAAGTGCCTTTTTGTCGTTCAAAACCGTCCCAAAACTGAGCCAAAGTTCAGCCGATTGATGACGTAATTCTGAAGCCGATTAGATCATTCTTTTTTGGTAAACAAAACTAAAAACTATTTTTATAATAATTCAACAGAGTTGCCCATTATGATCTGATCCATCTTTGATCTCTTGAACAGCTTTAAAAATGAACCGGATCTGTTCCTTTTTTGCAGAACTTGTGTTCATTTTGATGAGAGCGTGCAATTGTTGAATTTCATTGAATAAAAGCTTTCAAAAAAAGTAGAAAGCATAAAAGTCAAGCTGAATTTTGGCCATTTTTGATATTGAAATGATCGAAAAGATGATTGGGTTCCTGTTTTTTGGTAAGTTTTACGGTTAAGTTATTCTTTTGTCTTTAAGCTCATAAATTTGTAAGTTTTAAGATTAAATTACAGTTTTGGGGTATTTTTCGTTGCTTAAATAGTTTTGGAACTCAATTTTTGATCCTTTTTTTTAAGATTTAACGACCAGAATTTTGGAGTTTTAGTTTTTCCGATCATACATAGACCATTCAACGCTGAATTTTCTGCAGAAATCATGGACTAGTTCTTCTAGAACAACCCTTAATTCCAGTTTCTTTTAAAAAGCAAACCCTTTCAGAGGTGTCTACTCCCGTATTGTCCCTTGTCCAGGCACTCGTTGCCCAACAGCTCCATTCTGTGCAACAAATCACACAGTCCTTCCCAAGCAGTGCAAACCCATTGCTAGAGCCGATGACTATATTCCTTCAAATTGCACTTGGAACGGTTTATTTCAGCAAGATTTTGAAGAATTCAAGTTTAGTCAAGCTGAACTTGTGCCCTTGTCCAAGCGGGGGTATCTGGTCTGGTTGGTCGAATTCCCCGTCGACTCCATGCAGCGCTTCTTGTGGCCTTTGTGGGATTGTCACTCAAACGAGGAGTTGTATTTCTGGAATACATGGTTGTCCTTGCACGTGTGATACCCAAAAAATGAAGTAATCCTTTTTGCTTTTTAGAGGCCCTTTGAGTCGACAAGTCACTTGTCCACAGGCCCCTTGTCCGCAAACTCCAAAATGCTGTCATGGGGAGCCGGTGGTCAGTTTTTAAAGGAATTAATATACAGTCTGCTGCAGATTGTTAACTAAAACTAGCTGGATTTATTGGGTTGGGGACTATGACTCGGCGCCAAACTTTAAAGACACTTTTTGCACGCATAAAGCCTTCTTTAAATATACATTTTCTTTCATCAAAAGGATCCACTATTTCTCTACAAAATGACTTTTGAGAGATTCCACAAAGCTTTTCTTTCGTGGATTTTATGAGCTTCCAAACACAGCTGATCAAAATGGCAAAGAGTCCGATTCATCGTTTGAACAGTTTCTTGCACATAAACCTTCTTTGGTGTCTGTGTAAAAAAGATAGAGCACATTCAATTACATAAGTTGCCAAATTTGCAGGAAGATCCCTTCAACCTTTTTTTCTAGATGACACTTTGTAGTTTTGGTGAAAAAATGGCCTTTTCTTGAGCTGAGGCGCTGTTTGAGTTTTCTTTTAAATGTCATTTTGTAGAGAATTAGTTAACTTTTCTACTGATATCAAGCGCGTATCATTTGACGAAGTCTGCTAGAAGTTTCAGAAATTTTTTTGATTTTCGGCGCCGAGTCATAGTCCCCAACCCAATAGAAACCAACGACTCTTACGTAGTTTCCGGGTATTTTGAACGGGTCGTCACGCTTTGAAGGCCTATGACTTTGTCCAGTGTTGATATTTTTGCTAACTCTTTATATCATTGTGCAGAGGACATTTCAGGCTTTCAAATGATACCAAATAGAGGTTGACTACATTTTTCATTCCCATGGAAACCAGCCGACACGACACCCGAGTCGGATAGGCTTCATTTGCTCAGAGTCAACTCTGATTGTCTTGGACTGGATGATCCAATCAACCTCTATTTGGTGTCATTTGAAAGCTTGAAATGTCCTCTGGAAAATACTATAAAAAGTTAGCAAAAATATTGTTTCGGGATAAAGTTATAGGCCTCCAAAGGGTGACGATTCGTTTAAAATACACGGAAGCTTGGTAAGCGCCAAATAAACTCTCATTCAAATGCCAGCATATCAGCTTATTATTCTTAAAATGAAGTTGTAAGTGCTTTTAACTAAAAAGGAAATCTTTTTTTAACTAAAATAACTAAAACTTGAATAAATATTCAATTTAAAATCCAATTCAAATTGTGGTTTTGTGAAGATTTGATGTTAAAGATAAAAGATCTGGAAAAGAACACAACAAAATGCTTTCAATTGCCAGCCGATCCTCTTCTCAGCCCTGTTCCCGCTTGTTTGACCACAGGTTGCAATACTGTTCATTTTATTTATTCATTTCTTATATCTCTAGATTGTGGCAAGTGTACCATGACTTCTCCAGTACTCGAAATCGACACCACCACCAGTAATAAGACTGTACCATTTTATCCAGGTTTAGCTTTAGAATAATAAAATTCTATCAAAAGTCTTCAGATTTTCTCAGGCAAAACGCACAAGGCTGCGTGGTCCGTGTGATGGGGTGTCCGACGGAGATCCCGGGGGTTGGCTCAATGCTTGAAGTGAGGCAATCATTTTAGGACAAACCAAAGTTATCTAGCTGACAAGAAACTTGAGTTTTGATGAGCTTTTTTGTAAAATAGTTTATCTATTTAGTTTATCCAGGTAGTTCAATGTCTAGTTCAACTCAAAATTCATCTTTAAAAAGCTAATACTATTGTTAAATTGTTCTAGCCTAAGCAGTGCTTATTTGATTTCCAGTTCGACTACGATTATAACAAAGCGGTGAGCAGGAGTCGCTTCGATGTGACAGCCGTATTGGTATGTAATGGGACGGGAGATGGATGGGAGTTCACACCGCGTCGGCCCGAAACGAACTGGGTCGGCAACAAATCGGTCGTCCATGTGGCGCAGTGTTTTGGGCCAACATGTGAGAATACGAACGCTTGTTAAAGAAATTGTTTCTTTTTCTTCAAGAATTGAAATATAAACTTGTATCTGGCAATAGAAAATGAAGATAAAAGGCAAAATAAAAGCATAAAACCTGAAATAACAATAGAATTCCAAAAAATAGCCAAATTTACGTTCTATTTTTTCCTATTGAACATAAAAAGGTGAAAAAAAGAACAAAAGTTCAGATTTTGTACCTTTGTACATATTTTTTTTGAGTTCAAGATCAGCTTTCCAAGTACATCTCAATAGTTAGCCTAGTCTCGACATTCCCATTTCCCCTTGTTCCATCCCGTTGTCACTTCAATTTTCAGTAGTCATATCGTTTCAATCATCTCATCTTTGTATTCAATCATCTGATCATCTGATCAATATATTTTAATTCAGGAAAACCTCAACAAATGCATGAAAAGCTGTTAAGAAAAGACCATCTTTCGTTCTAAAAGACTTTCGAAAGCTATGGTCTAATCTGAAATGTTCCCTAAATTCATGAGTATTACGAGCCTGAGAAATAATATAAAAATTGAGCTGATTAAAAAAACACATAATTTGATTGCAGTAGTTTTCTAAAACAAGTTTTTTAGAATATGATCATTCCAAGAAGCAAACTTTCACATCTAACTTGGCCTCTAATCCTTTCAAATTTGATAGAAATTCCTCGAAATCCTCCTCAAAGTCATCACCTATTTTTCTGAAATTTAAACGATAATTTTTAGAATTTGAAGACCAAATGTTTAATTCTAGATTCTAATTCAGAAAAATGCTCATTCAAAAAGCTACTAAGCCGAAGCCACGAACGATTCTGGGTCGACTCGAACCACCAACCTTTCCTTTCCGCAGCCGAACGTGCTAACCATTGCGCCATAGAAGCTCGTCACGTCAAACGTAAAAAGTCCTTTAAGAAGAAGCTATCAAAAATGGTTTCTTTAGGCAATATAGTCCTCGGCTCTAGCAATCGAGTTAAATGAATGAGATGAGAGCGGACGTTAAGATTATCCATTCATTGACAACTACAGAGTGAGTTTAGAGTGACTATTAGGTTCAAGTACTGCGTTTAAATGAGTAAATGAGTACTACTTGGAATTGCTATTGAATGAACTTTATCCAGACCATGATTTAGACTTGTTTAAGGTCAATGAATCAAAGCTTTAACTGGGTAAGAGAGCGAGAAAGATCGCTTTATAGAGACATTACCGAATAATGTTTTTGAATAAGATCACGAACTTTTCAAAGTATTAAAATAACAAAGAAAGAAAATAACAAAGAACTAATACTAATCCATGGGAAAATGGATTTGAACTTTCAAAGGTATCAATTTCACCGAAAATGGATTCGGTGAAAGCGTCTTTGGTTGTTTTTGATTTTTGGTTGCTGAGGGGGAAAAGCCCGAACCCGGCGTCAAGCCAAATGTGCATGAGAAGAAGTTTATGCTCTCGGTGTTCTAGGTTTTAGAAGAGCCTATCTACTGGGAACTTTCGGATAGCAAGACAACACTCAACTTAATCAAATACTTTGAGCAACTTGACAAGTCAGCCAAATCTTTGCTAGAGAAAAGACGCCAAAGAGAAAAATCATGCTTCAACATGATAATGCTAGGCCGAATGTTTCGAAGACGACTCGTTCTACACTAAACTCACTTGGATGGAAGGTGATGGCCCATCCGGCATACAGCTCTCATCTTGCACCTTATGATTAATATTGATTCCGAGCGAAGAGCAATGATTAGAGATGGGCAAGAGAGCGAGAAAGATCGCTTTATTGAGACATTACCGAATAATATTTTTGAATAAGATCACGAACTTTTCAAAGTATTAAAATAACAAAGAATTACTGACTAATACTAATCAATGGGAAAATGGATTCTAACTTTCAATGGTGTCAATTTCACCGAAAATGGATTCGGTGGAAGCGTCAATGAGTTGCTGAGGGGGAAAAGACTGACGTCATGCCAAATGTGCATGAGAAGAAGTTTACGCTCCCGTTGTTCTGGTTCTGGTTCTGGATCAGATCCCATCTACTGGGAACTTTTGGATAGCAAGACAACGCTTAACTAAAGCGACTAAATCAAATACTCGATCTAATACTCCGAGCAACTTAAGAAGTCAGTCAAAACTTTGCCAGAGAGAAAAATCATCCTTCAACATGATGTTTAGAGCTGTTCAGAGTTTATATCTACACCTAAGCCTGAACATTTCTTCCAAAAGACACAGCTAGGACAAGCTTAGAAGTCTTAAAATCTATCACTTAAAAGCTGTTGAGCACATTTTCGGCATAAAAACTTTTTTCCAAAAATTTTGCATTTCGAAAGTTGCAAACAACAAAAAAAAACAGACAGTTCCATGAGAAAAATCTGATTTTAACTTTTACAGTTCGATGACTATTAGATATGCAAATGTAAATGTAGATAATCCACAAGCTGTGACCATTTCTTTTCTCTACTTATGTCTCTTTTTCTCAAACAAAAGTTTCTCTTCTTTTGAAGCAAAAATTTCCAGTATCTATAGATATTAGAGGATATCAGAGGAAATATATTAGAGAATAATTTGGAAACTTTGACTCAGAGAACTCGTTGTGAATTACCTTACAGGTCCGCTGTCCTGCCTCGGTTCACTCAGAGACTCTTTGTCTTTTTTATCGTATCGAATTGTTCCACGGAACATGAATTCGATAATTATTGGGGTTCTGGGAATTCGAAATTCTTTCTTTCTCGTGGGACTCAAAGAGTTTTCGGTACACGAAAGATTCGAACCCGAGAGGAATTTTTTACAAATTTGGAGCCAATTCCACTTGGCCATACTGGTATGAGAGGCCGGCCATGGAAAGGGAATTTGAATGTAGGCCAGGTTAGAGAGTGTGGAGACATAGACTAACATACAGTGATAAGGGAACGGTTAACGGGAGGAGAAGGGGAGAAGGGGAGAGGGGGAGAGGGGGACTCTTGATAAAATTACTGATCTTTTTGAAGTACTGCGGTTTCCTTCTTCTCCTCTTCAAGATCTTCAAGGTCTTCAGTTTTTTCAACTATTTATTTACAAACTAAACATTCAAACAAACAATTATTCAAACTTTTTTAGAAACGGTCAAATATACACCAAAAATGAAAAAAAAAGATTAGAAAAAAGTCAAGCAAGGCATTTTCTCGTACAAAATATTGAAGAGAGTCTACAGAAAATAAATTTAAAAAAAGCAGAACATTATTGCATTTAAATTACAGCATTAAAACAGAAATTTGCATTTGAAAGATTGGGGGAAACTCGGAAAACTACAGTAATCCCGTGAAGAGATTGAGTTTTAAAAGGAGAGAGAGTACATAAAAAGAATCAAAAAATGTCATGATTTCGCTGTAGCTGTGGTGACCTGAAATTTGAGATCGTTTCTCGAATCTTCACATTTCTTATTATGCATAAAAACGGAAACACATCCTTTCTGAGATGCTCAATTCTTAAATGAAACTTGGGTAATTAAACCGGATGAAATCACCTTCCGGTTCCGTTTACCCAGACCAGTGTACCAGATGCCGCTTTTTCTTACGAGCGACATGCAAGGTACACACACTTTTCGATTAGCTAGTGATTTGATTTCGTTCTCTTGTTCCCGTAATCTGGCACACGAAACTTGGGTAATTAAACCGGTCGAAGTCGCTTTCCGGTCGTCTCTATCCAGACTCGTGTGCCAGATGCCACTTTTTCTTACGAGCGACAGGGAAGGTACACACTCTTCTATTAGCTAGTCAAATTCTGATTTGATTTCGTTCTCTTGTTCCCATAATCTGGCATACGAAACTTGGGTAATTAAACCGGATGAACTCGCTTTCCGGTTCCCTTTACCCAGACCAGTGTACCAGATGCCGCTTTTTCTTACGAGCGACATGCAAGGTACACACACTCTTCTATTAGCTAGTCAAATTCTGATTTGATTTCGTTCTCTTGTTCCCGTAATCTGGCACACGAAACTTGGGTAATTAAACCGGCCGAAGTCGCTTTCCGGCCATCTCTATGCAGACCCGTGTGCCAGATGCCACTTTTTCTTACGAGCGACAGGGAAAGAACGCACAGTATCTTTTCAAAAACTTACAGCCACAGATTTGCGTTGTTTTGCAATTTGTGATGGATGTGGTGGAGTGGGTGATTGATTTGATGGCGGATGGGGATGGCCCTTCTTATGTGAGGAGGTTAGGGACCTCCTGAATTGAAGAAATCGGACAGTTGAATGTATTTGAATGGATTTTCATCATTGACACATTTCACCCCACTCACAAACAAACAATAACAACAAAATTGACATCAATTGAGAGATCCAGAGGGAGAGATTCACTCGTAGCCCTATAGAAGAGATGTTTGGGGATGGAGAAGTCTAATTCTTTTGGAATTTCAACTAGTAGAGATGTTTGGGGATGGGGAAGTCTAATTCTTTCGGGAAAATCAAGTTTGTTGATGCCTTTTAGTATTTGCTTTTGAATCAAAGCTAGAATTGGCAACCAGAACTAGAATAAACTTCTTAAACTTAAACTTAACAATAAGATTCAAGTTCTTAAAGCATGTTTTGGGAGATGGGGAAGTCTAATTCTTTTGGAATTTCAGGTAGTAGAGATGTTTGGGGATGGGGAAGTCTAATTCCATTGGTGATAGTGATTTGACTGATTCAATTGATGCAATTGCTCATGCGCAATGGTTACTTCCGTTAAAAAAAACCACAAATTCATCAGCTAATGATTTCCTCTAAATAAAAAGTTTTTCTTGTTCAATTTCATCATTTTTAAGTCAATTTCGATTCAATTAAAACGAAAATTCGAGAATGAAAACAAGTGTTTCGTAAAAACGTCGCAAAAAATCGTCTTTTCGATGTTTTCAATTTGAAAAATGGCCAAAACTCAGCTCAACACCCATGCTTTCTTTTTTGCCTTTTATCTATTGCCATGAAGCTTTTTATCTATTGCCAAAGTGTCTAAAATATATGATCGAGCTGACTTTTTGACTACTCGACTTTACGCTTTCAAAAGAAATCTAAAAATAAGACATTTAAAACTCGTTTTTTCATATTATTTTGCAGAAAAATAATTGGCTTTTAATGAAATAGGTGAATTGGTAAAGTTATTTTTGAACGGAAGTACAAAAGAATGAAAAGATTTTCGGGACGGCTTAATATTTCACTTTACAACCACCACAGATTTGTTACAGAAAGAGAGAAAGAGTCTGCGAGTTTACTGTTACTTTTGATATATCAGAAGTTTTAAAATATCAGAAATATTTCTAATTGATAAGGATTTCTCAGTAAATATTTCTAATCAATCTCTCTAAATTCCAATAAAACTAAAGCACGCTTATTTTGTGGGTAATTTAGAAATTGAAACAGAAATCTACTATATATAAAGCAGAAGAGACGGTAGAGCAGAAGAGACATTTGTCTGTCTGTCTGTCTGTCTGTCTGTCTGTCTGTCTGTCTGTCTGTCTGTCTGTTTATCTGTCTGTCTGTCTGTCTACCTGTCTGTCCGTCTATTTGTCTGCCGCTGTTTGTCTGTCTGTCTGTTTGGCTGTCCGTCCATTTGTCTGTCCGACTATTTGTCTGTCTGTTTCTTTGTCTGTCCGACTGTTTGTCTGTCTGCCTGCCTGTCCGTCTGCCTGTCCGCCTGTCTGTCCATCTGTCTGTCCGTTTCTCTGTCCATCTGTCTATGCGCAGCCATTTGCAAAAAGGCGTGGGGCTTAGATTGCGCGAAAAACCTGGACCTCCGCTAGTATATGAATTTTCATTTCAATTTCTGTTTTTATAACTCTAGATTAAAATGGGAATGTGAAGAAAAAGTCAAAGAAAAGCGTTGAGCAAGTTAAATGAAATTCGGCAAGAAAAGTCAAAAGTTTTAAAGCTGAACCAAAAAACTACAAAGCTCCAAAGAGTCTGAGTCCGATTTCAGATTGGAACTTCATAGTTTTCCTTCTAATAAAAGATTAAAATACGAAAAGTCGACTGAAGACTTCTTTAGGTTCTGGGGAAAAACACCTGAAATTTCACAAAAGATTTTGAGTTTTCTGACTTTTTATAACAAACCGAAGAACATTTTCTCAATTTCTTTGAAATTTCGGAAATTTTCATGCAAGCAGCGCATTTTTAAGAACAGAGTTTAGTGAAAACATTGAAGAAAACACGACAAAGACATTTATGGAGAGCTGTTTAAATCAAAATATTATGTATCTATGTAGATCTTTGTAAGAAGTGCATCAGAAGCGTTTTCTTCTTTACAGTTCTTTACAATTCACAGCCTAAAGTACATCAATGACTTGTCAGTAAATGGTTTTAGTCTCGTTTTCGGGTCTTTTTTTTGACATCACAACGATATGTCGTAGCCGATTATGAATGAAATTTTTTGGTAAATCTTTCTAGTAGAGCAACCCTTTAATGTATGAGGACAATATTATATCATCCTGTAGCGAATTCAATTCTGCGTCGATTGGTACCAAATTTGTGAGTTTAGGTTAAAAATTACCGGCGCTACAACGTTTCATTCAAAATCGGCGGGACCCCCGTAGCCGATGATGAATTTCAGCCGATTATGAATGAGTGGGTCTAGGAGCGTCCAACCATCAAGTTTTTGGTATCATTCAACGCAGAATCATTAATAATTATGTTAAATTTTTTAAATTAGAAAGATTTGATAAAAAGAAAAAAAATTAGAGCAAAAAAAATTGTTTGTTCAAGAGGAAACTTTGAGGCCCCATAATTTTTTTTTCTTTTTATCCAATCTTTCTAATTTTAAAAATTTAACATAATTATTAATGATTCTGCGTTGAATGTTACCAAATACTTGATGGTTGGACGCTCCTAGACCCACTCATTCATAATCGGCTACGACAAATACATTCCAAAGATTAGAGTGAGAAATTCTGAAATCAGCCATTCCCATTCAAAACATAAAAATGTGAAAAGGGGAAATGTGTTACTGACCATCCTTGAATGTCCACAAGATGAGGCTGAAAAAATGTGATTGAGGGGAAAACAAAATGTTTATCTAGAGGTTATGAAATGGACAGTCTATCCGCTAGTGTACGCTTTTGAAAGATCTACAATAGACAACAATGAACAACTAAATTGTAGAAATGTAGAAATTCTATGACTCAAAGATCTAAGCTGTTCAAGAAAGTCTTTTAAGTGATCACACAGGGTTGGTTGATGTCAGAATTTCGAAATTTCTAGCAGCCTACTTCTAAGTCAGAAGTTTGAGTTTAAACTTAAACTTAAGCTATTGATCTAAAACTGGACTGAAGTTGTGACTCTGATTTTCACGAGAGCATACAAAAAGAGAGAACAAACAGACAACGGGACACCACTTTCACCGAACTTCTGAATGGAGATGATACGTCTGTTCATGAGTCTTACTGATTCATCTTACAGTCTTACTGATTATCTTATAGATCTTCCAGATCATCTTGAATCTTGAATTAGATTCAGATCTGAGTGTTCTTAGTCTATCTGCTCAGCAGATTATCTATCTAATCATCTGATAGATAATCTGATTAGATAGATAATCTGCTGAGCAGATAGACTAAGAACACTCAGATCTGAATCTAATTTCAAGATGATCTGGTCATCCAGTCAACTCAAGTGATCCAGTCAACTCAAGCCATCCAGCCAACTCAAGTCAAGCTTTAGCTTAGAAAACCCTCGATCCACTAGCCTTGATCTAGCCTGGATTTGACTATACTTGAAAGATTATGGATCCGGTATAAAACTAGATAACAAGCTAGATCTAATCCAGGTTTCATGATCAGACGTAACATCGACATTGCACAGTACAATAGCGATTTCTCTATGAGGGATCTCCCTCAACTTACTTCCGGACAGCTTGCTCGGCGAAACATCGACGCTTTATGCGCTACCTGCATGAACACACACTTGTCTATTATTACATTCGAACTTGCTAGAGCTCGAAATCTTCAATCGATCGAGAGATAGACTTGTCGATTGATTTGGGATTTGGGAAAGGGCACAGGCTTTGAATTGTCTTTGAGCTAATAAATAATGACAATGCTGGGACTGTGATTGTCACAGTGTACGGTATCGTTCAATGTGCCAGATCCTGTGTGTTTTCAAATCTCAAATCAAGCAATCAACAAGTCGATTCCCCAAATGAAGCCTTTCCTCTCGTTTGCCCTTTTCTCTCACCTGTTCCATCTCGCGAACCATCATCTTTTTGATGAGTCCTTTGTGGTTCATTGGATGGCCAAGATCGTTGTGAATGTCCTGAAAAAAGAAATGTACAGTACTGGACAATGAAATATGATATTTGAAAAAACGATCGTCACTTTCGCGCGTCTGTAACTCCGTTGTCTTTGAGTTGAAACTATTAGTGTTATACATTTTCTGAAAGCTCTTTTCAAGGGCTACACAATGGTAATATTAATATTTCGAAATACGGTAAAGACAAAGGAATTACAGAGGTGCGAAAGTGTTTTTTCAAATATCATATTTCATTGTCCAGTAGTGTATCACTTTTAAATTAAAATCAAAAAATCTATAAATGAATATCTGAATAGCTGAATATCTGAATCTCTGAATCTCTGGATCTCTAGATCTCTGGATCTCTGGATCTCTGGATCTCTTAATCCTTTCCAAAGCCAACCTCAAAAGGCTCGTGTTCCGAATCGGTCGAGGTGAACACGTGGGTGACCTGAAAAAAGGAAATTTTTCATTTTTCGTTTCTAATTTCTATTTTAAGTGAAATTTCCGGGTTTCAATTTTTCAAAGAATTTCTCGTCGTTTCAATTTCAAACAATTTCTCGATCGGGTAAAATCACTGATTTCCTCGTTATTTAAGCCAAATTTAAACACTTTAGACGATCAAAAAATATCACTTTTTTTTCTGGAAAACGATCAGAAAGTTATAAATAAGGAGAACTTTTACGATTCTTTTTTTCTTTTTTTTGAACTATTTATTTTGGACAACAAGTGTCAGCTGATTGAGGAAAAGTTGAGAAAAATAAGTTTTTCTGGGTTCTTTCAAGTGATAGCCAGCTTTGAATAAATAATTGTTCGGGAAATTGATTGATAAAGAGATTGATAAAGAGAAAGTTTTAAATTCAAAAGAATAATGTAAGCTGACATAAGATTACTCTAGATTTTTTGGACTCTGGACTCTGGACATAAGCTGTAAGCTGAATGTAAGCTGTTAGCTGAATGTAAGCTGTTAGCTGAATGTAAGCTGTTAGCTGAGTGTAAGCTGACATAAGCTGAATGCAAGCTGGCATTGATTTAAAGCTACAAAGCCTTCGTATAAAACTTTGAGACTCTAAATTTCGAAAGAAAAAATCAAAAAATCGGTATTTATTAAACTATAAATGTATAGAATGACCAGTCCGGAGTATCAAAATTTAATTTTTGGCTAAAAGATGGAGTTGATGTTCAAGAAGTTGATGAAAGAATGGTTCAAATCGTGCAAATGAATCGCAAAATCGATTTCTCGTCACCCGACACACCAATGAGAACAAAAAAGCCAAATAAGAACAAGAATTTCTACAATAATCCCTAGAAAAAACATAAAACTTGATGAGAAATCAAGTTTGAAAAAAAGTAAATGTTTTCTAATTAAACAAAGTCTAAAATATTTTTGAAAAAAAGGTTATTTTTAGAGAGTAATCCGTCCCTTGGGATCTGAAAAGCGTTTTAAATAACATTTTAATGATAATTTCTGCAAATAATCTCTGGAATTCACCCCGAATTCCCCTGTAAATTCCACCCACTCTAATTCTAATTCTAATTCGTAATTTATAGGGGAATTCGGGGTGAATTCCAGAGATTACTTGCAGAAATTATCCTAAAAATGTTATTTGAATAGATCAGGATTAGAGTATTCAGTTGAGCGGAAAGAAATCGAGAAAATCGAGGAAATCGAGAAGTTCGAGGTGATGTTATGTGGGGGAGAGCGAGTGGATATTTTCACTGAATTTCTTATTTCAATCATTAATATTTATCGTTTATCGGGTTGATTCTGGGTGAAGATATGGGTAAATAGGAGATATTAGCTTTAGAGTTTGATGGGCTTTTGAGAACTAGAGCAGCTAGAGCAGCTAGAGATGAGAACTAGAGCAGCTAGAGCAGCTAGAGATGAGAACTAGAGCAGCTAGAGCAGCTAGAGATGAGAACTAGAGCAGCTAGAGCAGCTAGAGATGAGAACTAGAGCAGCTAGAGATGGGAACTAGAGCAGCTAGAGCAGCTAGAGATGAGAACTAGAGCAGCTAGAGATGGGAACTAGAGCAGCTAGAGCAGCTAGAGATGGGAACTAGAGCAGCTAGAGCAGCTAGAGATGAGAACTAGAGCAGTAAGAGGGAACTAGCAATCTAGAGCAGCTAGAGATGCGAACTAGAGCAGCTAGAGCAGTTAGAGATGAGAACTAGGGCAGCTAGAGCAGCTAGAGATGAGAACTAGAGCAGCTAGAGCAGCTAGAGATGGGAACTAGAGCAGCTAGAGATGCGAACTAGAGCCCTAGTCATTGAGTTCTCGAGTGGTGGGCCAGATGGAGTGCGTTTGTGACACTCGGAGTACTAGCCGGTGCTTTGTTGTGTCCTCTCAAGCATTGTAAACAAACCCTTTCTGGTTTACTCAATTTTACATTTTCCTTATAGCAACAAAAATGAAGTATCTGATGAGCCAGAGGGAGTGTGTTTACACTTTTTTGAGAAGAAAGTCCACCTCACAAAGAAAGCTAATTAAGGAATATTAAAAACGAAAACGAGAATTGTAGACTATAACTAAATGAGAATAATAAAAAAAATAAATGAAAATCATTAAAAATCTCGAAATTCATCATTGATCTTTTCAATTTCTCACCAATTTTTTATCTTAACATCATAAACAAAATAATTGCTGAAGAAAAGCCAAAATAGACTAAGGAAAAGACTTTGTTTTTCACAGGGAAATCGTGAAAATCTACGAGAAGGGGATTTGAAAAAGAAGAAAGAGAAGAAGGAAGAGAAGAAGGAAGAGAAGAAGGAAGGGAAGAAGGAAGGGAAGAAGAAGGAAGAAGAAAGAGAAGAAGGAAGAGAAGAAGGAAGAGAAGAAGGAAGAGAAGAAGGAAGAGAAGAAGAAAGAGAAGAAGGAAGAGAAGAAGGAAGAGAAGAAGGAAGAGAAGAAGGAAGAGAAGAAGAAGAAGAAAGAAACGAATAATCAGCTGACGAGGATTCTCTTTTCTTTAATTCAGATCCATTCATTCGAATACGAGAAGAAGAAATCTCTCTCTTGAATCTTGAATACAACACATTTGTTGTCGATTCTTCTAGAAATAGTAATAGATCGTGGAAATGAGGATTTAGTGCGCTAGAGGATGGTTGTTCACTAGAGCACAAAGTACGTAAAAGCAAAAGAGCAAAGAATAGCAGGAAATGATCATTTTGAGCTTAAAATTGAGCTAATGATGTTGAAATCGTTGAAAATGTTATTCATAATTGGACTGCCTCCAAAATTAGACTTAGACAAAAGTGGTCCTTGATCAGAGTCCCAAAATAATGTCAGTTTGACGAAAGCAAATTGATTTCTCGATATAGAAACAAGCCACTATTTTAGGACTAAATTTGTTTATCAGGCTTTGGTCTTTTATTATAATCGCTTGGCTTCTGGTACACGAAACTTGGGTAATTAAACCGGTCGAAGTCGCTTTCCGACCTTCTCTATCCAGAGCAGTATGCCAGATGCCGCTTTTTTCTACGAAATACGCGGAAAGAAAGCACATAAAGCTTAGTCTTTTAAGAAAATGATAAAATTCAGTGCAATAGGAAGGGTGTGTTTACAATTTCTAAGCACAAAGCATTTGAAAAACAAGTCCATTTAGGGCTCTGATTGAAAATAAAAGAAATGAAGAGGGAAATCTCCCGAATCTTTTCCCTTCTAATTTGTTTCCCTTTCTTTCCATTAAAGGATCCTTGGTCACTATACGAAATTGAGAAAACAAAAAGCATAAAAACGATTTTTTCGCGTATTTCTTTCTCTTTTTCTTCTTTCCCTCAGCCTTCAATAATTATGGACTCTTTACCAAAACAGACAATTAGCTTTTTAGCTTTTCACCGAGGCCACACACGTGGGAAAGTGGAAAACGAAGCTGTTTTCGGGGTAAAAAGGGTTACAATTTTATTTTATTAGACTTTATTTCATTATTATTATAGATTTATTAGAAATTAGAGGGATTTGCTCAGTTAACTCCCTCTGGAGGAAGGGAGCGTTGTGGTGTAATGGCTAGCACAGTTGCCCCGTAACTAACTGCCCAGGCAAGGTTATCCAATGATAATCTCTCTTAAAAACAGCACAGATGGATGTTTTTAGTCGTGGGTTCGAGTCCCGAAGGTGCACAAGCTTTTGATCTGCCCTAGTTCCAACTGGCCGACCACGGAAGGATTTGCAAGGTACATACCTAGTAAATATCCTTCCGTGATCACCAGTTAAAACTAGAGCAGATCAAAAACTTCTGCACCGCCGGGATTCGAACTCGCGACCTTTCGCTTACCACGCAACTGTACTAACCATTACACCAGAACGCACTCGATCTCCCTTACTTCAGAGAGAGTTAACTACCCTCTCTTAAGCCTTGAAACTGAAAACACCTCTTCTGATGCACTGAATTCTTCATTTTTTTTACAAAGACTGCAAGAAAATGAAGAATTAAGTGCGCTAAAAGGGGTGTGTTTACACCTGAGCACAAAGAACCTACTGAGAAGCTCTCTCAGCTCACAAGAAATCAGATTTTCATTTCTCTTTTTCACTCACAGAATCATAATGAACTGAAGACTTTTCTACTTTTAATAGACTTTTAATATTGACCTTGTCCTTGAGAAGTCCCAACTTTTGCCCCATCGATGTGAGATATCCGCCGTGTTCTTGTGTGATTGCATCAGTGGCGCTCATCTTGTGCGTATCGAGATTTTGATCGCTCATTTCGCTTTTCGGCTAAAATTCTCAAGTTTTCATATTGAAACTTTATGAAAAAAGCAAAAAACATATTTGAAAAGTGTCTGAAAATCATGTCAAATCATGGGGAAAACGTGAAAAACAAGGATTGGGAAATGTTTTTGTAGGGCAATTTTTGAACAGCAAAAGCCAACGGTTTCTCTCTCCGCCAATCGGTAAACAAGTGCAAGATTTTGCACGATTTTATCGATAAGAAGATTTTCGTTTTCATTCGAATCAACAAAGATTTTATGAAAATATTGTAAATGCATTTGTTTTTGATTTCTAAAACATATGATATGACTTATCGTATTTCTTCGAATAGAAGAGCTTTCAATGAAGTGCTATAGGGCGTAATGATCAATGGGAAAAGAAAAAGAAAATTCTTTAGCTATAATAGGAGAATTTGTAGGATTTTAAGAGCAAAAGATTCCAAAAGCTTTCATTTTTCCATTTAAAAATCTAAAAAGATGCTTTAGAGTTAGAAAATGAAAAAGATTTACTCAATTTTTTGAATTTATTAAGTATTGGGTTGTCCAGTTGCGCGCTTTTTACTATTTTGTAAATTTCTCAAGATATCGAACAGATGTAGATGCGTGTTATATATCATTCGAAAGCTCAAGATCTCCTCTACATATTGGAATAAAAAGTTTTTGAATTCATTCAACTTTTTGGGAAATTGAGGTCATTTTCGAAAAAACCCATTACAGCAGCTTAGCTACCGTATTTCTTCGAATAGAAGACCGGGTAAAGAGTATCATCGCGTACTCCTGCGGGTAAAGAGTATCATAGCGGGTAAAGAGTATCATCGCGTACTCCTGCGGGTAAAGAGTATCATCGCGTACTCCTGCGTAGCAGCCCTTTTTAAAATTTCTTTTCTGCATAAAAGCTTTCAATGAAGTGCTATAGGGCTGGAAAATGACTCAAAAATACCACATGAGCTAACAGATTTTTGAGCCTTGAGCCTTTGAGTCATTTTCCAGCTCTATAGCACCTGATTGAAAGCTTTTATGCAGAAAACAAATTTTAAAAAGGGCTGCTACGCAGGAGTACGCTATGATACTCTTTACCCGGTCTTCTATTCGAAGAAATACGGTATTTTTATAATCCTATCCAGCTTGAAACTCGAATTCTCCAATCTAAGAGGGCAACTTTGATAAATAAACTTTTCCTACATCTTTGAAGCCAACAGCTTGTAGTCAAACAGCCAACAACTTGTAGTCCAATTAATCCAAATCTTTGAATCAGTATTGCTAAGATAAACATCGATAAACATATTATAGGGATACGGTAGGGTTTTAGCTGAATATCTTTCGAAATCTTTCTAAATCTTTCTAAAGCGATTCAGATATATAGGTAAGTTGTTCCTTAATACTGAAATACTTAGAATTAATAATACTTTAATACATAATAGGTTGATGCATAAGTCTTTTCGTTTTTTTTTCGTACTTCTGTTAAAAAGTAACAAATTCACCAATTAATCTATAGTTTGCTCTATAAAAAAAGTGTTTTTTTGTTCAATTTGCATCTTTTTAAATGAATTTCGGTTCACTTTCAAGCAAATTCGAGAGTGAAAAACGCATGGATTTGTAGATTTTTGGATGCTGATTTCAAATCTGCAAACAGATTTTCGCTAGCTCCTCCCAGTCGCGAGATATTGGCGAGTTTTGGTTAGTTTTGGTTTTGGTTTTGGTTTGTTTTGGTTTTGGTTTGTTTTGGTTTTGGTTTTGTTATGGTTTTGGTTTTGGTTTTGGTTAAGTTTTGTTTTCCGAAGTCTACTTTCAAGCAAATTCGAGAGTGAAAAACGCCTTTTTCGTAAAAATCTATAAAAAACTCTACGGAAAAATTGGCTGAATGAATTTCTCTGAAATTTTGGCGAAATATCAAACGTTTTTTTCTCTATCTTTTATCTATTGACACGAAGATAGGTTTTCTTTAGCTAAGGTGTCTAAACCGCATCATCGAGTTAGCCCTTTTTGACTACCCGACTTCATACTCTCAAGAAAATCCAGGCATTCAATATTTTTAAACCCGTTTTAATGTTATTTTGCAGAAAAATAATTGCTTTTTCTAATGAAATCAACCGTAGTTTAATTCGTGCATTTGTTGGCTTGAAACGGCAGACGAAAAGGAACAAAAACACTTATGCATCAACCTAATAGAATGACTCGCCTATTGTGCTTTCTAAAAACTACTGTAATCAGTAAAATTACCGTAACCAACAAGTAGAAAACTATCGTAATCATCAAGTTAAAAATAATTACAATACAAATAAGTGATTACAATGAATCTAACTTTGGATTGGTTGAGATTCCTCATCGAATGATACCAAAAGTCGGATGATTGCATGTAAACTAATAGTCAAATTACGAGAGTTTTCGGAAATAGATGTCTTTTAAAAAAACACATTATAACACAATATAGTCTGAGCTACTTTAGCAAGCTAGAGCAAGCTACAGCAAGCTAGAGCAAGCTACAGCAAGCTAGAGCAAGCTACAGCAAGCTAGAGCAAGCTACAGCAAGCTAGAGCAAGCTACAGCAAGCTAGAGCAAGCTACAGCAAGCTAGAGCAAGCTACAGCAAGCTAGAGCAAGCTACAGCAAGCTAGAGCAAGCTACAGCAAGCTAGAGCAAGCTACAGCAAGCTAGAGCAAGCTACAGCAAGCTAGAGCAAGCTACAGCAAGCTAGAGCAAGCTAGAGCAAGCTAGAGCAAGCTAGAGCAAGCTAGAGCAAGCTAGAGCAAGCTACAGCAAGCTACAGCAAGCTAGAGCAAGCTAGAGCAAGCTAGCTTTGAAATTCTTTGACTCATTGACAAAATGGTTTTGCAAAGAAAAAAGTCATAATCAAATTAACAATAAAAGCCCCAAGATTGAAATAAGTTTACTCACAAAGTTTACTCACAAAATCTTAAAAACTCTAGGTACCTAACATTTCCAAACTACCATCCTAACATTCCGCTCCGGGAGTTGAAAGTTTCCCCAATTTTTCTATCCAAATTCATGTCTTTCCCCCTTTCTCATCGAAATCCGATCCTCGCCGGGACATTTTTCATCGACAAATGCACACACAATATGCTGGGAAAAAACTTTTTGAATATTATTATTCAAAGATGAATAATGAAAACTTTTGGATGGGAAAAAAAGAAATTGATGAGCTTTTTGATTAGTCAAAGTGAAAGCTCAAAGCTTTTAGTCAAAGTCTTTCTAAAAACTACTGTAACCAGCAAAAGTACCGTATGTACTACTCAAAATGTACTACTCAAAGCTTTTGGTCAAAGTCAAAGTTCAAAGCTTTTAGTCAAAGTGAAAGCTCAAAGCTTGTTAAAACTAACTAAAAACTGAAGTAAAGCCTCTGAGCAATTCCTCAGAGGCTTTAGTTCAGTTTTTAGTTAGTTTAAACTCAGAATAAACTCACAGATCGGCGAAGACTCGCGAACGCGTCAAGAGACATTTTTGCGTGTAAAAATTCAACTGAAAAGTGAGCCTAATTTAGCATTGAAGACGATTGAATATTGAAGACGATTATGGTAGTATAGGAAAATGATTGTATAGGAAAAGGAAAAGGAAAAGGAAAAGGATTCTAAGAGCTTGAAGAATTTCAATTTGAGCGAATGTAAGCAGACAATCCCAAACAGACTTTGTGCCCGCGCAAACGATTGTCTCTGGCATACCTTTTTCAGAAGTTTATTTAGATAATCTTGATCTCTGAATTCAAAACATTATATGCCAGAAAGCTAAAACCCTACCGTAAAGCTACCAGCTAAAACCCTACCGTAAAGCGTGCGTTTACGAGAGCTCAATGAATGTTAAACGAGACTCATTGAGAAATTGTGTAAAAATGAATTGAGATCTATAGAAGATCTATAGAGATTTATAGAGATCTATAGACAAAAATCTTTTAAAAAATCTCCTTTTCTCTCAAAAATGAATACCTAAGCTTTTAGCTCTTTTAGCTGAAGCTTTTAAGTAAAAATTTTCGAACAGTTGTCCCAATTGTCCTCTTTATAAAGTGCAAATTGAAGGTGACACAAAAATGAATGGATAAATCTATTTTTGTGAATGGAAAAAGAAAAGAAAATCAAACCGGTAAACAGCCAAAAAAAATCGAAAAATTGAGGAAAAGTGAAAAGAATTTCACAATCGGATCACGTTTTTCCAAAAAAAAAAAATACATTATTTTTGGCCTCAACTAGGCACCAAAAACTCATTTTGAGCGGATATTGAGATTTCCTTTGCTCCCCACATTCAATTCTCAGTCTTTATGAGCACTTTTGCGGAGGTGGCCGATTAGATTGAGGGGAGAAAGATGGCGCTTATTTCAATATTTTTGATGGATCACGTGCAGGAAAGGATTAGTTGTCGGGGAATGTTTTTGGATCTTTTAATATAGATCTTTTAATATCGAGAAAAGGATCTACAGTATGCCTATAGTACAGTACACTAGAGTACGTAGGCCTACAGTAGCTGTAGCACAGTATGACTACGGTAAACTAGAGTACAGCACGTTTATAGTACAGTAGATCTACGATACACTGTAGTAGACCTACAGCACTCTATTTTAGTAGTCTTACAGTGTGCCGTGGCACAGTATGTCTACAGGGTGCCTCATAATTATTGCAACAAGATACTCAAGCCATTGCACACCAAGAAGTTTCACTGGAAGAAGATTTTTAAACAGAGATATTTATATTCGAGGTATTTAACAGTAACAAATAAGGAAACAAGAGATCATTCGATATGACCGCCTTTTGCCTTGATAACAGCCCTTAATCGGTTCGGATATGCCTCCACTGCGGCCCGAATGTCATCTTGAGTCATCTGTCATCCAAATGCCTTCCATCCTTTGGTCAAAGACTTCTTCAAGGTCAAAGAGCAGACATTAGCCTCTAAGATTGCCCAAATGGAAAAGTCCATCACATTGAGATCCGGTGAGTTTGGAGGCCATTCATCCTTGGTGATCACTGAGGGAAAGTTGGCCACACACCAGTCCTGAACCGTCTTCGCGGAGGCAATTAGGCAAGAATAAAGAAGATAGAACGCAATAGACTTCGGAAAACAAAACTTAACCAAAACCAAAACTACCAAAACCAAAACCATAACAGACCAAAACCAAAACCAAAACTAACCAAAACTCGCCAATATCTCGCGACTGGGAGGAGCTAGCGAAAATCTGTTTGCAGATTTGAAATCAGCATCCAAAAATCTATCCCATAGGCTATTTTTTGTTTCGAAATTTCGAGGTCGTGTTTTGGTCCTTTTTTCGGCCGCGAGATTTTGTGGAGTGAGGAAAAGTGAAAGGCCAATTTGCATTTTACATTCAAATTTGCATTTTACAATTTTAAATTTATATTTTAATTTATATGCAAATTGAGTTTTGGTTTGTTTTGGTTTTGGTTTGTTTTGGTGTTTTGGTTTGTTTTGGTGTTTTGGTGTTTTGGTTTTGGTTTTGGTTTTGGTCTGTTTTGGTTTTGGTTTTGTTTGCCGAAGTCTAGAATGCAACACAACAAAAAAGGGGGCAAAAAAAATAATAAAAGCTGTTTGGAAAACGGTCTCTTGAACTCTTGTTGCAATAATTATGACGCACCCTGTAGTACGCTGAAATACGATCGTTGCTAATGATGTAAAATTACTAAATCTACAGTACTCTAGTTACAATATGCTATAATAAATACATAAAACTGTTATGGAAAGCTTACGTTGCCCCAAAACTGTTATGGACTTTGGAAATCTACATATTGCAAGCTCCTAGTGACTTCAAGAAAGATGGCGCTTATTTCAATATTTTTGATGGATCACGTGTAGGAAAGGATTAGTTGTCGGGGAATGTTTTTGGATCTTTTAATATCGAGAAAAGGTACGCCATCAAGAATAACACGTTTCTGTAGATCCTTTGAAAAGTAGAAAATAATCTACAGATTTAATATCGAGAAAAGGATCTACAGTACGCCATCAAGAATATGCAAATTTTTCATCTGCAAAGTGAATTCAATTTCTAGAAAAGCTTTCCTTTTTGGTGGAAGCGATTTTTGAATCCTTCAGATTCATCAAAATGGACTAAAATGGACTAAAATGGATTAAAATGAAGCTTTTCTTTCCCCCTTTCATCGAAAAAACTTCCGTTGACCAAAACAATAGAGATTTTACAAGAAAGAAAAAAGAGAAAGGATAATAAATGATTGATGAGTCGTACCTGGGATGGAAAAGGAAAAAGGAAAATCGGAATCCTTGGGAAAGATTCCCCGAAAAGGAAAAGTGGACAACATCGGAAGATTCGAGGGAAAGGGTCACTCTAGAGGATTCTTTAGAATAAAATTGTTTAGACTTAAAATCCTTTAGATCTTCTCTAGCTTCTTTATTAGTGATTTTTGGTAGTTGAAAGAATTTCATTTACATTTTTTTGATCAAGTCTTATGCTTAACAAATCTTTTGGTCACAATTAGGCAAATGAATTTTCTTTTCTTACATTCAGTTGGGTAATTATGCCAGTTAAAAGAATGAATATGGAGATTTTATAGAGAAATCCATCAGTAATGCTATAATAAGCGCTAAGAAAAGCTCTTCGGGAGATACTCTGGGAATGAAAGTGGTCCCAAGAGAGCAAAAGAAAGAAGTGGAGAGCTATTTCCAGGTCTCGGAGTAATTCTTTTCCCTTTTTTTTCTCAACAACTTCCAGATCGAAGGGAAAACATTGTCTACCACTTTTGGGAGATTATTAGTCGATATAGAATCGGGAGTTTTGTGAATTTTTAGATCTGGTCTGGTTTAAATCTTTAAACCAAATCTTTAAACAAAATTCCATCAAAATTTAACAAAGACTCTCAGTTTTTTCGTCTAATTTGTATGCCTTTCTCGTTTTTCTAAGGAAAATCTAATAGCGAGTCTACTGTAAATTCTATAGAAGATGTAGATCAGGAATGATAGATCTTATAGATCTTATTAGTAATAGATTTTAACGGATCAGGCCTAAAGTCTCTTTGCTCTTTGTTTTATAGACTTATCCAGTTAACAAGGAATATCTGGAATCAGGAATGACTAAAGATTGCATGAAAGATTTGTAGTACTTGAATAGTATAGAATAATTAGAGATGATGATGATGAACTAAGAGATGATGAATTGAGTGCACCAGAAAGTTTCCCCCTTTTAGCATACCTCTCAAGGAGCCGGTGAAATTGCATACAAATCGACGAACGTTCAGGTAATCGTTCAGGTAAACTTTACAGGTAATTCATCATCATCATCTCTAATTATTCTATACTATTCGAGTATTACAAATCTTTCATGCAATCTTTAGTCATTCCTGATTCCAAATATTCCTTGTTAACTGGATAAGTCTATAAAACAAATAGCAAAGAGACTTTAGGCCTGATCCGTTAAAATCTAATAGGTTGATGCATAAGTCTTTTCGTTTTTTTCGTACTTCTGTTAAAAAGTAACAAATTCACCAATTAATCTATAGTTTGCTCTATAAAAAAAGTGTTTTTTTGTTCAATTTGCATCTTTTTAAATGAATTTCGGTTCACTTTCAAGCAAATTCGAGAGTGAAAAACGCATGGATTTGTAGATTTTTGGATGCTGATTTCAAATCTGCAAACAGATTTTCGCTAGCTCCTCCCAGTCGCGAGATATTGGCGAGTTTTGGTTAGTTTTGGTTAGTTTTGGTTTTGGTTTTGGTTTGTTTTGGTTTTGGTTTTGTTATGGTTTTGGTTTTGGTTTGTTTTGGTTAAGTTTTGTTTTCCGAAGTCTACTTTCAAGCAAATTCGAGAGTGAAAAACGCCTTTTTCGTAAAAATCTATAAAAAACTCTACGGAAAAATTGGCTGAATGAATTTCTCTGAAATTTTGGCGAAATATCAAACGTTTTTTTCTCTATCTTTTATCTATTGACACGAAGATAGGTTTTCTTTAGCTAAGGTGTCTAAACCGCATCATCGAGTTAGCCCTTTTTGACTACCCGACTTCATACTCTCAAGAAAATCCAGGCATTCAATATTTTTAAACCCGTTTTAATGTTATTTTGCAGAAAAATAATTGCTTTTTCTAATGAAATCAACCGTAGTTTAATTCGTGCATTTGTTGGCTTGAAACGGCAGACGAAAAGGAACAAAAACACTTATGCATCAACCTAATATTACTCATAAGATCTATAAGATCTATCATTCCTGATCTACATCTTCTATAGAATTTACAGTAGACTTGCTATTAGATTTTCTTTAGAAAAACAAGAAAGGCATACAAATTAGAAGAAAAAACTGAGAGTCTTTGTTAAATTTTGATGGAATTTTGTTTAAAGAATCATTTAAACCAAACCAGATCCAAAAATTCACAAAATTTTTGATTCTCCCGATTCTCTATCGACTAATCATCTCCCAAAAGTGGTAGACAATGTTTTTCCTTTGATCTGGAAGTTGTTAGAAAGAAAAAAAAGGGAAAAGAATTACTCGGAGACCTGGA